ACCCTTTTTTACTTGTTTGTTAAATAAAATAATATTTTTTTTATAAATAGGCTAGTTAGCGAAAACAAATGTCAGGGAAATTCGCTGAACGTTGGCTGCAAATATTGCTAAATCTTATAGACGTTATATATCAGCGGTGTTTGTGAATAGTTGGAAAAGTTTCTGGAAAATTATGGCCTATTTTGCTGGTAGCTTGCTGAAACAATGATTGTAAAAATTAAAACATGATAACGTTTTAAAAATGATTAACGCTTAATTTCCCAAAATGATTGTAATTTAACGCAGTTTTTGCAAAACTTCAGTCTATGTTACAAAATAACACCATTCAAATTGATATTCATGTAATGTTATTATAATTGTAATAACCTTCATAAATCTCAATACAATGAATGAAGGTTCAGATTCAGATTCAGATTCACATTTTACATACAAAATAAGTGGAAAAATTGGCATTCCGCGGTGAAAGGAGTCGCGATAAACCAGAAGTGGTTATCGAGCAGCGACACCCGTGAAATGAAATAGTCCAACATCAACAGGTACAAATATTACGGGATTCACCTGGCTAGTCCCTGAACTCGTAATAAAACTAAAATAAAAAAAATCGAAATAAAATTATGACCTAATCCCAACCTGGTTCACATATTACGTTCCGGTGTCCGCCCTCTTGGGTTACATGCTTCGGGAGTAACGAATTTACTACTACATATTCATCCCATCGTCTGGTAACCATTCAATGTCTAGTATGGGATTTGTTAGCCAGTTATTTATTTCAGTCGCATCATGGTGGAGGAAGATGTAACTGACCACTGAATTGTAGCAGTAAAAGCCTCTTATGCTTTGGATAAAGCCCAGCAAGTAAGGAGTTTTAACGATAGAGACGAGAAACTACAAGAAAGACCATTTCTTTTATATTTCACAATTGATTTAAAGTTTAGCAATTGTCGCGTCAAGATAATTGCCTCTCGTGTCTTAAATTTTGGCTTTTCTCTCATTTTTTTTCTCAAATATATGTACAGAATAGCAATTATTCTATACATTTAAATACATTTATTTATACACAAAAACAAAACACCTGTTCTGCACAGATATTTTACAGACAACAATAAAAAATATTTTTTTGTTGCAGTAAAAATATGTAAAATGCCGATTGTACGCGTTCACACAAAGTACTTAAAAGCTAGGTACAAAACTCGGAATAAAATTACTGTAGAACAATTTTTATAAAGCTGTGTCATTACTGAATACATGCTGTGTTCTGGGTTACGATAGGTATAAGTATAAGAATAAATAAATTTGATAAGAAGAAGTGGCACGTGTTCACTCACCTAAACTGTGTCACTTTAACAGAAGGCTAGAGTATTTCAATCAGTCAATTTTATTTTGGTCACTCTCTCATAGAACAATACTGGCAACAAAACAAAAAATACGTATCCAAACATCGCAGTTGTCGTCCAAAGGTACCTCTATGTCCAGCAGCATCCGCGGCACCAGAAAGCGCATTTAGCTCAGAGGAGCTTGACGTATCCAAATTCCTATCGAGCTTACAGGAAGACATGTGAACGAAATGAACTTCTAGCAACAATTTTTTGTCACTGTGTTGTTTCTGCAATGAAATTGAACTAGGCCTACAGCATCACCGTTTTGCGTCAGGGAGTGTTTTTATGTTCTATGTTTTTGTAGAAAAAGCACTGTTTTATTACACATACACGTCTCACATTTTAATTTAAAAGGTAGAAGTTTATAGCATTCAATTATTTACCTCAATTTGCTGGTTTTGTTGAATTGCTTTCAAGGTACTGCCCGATTGTAAATCGCGTTTTTCTGTGTTTTTTTTATTCTTGTTTGGTGGACGGGCACGTACATCGTAAGCTTTTCAACTTTTTTAAGTTATGCCCGTCTCCCAGATATCTCTGCATTTTGTTTGTCTGTTTACTTTTTGTATTGTTTATGTCATTGAACCAAAAATAAATGATTGATTTATTGATTGAAGCTGCTTCATGCCAGCAACAAGAGAGCTATGCTCAAATATATGGACACGTAGAGTCACATAATTTTGATGACGTCATAGCGAAAAAAGAAGTAATAGCCTTCTGGAGAAAATTTTTATCTTTAACCACTAAAAATTTCAAAGCAATTGGTCCAGTATTCGAAGAGAAAAGCGACTTTTTAAAAACGTGTCAAGCGGTACTGAGTTAGCAGTCAGGCAGCATCTTACCTGTACACTGTAGGCCATATACGGTAACTGATCACAGAACAGTTGTTCCCTTGCAAATTTTATGTTGTTTACACTTTAGGACAGATAATTGATCACAGAACAATTCTTCCCTTTCAAATTTTATGTTGTTTCCAGTAGACTCTCATCAAAATAAACAAATATAGTAGGCTACAAGTGCTACAACGCTTGCATTACTGCACTGGTAGGACCGTGAAAGAATAAGTTACGGTAATTTCATTGTGGTAAGACACCGGTACCGGCACCAGTACCAGTATCGTACTTACGTACTGAGCTACCAGTACCGGTTAGCAGTCAGCCAGCATCTTACCTGTACACTGTAGGCCATATAGGCTACGTTAATTGATCACAGAACAGTTGTTCCCTTGCAAATTTTATGTTATTTACACTTTAGGACAGATAATTGATCACAGAACAATTCTTCCCTTTCAAATTTTATGTTGTTTCCAGTAGACTCTCATCAAAATAAACAAATATAGTAGGCTACAAGTGCTACAACGCTTGCATTACTGCACTGGTAGGACCGTGGAAGAATAAGTTACGGTAATTTCATTGTGGTAAGACACCGGTACCGGCACCAGTACCAGTATCGTACTTACGTACTGAGCTACCAGTACCGGTACCGAACCTGTAGGTCTGATATTCCGTTCCGCATACGATAGGCTATAAAACTTGCATTGCAGCATTAGTAATACCGCGGAAGGAATAAGTCCATTTCACTGCGTTACGGCACCGGTATGGCAACTTACCAGTACCGACCTACAGTAGCTGTAGTACTGAGCAAGACAATCGATCGCGAAACCGCTTGAAATAAGTGTAAAACAGTGTTCCCATGAGTAAAAATAAATACCGCGAAATTTTGTATGGAATATCATATCTCATAGGATTCATATAAAATTTAAGAATAAACAAAAGTAATAGCCTTCTAGCGAAAAAATTAATCTTCAACCACTGAAAATTTCAAAGCAATTGGTCCAGTATTCGAAGAGAAAAGCGACTTTTTAAAAACGTGTCAAAGAACAAGAACAAGAACAACAAGAACAACAACAACATAATATTGAAACGATCGTTATGTCCACTACGTGTCCAATAATTGTATATTATATATACGCTTTGCTTCATGCTGCAATCAATGCACGTTTCTTGCTCTTTGTGACTACACGACCTTTGTGCCATAACGCGCTCGTGGTTTCGGTGGTCGCCAAGGCGAATCATGTGAAATGCTGCGTTTGGCATTTTTTTATGGCGGCTTTGCGATGGCTGCACGAATCAACCGATGAGCTGATTGGTTGAACATTGAAACCAAATTAAGATCTTTCCAAATTAAATTTTTTTATAAATCTATAGTTCTCAACTATACATTACACAGCTTTGGACTAGTGGATACAAATATGTGTGAATTCTGTAAACAACATATTGAAACCTTATTACATTTGTATTATTATTGTCCCATAACAAGTCAATTTTGGTCTGAGGTAGACCAATGGATAGTTTTCAAAACTGAGAATTTGAATTTTAGTCTTAGTATAAAAGAATGTTTCATAGGGTTTGATGATATTCCTAATTTGCAATTTGTTAACTGTGTATTATTGGCTGCCCGTTTCTATATATATAGATGCCGAATTCAGAAGCACAAACCGATTTTTGATGTGTTTTTCAAATTTCTATGTAATATCCGTGATAGTGAAAAATATTCAGCATTTAAAAATGGCAAACTTCACATACATAGAAAAAAATGGAATTTATTTAAAGATTGCAGTAATGTTATTATTGTAAACAGATAATTGTTATTATATTATTCTAACTATTGTATTAGGTTATAATTTATATATATGTATTGGGTCGTCTGGGATGTGTATATGTATATATTGTATTAAGTTATAATTTATGTATATGTATAGGGTCATCTGGGATGACATTGTTATTGAACACGTAGTGGACATATCTATCGTTTTGCATTTTATGCAGGCAATCCTCTTCTTTTTGTTTTTCGTTTTTAAAAAGATAAAACTTCTCTCCAGAAGGCTATTACTTTTTTTCGATATGACGTCATCAAAATTACGTGGCCCCACGTGTCCATATATTTGAGCCCTCCTGTTTAATTATAGATAAAATGAAAATTTATTTATTAATATTGTTTACTGCAATAATTTATCAAAATCTAAATGATTTGCCATGATATTGTTATGTATTACTGTGATGTATTATTTATTGATTGATACTGTTTATTGCAATTATATTGCAATATTGTTTTATTTTATGAAATGCAATAAAAAAAAAAAAAAAAAAAAAAAAAAAAAAAAAAAGCTGATTGGTTGAGAATAATACAGAAATTCCGGTATTATTTGCGTAAATGACTAGTAATTAAGTTACCGGTAACGTCCCATCAGCTCGCCATTTTTTAATTTGTCTTCTTACTTAATTCTGTATCTGCAGAAGTATACTGGTTTGTATAGTTACCGTACACACTGACACACACACAGACATGCCAGTGTACCGTCTGACCGCGAGACACGTTGAGTTATTTTTCACGGTCAGGTAACATTGCTTAAGTTTGTTTAGGTTTTTTCTCCTATAGGTTAGATGGAGCGTTTATAAGTTTGAACTTTTCTGGTCATGTTGGCTTGTCAGAGTCTTGGCTTTTCTGTGTATTGCTATACATTACAATGGCTGAATGGTGAGGGGTGGTGCTTTGAATATCTTTATATTGCTTTCATGGTGCATGTAGGTAGCCTATGGCTGATTCTTACTGGTCTGGCTCTGCTATTACAGTACTGCAGTATTAGGCTACCTATCTGACCTATTGTATAGCATTGCTACAGTGTTTTCTTGTTGATCATGTCCACAGTCCACGCTACCGCTACTACAGATGAATTGAAATCTGCAACTGATAAAAAACAAGAAAATGTTAACTTTAAAAAGTTCCATAGATCGGAAATAATATTTCTGGGTTCCACTATTGCTCTGGTTACTCTGACTGCATGTGCTACCGTCTTGTTATCACCAGTGAATACAGCACCAGCTGATTCAACCAAGTGCTTTGACATTTGCAAGTGAGTAAAATTTGTATCATACTTCAGTAGTTATAGTAGTACTTATTGATTCAAGTTTATTTCGACTCCATAATCAGCATAACAGAAAATAAGAATGAGATAAAATAATTGACGAAAACAAAAAAATAAACTGGCTTTGTAAATTAGGAGAGCAAACAAAACCTTAAGGAAGGTTCAAAGCATAGACTACAGAATTTGTTTCAAGGTTTTTCCAAAAGAAGTGGTACGTGTTCACTCACCTATTGTAGTAACTATGTAATTATTTTTCATAGCAACACGAAAACTCACATTACAGCATTATGTTTCAATGATATTCTGGTGTCTGGTTCTAAGTTGCATGTTTCCAAAAAGTCTATATTTGTTATATAAATACTTCCTAAGTGCAACCTTAGGCAATAATTATTTATATTTCAGTATTTATTTAGCTCTTATGGTCACATGATCCATTCGTAGAGAATTAAGAAATAGATAGTGAAGAATAAACTTTTGCAACTTTGCATCAATTAAAGTGTCTTTGGGTAGGCAATATATTTGCTAATAAATATTATATCTTTATTTATAATATAGATTGACATTAGTGGAAACAATACCAGACAATTTAACATTTCCATCCGGCAGTCCTACACATCTGGACACTTATGCCAGTTGGAATTCTCTCATTGATGAAGCAGTCTATGGAATTGATATTGGATCTTCTTATTGGACTTTGCGAGAAGAAGATGTTGTTCCAGATCCATCCGCTTGGAAGGTTAACGGGATTCTTTCCAATAACAGCTTTATTACCATCTACTATTAGTGGTTGCCTTGGCAACAACAAAATACAAAACTGCACATTTTCAGTAACCCTTCTCTGTGAGATTTTGTTATGCCAAACGATATCTATTGCATAGCCACATACCATTAACTGGCCCTCATGTCTCTTTTTAAAAATCAGCTGTGCTTGTAACTCTTCTGTAAGTACATTTGATTTAAGGCGATGGTTTGTTACTCTTTTAAGAAGAAGACTTCAAACTACAATGCTACTTTTTGTCCTTAGTGTTTGTTGTATAAACTCATATTATTAATATTCACTCACATTATTGGTAAATATATTTTTTAAACAGGGAGAAAAAATATTTGATCGCTTGCTTGAAGTTGGTAAAGATGGTGGCATTTCTATACGGATTGCACAAAATAACAACAGTGATCCAAATCAAATGAATGACACTACAATATTGGCGAATGAAGGAGCAGCTGCTGTTCGAACACTTGATTTTAATAAGCTACTCGGTGCAGGTATCTTACATACAAAAATGTGGATGACTGACAACATGCATTTTTATGTTGGAAGTGCAAATCTTGATTGGCGGTCTCTGACACAGGTGATTTTTTTTTTGTCATTTGCAATCAGTGATAATTTATAAGATAGAAGAAAGCAATGCTCGAATGTATGGACATAAAGTCCCAAACGAAATAGTATATATATATATATTCTTTCACAGTATTGGTACAGTAGTATAGTTATCTTTGCCTGATCACCACAAGTTGTGCAATATTTATTTCTATGATTCATCATCATATTCAAAAAACAAATCTCGTAGAGCCCACAGAAATCTGGTGAAATAAGCAGTCTTGCGACAACCAGATCTTTATCAATACCCACAGAAAATTTTAAAGCAATTGGTGCTGTAATTAAAATAAGAGGGATTTGCTCATAATAAGTAAAAAGAAGTCCAATAGCAACAAGATATACCAAAACGATCTCTACTCCATATCCAACAAGTACTCAGGGTTTTGCACATAGGCATAGTCATTACTATATTTATTGATTGAGCAATATTTTACATTCTTAACATAGTAATGCTGAATATAAAATTATCAATTAATATTTCCCCCCTTTTAAATATAGCCTTTCATTTTTTCCATCTTGTCACTTTAGGTTAAAGAGCTTGGCATAATGGTAACAGATTGTGCTTGCATGGGGCGTGATTTGCAAAAAGTTTTTTCTGTGTATTGGAAATTAGGTGAAGATGGGGCAACAGTACCTTCTGAATGGCCCCCAGAACTAGCAACTGACATTAATCTTGAGAACCCAACATCTCTTGAAATAGGAGGACTGAATGAAACTATGTATATTTCAGTGAGTAGACTAGTTTATGTCTCTCAGATATATGAAGAATAGTCTTCACATGGCAGTGGTAAACTGTATCTACAGGGTAATCTCAAAAGTAAGTATACACTTTTAATTTTGATTTTCTTCTCAGGTACTCATCATAGAGTGTTCATTTTTTCAGGAAACATAGTATTGGAAACTAGTAAAATTTGGGTATTGTTTGCATTTTTGAACAACCCACAAAACAACAAGGAGATTAACCCAAAAAAATGAGGAGCAAAATTGCTGATTGGCAAGAAGCATGTAAATCTGTACGACAAACTTAGCACTTCTCAGCTTCGAATGTTTTCCTCAGGGCGTCCATAGATCCAGATTTCATGGATTTTTGATGAATTTCGTAATTCTTCGTCGTAAAAGTTTCGATTGCCTTACTTTATTATATGCTTCTTGCTAAACAGCAATTTTGCACCTCATTCATCGGGTAATTTCTTTGTCATTTTGTGGGTTGTTGAAAAATGCGAACAATACCTAAATTTTACTACTGAAGAACTGAATGCTGAATACCTGAAAAGCAAATCAAAATTAAAAGTGTATACTTACTTTTGAAACACACTGTATTGGCTAGTTTATGTCTTCCAGAGATGCACAAATAGTTTCAATACTTTTACCGCTTTTGTTTTTGACTCTACTTGATTTGGTGAAACTTGTAAGACAATAAATAGGCACATTCCACATTTCCACTACAATTAACCTCCTATATTGACCTATTTTGGTGTAGTTTTATTGGATACGCCCGTAGTGTATGTACCAGGTTAAGATTAGGCCTTAATTTTATTCAGATTTTCCTCTTAATAATGTTAGTTCTTTTATGGATTTGGAAACTGTCTGTGTTAGCCAAGTGAATTTATCCCCTGCTCATTGGTTTAAGTCCCTTCTTCATACAAATTGATGTAAAGTAGGTGAACAAAATTAGTTACCTCCATATTGGAACACACACTTTCGGAGCAGCTTTATTGCACACCTTTCTGTATTGCAATATTATATGTGCTTGTAGTCCTGTTGCAAGTATTTCTGCATAAAAAATAATGCTTTTGATTTAATTGTATTTCTAATATGTTTAGAATAATATTTTAACGGAATAAATCGTTTCAGGTTGCACCTCCCCAGTTTCTACCGGAGGGTCGTACATCAGATCTAACTGCTCTTCTAGACATCATAGACAAGGCTCAAGAATTTATCTATATTGCTCTTATGGATTATTTCCCAGTAACATTGTACCAGAAGAATAATGTGTATGTACAGCATTATATACCATTATTTTGGGTTTTATAGCTATACAAATTTTTCACATTTGTTTTGAAGGGTGATAAAACATTTGCTGACACTCCTGTCTCCTATCTTGTTACCAGGTTGACCCAGTTCCAATTTGTATATTTCAGGAATTTGAGCATGGGGGAAGAAGAGAATACTAATTAGGTGGCACGGTTTTTGTCAGGTTACCATACCAGCAGGGGCGGACACTTTCCATAATTTTGGGGGGGCGAACTTGGATCGCCTACCGAAAAACACCGCGCCGTGTATCGTCACGTAACAATAACCTGTCGATGTCATTCTCTAAGTATTAGCATGTCAGTTTGCTACTCATATATCGATTACCTAGGCTGCTTTGCTCGGACACGAAACTTGCACGTCACTGAACCAATTTCTTGAATTCCGCGAGAATTAGCCCACGGCTCTTGCTAACATACAGAAAATAACAAATTTGAGGAGTCGTATTAGGTTATTGTTTCAATTCCTAGTTCTGCATAAAGCGCACTAACGCCGTTTCGTGAAATTAGAAATGCAAAACAAAGTAACAAGCTATTGTGCGAATTTTTTTCCTAAATTTTACCAAGGAATTATCATTTGACTAGTAGAATTGCCATTATTGCCGATTTATTAAATCATCATTTGAACTCGAAATAACATTCAGGATTCACGCAATGACTTTGCAGGGTTTTTATTTATAATTTAATACGAAAATAAACAGGCACAAGTTCAGGCGCGCAGCCAGGATTTAAAAAAAAAAGGCGGGGTCAAAGTCGGAACTTCCCACTGCCGTCTGCAACAAGCACCGCGATTACGCACTCAATAAAAGAGCCGCCTATTTGAGCGTATAATGATTTTTCTGTCGATCCATGACAGCCACGAGATTCTAAAATGTCCTTATATATTAAATTGTGTGCAACCTAACTCGCGGTTGCGACTTCTTACGTCAAAATAAAAATATTACTAAACTTAAAGTACCACGGCGATATGTGGACATAAAAATATGAGATAAGCTGCCTGATGTATTTAATTTTGATACGTATTTTTGCAATCTTCCGAACTCGTTATCGTCGTTACAAAAATCTCGATATCTGATATAAAATCCGATATAGTACAATTTTAATTCATACAATGAAAATAATTATAAGGTATACTAGTAAATCAAAAATACAAATACACCGCCTCGAAATCCACGCGGAACAGTCGCCGCGATTACGCCACTTGTTAATAGAGCCGACTTCATCAACGAAAAATGATTTTTCACTTGTGCAAAGTAATCAATCAAAGACCGATACGGGCATATTCAAAATGTCTTGATTTATTAATTTAATTGTCTTCAATTTAAACTGCGGTTGAGTCGACAAAACAAGGGCCACTCTAAAACACGACGGAAAAAACCTTTCGAAAAATCCGTAAATTTTCTGTCAATTCTCACGTAGTAAAAGTTATTTCAGTACAATAAAAATACATAAATAAATACAAAAAGTGATCGAATATACTTTAATTATCTTATATATCATCACAAACCGTGGAAAAGTCGCGTTCTCAGCTTTGTTTAATGTTAACACGAAAATTTTCGATGTCAATTTTAAAGTAATGGATAAAAAGGCAAATCCCGCTCACAATTGACCGTGTTTCGATTTTAGTAACGAAATATTTTTAAAGGTCAAGCAAACATAATTTGTGCCGTTGGCACACGAAATTTTGCGATTTTCGATGCCTAGAAAAGCGTTTTTAGACTGTCGCGGGCCTCAAAACTTATATTGTTTACAGTTTTATTTTTAGTATTTTATATTGCCGCTTTTCAACTTTTTGACAAAGTAAATGCTTTGATCTTTGCCCGCAAATTATGCTGGACCTTGCACGAAATCCATAACGTAAAAAGATACGTCCCGCGGTGAAAATTGTTTAAAACAACTTTAGATCTAGTTAATTTTTTAGCGATAATAATTAATTGTTGTAATGAAACACAGTTTGCCTCTTTCATTTCTTTCGCAAGTGCCAACAATAACACTATTGAAAGATTTTGACAATGAGAAAATCATATTAAATTGTACAAAAATGAGTTAGTTGTGCAAAACCGTGGCGCGTGATCGGCGGTGCGTTTGAAGACGGAGTATTACCCGTGCGGGCGCGCATGTTTCACGAAAATGTGAGGTGCTCCGAAGGCGCATTATTGTAAGAAAACAGTTATAATATCGGTAACTATTAACCGTTTAATGGCGCTTGACTATCGCTTCGGAAATGATAATTTTGTAGGGCGGAAACAACATGTATTAAATTTTTTTGCGAAATTATTGGGGGGGCGACCGCCCCCCCGGGTGTCCGCCCCTGCATACCAGTCTAGTTGGGTATTTAGTAGGGCTTGATTCCTGATGCTTCGCTCAATTTGCCACCCATCGCACTTTTATTTAAATGTGAAATGTCTCTTTTCTCATAGGTACTGGCCAATCATTGATAACAGGCTGAGAGCAGCTGCATTTGAGAGAGGTGTGAAAGTGAGATTAATGCCATCCTGGTGGAAATACAGCAAACAAACTGTTAAAGCTTTTCTTAGGTCATTGGAAGACGTCAGTCCTGCAATGAGGAACGGCACTATTGAAGTGGTAAGAACAAATTTGGTTTATTCGGTACTAGACCAGACACGAGCGAAGTATGGCCCGCTGGTCACATCCGGTTCGTTCGGTAATTCAAGCCAAAACCAAACTGAAATCAAATTTTGATTATTTTGTTAAAATTACCTCAAGGAATTTGTTGAGATTGCGATCAAATTTAGTTTTGGCGCGGTCCTATTGTTTTTTGTAACACTGTGAACATCCGTTTCTCACTACTTGCTGTCCTTGGTTCACAATAAATCTAATATTTCTCCAGGATATTTTATAGTTTTTACAATATTTTGTTGAATTATTTGCAACAAGACTCTTATTTTATGCCAAAGTTTTGTGCTTCTACATTATGTAAATGTGTTTTGATTGCATTAGTGTTATAAGTGAGGATATTAAAATTTTCTTTTTGAAATTTGAGAAATGCTATTGGTCCATGTTTGTATTCCTAATCTCCTATAAGCAAGCAGTTTCTGGTTCTAACGAATTTAGAGCATTCATTCATGTTTTTTTCACCCTTGTGTTGCTATTATGCTCATTTTTTTGTGATTGAGATAATCGTATAAACCAAAGTACAATCAACCTTTGTTATTTTATCATTTTAAGATTTCAAATGAGACCAAACTTATTTCTTTCTTCCAGAAAATGTTCGAAGTACCGGCTTATACACCTGCACAAGAAAACCTTCCATATTCAAGAGTCAATCACAATAAATATATGGTGACAGAAACAACGGCTTTTATTGGTCAGTTATTGTCCCTATTTTCATTTTTACTATGGAGGATGATACGTTTTTTGACCAACGCGATGCGGTGGGTGCCGCATCATACTAACCGCTAGGAATACACTTGCCACCATTGAGTCCGTGCATCAGAAACAAATAACTTGCTAACTAATCCCATATCTGACATGGACTGGTGACTGGACAAGAAGTCGTACGGTACGGCATATGATTAAGCCATCTTGTCAGCTTTTTTCCTCCTGGGATAAAAATGATATCTTATACTAAACTCGGTAGCGATCGGGTAAATTCCCAGTCTTTTCACTCATGTTAGCTCTGTATGTACCATTTAACAAACTTTTTTTTAAAGGTACCTCAAACTGGTCTGGTGACTATTTTCTAGACACGGCTGGAGTTTCAGTCATCATATCACAGAAGAAAGGCAGCGTTGCAAGTGAGCGCAACATTCACGTTCAATTAAAAGCAGTTTTTGAAAGAGATTGGATTTCTCCTTATGCGAGGACCATTGATGAAGCCGGGACATAAATCATAGAAACCATATAATTTTGTTCCTTATGTTACTTAACAAGCAAGCATTGTGTAATCTAGTGCAATATTTATTATTTATGGCATCATACGATCAATCAAGTGTAAGTTCATTACAACTCAATAAGCAGCATAACAGATGATCAAATATTGTTCATAATAAGCGAAGAAAAACTGATTGCGGAATCAACAGTCACTAATAGATCCGTAAATGAGGTTTAAATCATATAGAATAAAAAGGTTTTGCCAAAGGCGGTGGTACGTGTTCACTCATCTGAAAATATATAAAACACCATTATAAGCGTACAACCACACAATATATTAAAAAAATTACATAAATAGAAAGTTGGTATAAGCACGTTTTCACTCACCCAAAAATGTGATATATTATTCGTACACACTCGCACAACTTACACCGCAGAGATATAATAAAATGCGATAGAATGTTTAGTGTTAACTCTCTCAAAATATAATATTAATTCACACATACTGGCATACCTACGACCACAGCGATAAAATAATATAAATCGCTTGATAAAGCAAACAAGAACCAGAAAAATCTTTTATGTTTAATTGAGACCAAAGCATCAAGAAACCTGTTATTAAATCTGTCAAATGGCGCATAGAATAATGTTATATGCATTATGCTTCCCATGACCATCTCTTATATTTATATTATTGAGTGATATCTTTGCACTTTCCGTATTTTCGGACTCCATTGAAAGCAATTTCTCCACCTCTTAAAAGCTTCTTTCAGATGATATATTAAGTAAAAAAAAAAATAAAAAACACAAAGAACCTTAAAAAATACTATTTCTTCATTCTTGATGTCAAGATTGTTCATTTATATTTTTACTGATCCAATCATATTTATTTCTGGCCTTAGACGTTCCATCACGTTTCAAACCATTGCCTTAAATAGTGGTATTTTATATGCTTATATCGTAGAATATACTATTATTTATGATGTGCATTCGTATTAGTGTACTGTGCCTTACTGCAATTGAACATGTTCCGGTATATATTATTGCTAAATATGGCGTTTTTAGTTTCATTCTCTTCGGTATCTTGTACGTTGTACCCATTTTGTTGTGTTGGGTTTAAACACTTCATCACTGTAAGCACACGTTACGCAATAAAATTTGCTGTTAACCATTTCCCACAGCATAAGTGATTTTGATTCAATATTTCAATTAAACCGGTAATACCCGGCCACTTGGTGGCCTGATAATGATGATTCTGGCGACGTAGGTAACTTTTCCTGAGCCATACCGGTACTCTATGATAGTGATGAAACTAACATCTCCTATTTCTTAATTGGATGTTGGAATCTTGTCTGTGGCTTCCCTTCCCCAGTAAAGCTATGTTTGCCTATTTCTCGTAATTCGTGTACTTTTGATTTCTAATGATTAAAAAACTTAATTTCATCTTGATTTTATCACGAATATGGGGCGAATTTACTATGACGTTTGTATATTAAAAAGCTTTTTCTGTACTTGCTCTGTGTGTATTTGGAAGATAGAAAGGAAATGACGTCAAGTCGTAAACTGAAGTTAGGAATAACAGTTTCGTCTGCTCGCATCCAGCGGAAATTTCAGCGAGTTAGATTGAACTTTTCACGACACCACAGCCTATAGGCTTATGTGCGATGTGAACGCAAATCGACTAATTAATCTCAACTAAGCGGTTATAGATACAAGCCATGGTAGTGTGCTTATGCGTAGACGTATATGTGGACCTTCGTCCCATTTCCCTGCAGGCATCGTTTTTTTAACGACCTTGATGTATTGTTTCTTTGTCAATGCTCTACACCAGGGGTGTTCAACCTTCAATTAATACAGTAGGGTCAGATACAAATAACTGGGTGAAACCGCGGGTCGCAACTTTATTCATCATAGGCTTTCTAGTAGTCGCACGCACAAAAATTTTGGTCATTGATCTCTTGACGTGCGTTGTTCGCATATGCTAGCTGTTACGTCATAGATATTAAATTGAACTCGGGATTGTATAGGCTTTGCAACGCAAAAGGAGTTTGAATTACTCGCACGTACTAGATTTAGCTAAAAAAAAAAAACGTTCCGCGGGCAGCTCACCATTCAAAATTGGCACTTCTCCACGGGCCACACAAATTTCCCTTGTAGGCCACAGGTTGCACACGCCTGCTCTACAAGTAAGCTATAGTGTTTTCATGCCTAATTAATATTACAAAATAATGGTGAGTAGACAGATTGCGGTTTAGATTACACCATGAGTCACCACTGCTTCCGTGTTGGTTTAGCCAGGTTTGCATTCGCAATGCTGTGTTGTGTGCTGATGCTAGGAGTTGATTGTTTTTTATGCATGTATTTTTTTTGACATTATTGAGCTGGTGAATCTATCAAACCGGGTTTGAAAATTTAGGCTACAAAGGCTTGGATGCTGTAGTCCGTACCCCAAAAGTGAGCTCTTTTTATTTTAAAACAAGGAAAATTTTGACTTTCCGTGATAAATAAAAAAAATACAAATATTCCTGAATTTCGCACTTAGCTTGACAAAAACTAATGCATGCCGCGATAAGAAAAGACCATTTCTGAATGCATAAAATAATGTCAAACCTTTTTCGATTTCTGGTTGCATGGTGAAGGCCTAAGTTATGAACCGATGACATTTCATGTATATCTATATAGCATTTATGTCATCCTAATAGTCAACCAGCGCGGTATGCAATGTCAATTGAGCTACCAATGTTTTTATACTATTCCTTGTAAACAAACACCGGGGTACTTGACCTGCTTTAACCCTTTTTTTCCGCTGTATACAATCGACTTTATGTACCATTTTATAATATGTAATGACCAGTTAACCAAACGTACAAGGAACACCCCCAATATCTCTTTAAAAAGCTTATTTTCGCGTCTTCCTACTAAAACGCGCCCAAGTGACGTAGGCGAAACCGTTCGACCCTACGCGTGTAAGAAGAGAGAAATTTCAAAAATTTTTGAGAGAACGTTTCACACTCTTATCGCTTCGATGAACACGTGTTACAAAGAAACGAAATTCCAAGCGCTCTTCTGAGAGAGAGTTACGTCACCTTTAAAGAAAAACCAGACTCAGCTTCGCAAGCAAAGCGAAACGCGAAATAATCAATGATATGTGAGAGCATGTCCTCGATAGTTGTCTGGAATCTTTGTTTGTTTATTATGTGCGCGAAATTGTTTCCCGCTCGTTCAAATGACTTATTTTTGAAGTAATGACAAATACTTTCGTGTATCTCTAAGCTTTGAAATACCTACACAAATAAAATTCACTTAGTAGTAAAATAAAAAATTTACAAAAAAACAAAATGTTGACAGATCAAGCACGGATCATAGTTGGATGCTCAAAATGATTTAGTTAGTGCGGAATACTTCACAAAACATGAACATAAACGTAAAATAGTCCGAAAATAACTATTATGACCAAGGTTGGTAGTACGAATATATATGTTATACGGAACAAAAGAGTTAAAGGATCTATTACGTCTCAAAATCATCCATCCGTTTCCTTTATTATCGCGATCGCGAACCTCCACACACCTTGGACAAGTCTTTAGAATGAATTGTTTGTACATGTATGATATAGTTTCCGTAAAGAGGGGTGAAGTATATGATATCGAGCATTTTACAACGTCATAGCAGTGTATGTTGTATTAGCGAGTTTGCAAAAAGAGCTCTTGTTAATCTAGATCGAAAAATTGTCAATTTTACGAGACAATTGTTTAGTCATTTTAGATGAAAAAAAAATCATTCATGCGTTGTGTTGTGGTAAGCCTTCCTATTCAGGCACATCGAACGTTTTGTTTTTCACAACGACGTTAAGGAAATAGGTGGGACGAATATGCGGAGGATTTGTATATAGACTTTGCACATATACCTGTTGATAGCAATATATGAGAAAGATAAGGGATAAATATGTGAATCCTATATGAGAAAGACAACAGCCGCCATTAGCGCAGGAAAAGTTAGGAACAAAATGTACACTGCTGACTAAATTTATTATGTACGTGACAGTAAAATTTAGAAATTGAAGATAATTGTAGCATGTATTGTTGGTCATACAATGGCCCAAGAATTTTATATGAGCCGTAATAGTATTTTATTCATTCATTTTAATCAGGTTGTATTCATATTTGGCAAATCCTTTTCTTATTAGTTTTGTATAGCGAATATTGATAGGAAGTATTCTTTTATAACAAGAATGGAAATGAGCTACATTTAAAGCATTGGCTCATATTTTGCATCATGACTCTTGTACCGTACGTTAATTTCACCGACGTTTCCCAGGCAGAGAGTAACAATGGGAGAGGTTTGTAAGGCTTACATTTCATTCACAATGAGGACTTATGTAAACTAATAATCTTCGGGCAGCTACTCCATTCCTTTCATGATTTCCAGAATGGGAAGGGAAATAAACAAAGGCAAACGGTCAACAATAGTTGACGCAATTTATTTCGCCCATGCTCAATAAGTAATTTTTAATTTAATGTTCTTCATTTTCAACGTGCATACATATGACCAAAATTTGTAGGAGTTTACTTATTTAAAAGACTTCTGGCGTTTGTAACTCTCATTTTGTTCACCTATATGTATTCTGTGTGATCAAATATTGCCAAATTGAAATTTTGTTTAAGATAGGCTAGGTGTTTTCTTTTGTATAATTTGTTTCGGTAAGTGAGCCAATAATGAGTCCAAATAAACGGCTGAATGGTATTTTGGTTATTCTTATTTTTAGGTGGTTCTTAATTTCTTCTGCTATACATTACTGATACAAGTCACGTATGAGTGAATCATTATAGCCAAACGCGCGTAGTATTATGTTTTGATATGCCGCCCGCTTGCTTCGATCAACTGCTCATTTTTGTGGTACTCCCGTAGTGTACCAGATTAGGGTTAGGCCATAATTTTATTACCTATTTTCCTTATTTTAGTTCTATTACGAGTTCGGGAACTGTCTGTGTTAACCAAGTAAATATACCCCCTGTCCATAGGTTTCAGTCCCTTTACACAACTTGGTTTGAAGTAGGCGAACAAAATTAGTTATCTTCATATTGGTACACATACTTCTTGAGCGCCGTATTATGTTTAATATGTTTTGATATTCCGCCTCTTGTTTGGATCTACTACTCAATTTTTATTACGTAAAAATACTGTGAACTCGGCGACTTAACAATATCGGCCACAGTCATTTATTTAAATTTGACTGAATCAACAATTGAATTGAATTTGTCCGTCGGTGTTTGGTATTTATAGACAAAAAATCGTTTTTTGAGCTCAACAGTTTAGTTAAAATTCTAACTTCTAGGAGCAGGAATTCGGAAATTCAAAATTCTAAGCGTCAATCTGAAGTTTTGAACAGAAATTTAAATGTTTGCATACGCCAAAGTTTTTCTCGAATACGAGAGCTCATTTTCTACTCAATTTAACGCACAATCGCAGCCAACATATTTGCCAAGCTCAAATTTGCTATATATATTTGTTGCTTTAATTCAGCTGCACTGTGTCGCTGACTAGATGACTCGTTGAGTATTTCGCGACCCCCTGTCAACTGCAACAAGTCGATATTCGTTTCTGTAAATTTTGACATGTGTTTTATTTATTATTTCATATCGCACCATGTTTTTTGCATGACGAAAATAAATATCTGATTCTACGTCTTGAGCCAGAACTAGCGAGGAATCAAAATTGAATGAAAACCTTTCCTGACCCCAAACGGCCCTGATCACAGCACCAATTGCCATCTAATCTTTTGTTTTTGACATTCAGTTCAAGTACAAACAACTCCTGAACAGAGAAAGAAGGATATATCGATAAATAGAATGCGGACTTCCACCATTATACTGTCTGCTGGACTGCTTCTTGTCACAATGTTTGCAATTGCAAACTTTGCCCTAGTTTTGCAGGTAGGTCAGCAATCCTTTAGTACTACGGTTTTTTCGGGTGTCTTTCATCTTATCCGGATATATTTCATCTTATCCGGATATCAGATATATATATTATTTTAATAACGCTATTCGGATGATCGCATATTTTTGCGTTTCAAGAATGTCTCAACTCGCATTGCTCTTGTTTATGCAGTAGCATACTGGTGAAACTTGAGGGTACAATGAGAGAAGTATATACGTATAACAAATTAGGAATCTTCATTATCATGCAGCATAGAGAAACCCAGTAGGAACGGCTTAATGACATGGTACATGGAGATCCTATCGCCAGGGTCAAGTCCAGTCCAAACCTGGTATTGTCGTTTCCGATGCAATAAGCGGATCGTGGAATAAACGATATTTTATCAGCGCTCAATTGAAGCGCTTGCTGTGGCGACAAAGATTTCGCACATTCGTAGCGCAAACCGTCTTTCGATATTTAACAAAATAACACAGTAACACCGGCTGTACCTTGCAATTTTGCCAAGTTGAAACAGACGCGTGTCCTAAAGTATTATTAAGATAGCAAATTGCGCATTCGATTAATGAATATCCGGATTATACCCGAAGGGTTGGCAAATATGTATATACATAGGACAATGGCTTTACGTGTACATGTAAATACATACAGTACAAGATATGCTTCCGATATCGTGATAATATTACTTCTTTTTTTTGCTACTTAATAAAGGGTTTTTGATAAGAATGTTTTGTTTTACAATTACCGTATGTCAATATCTTTACAAACTCTGTAGTTGTATCGGCTCACTACGATTCAATCAGAATATGCTGCAATCAATGCAATTCAATAAATATTTTTGGGACCTCCTGAAGTATGCGCACCAAGATGGCGCACAACCTGAACTCAGGTTAGGGTACAGGTTATGCTACATCTTGGTGCGCATACTTCAGGAGTACCATTTTTTATCTAAACTATACTCTTCGATGTTCAAGTGTTAGCGTTTTGGGACATCAGCAATCGCTATACTTTTAGCTATTCTAATAATGTTTTATGTAGCTACAATGTTCGGTTTACGACAGTACGGTATTTTAAACGGTTGGTTTTGATTCCAAAACCTTGTCTCTTCTCTCACGGATCAGGCAGGCATTCGAAAATACGTCACTTTTTGCAATGTCGCCTGCCTGCACGACTATTTTTTGTTTTGTTTTATCCAGTATCGGGCAGTATGAGCTTGCAACCGCAATAGCAGACTCAAGCTCTTTCTCCTTGACTATATTCTCACTCGGATGTTTATAGTTTTTATGTAAGACAGTGATTCCCAACATTTTTCGTTTAATTCCCCCATTTGCGCATTTTGAAACTATGTATTTCTCTCACACTATGCGTAAAAACTACTTTATGTTCAATATTCAATATATCTTCATCTAGTGTAGGCGCAAGTCGCACTCCGCTTTTATACGGTATAAGTAGTTTATAATGTGTATATAACTAAGTATTATAGTTTCAAAATTGAACTAAAAAATATTGGTAATACTTACAGCCAATACAAACAAACCTCCTTTTCAAGAACCACAAAATTCTTCTCTGGTTGAGAAACGTAGATCTAAGCATTATTGTTCAACATGTACTTTTATTTTATAGGTCAAGAACTCCAAGCAACCGAGTAAGTGTTTAGCAATATTTGATGCTGTTAATGACTTATTCAAATACAGAATTGGATTGTGAAGTGGCCTACAGCCCTACAGAATTATTTTTCTGGGCCTGCACCAAATTTCTGATAATTGTAAATGACTAACAGACGAACAAACAGACAGACAGACAAACAAATACATATCAATATACTTACCGATCAAGATCGATAAGTAAAAACTGATATCACTCAAAATCTGTTATATTCGAGGAAATGCGTTTGAGGAACTACGTTTTCCAACTTCAGCGTGTTCAGTCGCATTTAATTGTATAATGGTTTCTTCCCTAAGTGGCAGCTAAAAGTCCTTTATCATACGAATAGACACTGTTGCTGTATTTTTACTATATATTCTATTTCCTGCGGTTTACTATATTGCAATTCGTTTAATATTATATTATTCAGAAATTATGAATCTGATTATTAAGTCAGAAAATTGGTACGAAGCCAGCAACGGTAAAATGTACAAAGTCTTCGATAACGACCTCACATTCACGGACGCGATGCATTCCTGTGAGAGTCTGGGAGGTAGACTAGCATCTGCTGGAATCCGAGATAAAAAGTTGAAGAGGTAAATATATAAACTTTTACTATCGATTCGGTCGATCCCTGCGGGACTAACTACTTATCCTTCTTCTATGCTGTTTGCTACGGTGCATCCTTATGCATATAATGTGAAGATGCTATAACAAGAGTGAAGATCAGTAACTATCCCAAGGGATTCGAGAGTCTCTCTTGTTCACATAATATAGTATAGAATGCATGTGTTTGCGTGGCCAAGATAATAGAAAATATTCACAGAAATGATTATGAAATTACATTATATTTTTTTCAAATTTCCACCACGGGACTCGATATTTCATCCCAAGTTTTGTTGTTTATTCCAATTCATAAAGACACTTTTATGACGTATAGCAATACTTCATTTCATGACGATTGACATCTTTCGAGCAATCTCGGTGTTTCGCTATTGTTGTAGCGATGCGTGCCCTTATTGACCATATATTTATTGCTCTTTGGCATGAACGTTGGATACATCCTGCTCCCTTTATGGATTCAGGCATATTGTGCGAGCTCGGTTACATCGCTGTTTGATCATTCCTGTAGGGTTGCCACTTTTTATTTCTTCTTTCTATCTCTCTTATAAACGTAGGATGCGTCCTATACTCCCTGTATGTTTCCATGGATATTGTGCGACCTGGGTTACTTCGCTGTTTTGATCATTCCTGTAGGGTTGCATTCTATTTCTTTTATGGATCCAGGCATATTGTGCGAGCTCAGTTACATCGCTGTTTTCCTGTTGTAGTGTTGCCACATTTTATCTCTTATTTATATGCTATTGATTATATATCATTTTTATAGCGAGATTATTTCGGGTCTTGGACTTCGAAAAAATCTCAAAACATGGATTGGATTGCGAGATGTGTTTGCAGAAGGTCAGTGGAAATGGTTGGACGGTGTCGCGACCGTCTCTAACAAGATAGATTGGATGACCGGTCAACCGAGCAATTTTACTCAATTTTTTATGTACAAGTTTGAAGCTGATTGTGTTTTAATGTCTGTTTCCAACGGTGGAAAACTTGAGGACGAAGCTTGCAACTTTTATCATTATTATATGTGTGAGGTATAAGATAAAATAGCGTATCTCGATTAGAAATTGACAAATAACCATCGTTTCGGTTTCCAAAATTAAGTAAGCGTATGACATTTAAATATCCATTCGCATTGCAAAGATACCACTAAAGTAACTTCGGCGGTTATGTGGTTTCCATAGGATAAATCGCGCCATCTCTCACAGACCCTGAGCAAAATGTATATTTACATAAATTATTATTACTGTTTTATTTCATATTGAAATGCTTAACCGCATCGGTTTTAGTAAGCCACATTCGGGGGTTTAATATTGCCTCTTTGCGAGCCCGATTTTACCATTAGGCAAGGTAGGCTGACGCCCAGGAGCCTCAAGCCTTATCGGACTGGACATCAAATTTTTAACTATTTTTAAAATTTGAATTATTTTTTTTTTAATTTGAAGGCTTGTTACAGAATATAACCAGTTTAAAATTTTATAAAACTGATATTTGCCTAATTTTTTAATCGTTAGGTTTGTGTTTCTTGTCTCCAATGTTTCTCGTTTGAAAGGTCAAAAAGCTAAAAAGGTCGAATAAATAAATCTGTTTTAATTGAAAAACTCCACACCTTAAAATTAAACAAATAGACACTAGTTTAGGTTTATGAACACTTTTACTCTAAGAATGCATTTAGGGCTTGTTGAAGTTTAATACTGAAAACTCGAATTATATTGCGCGAACAAAATCATTGACCTAGCTGTATCTTATTAAAAATTTCTGCTGATTGTTCTTCATTTTGCAACATCATTATTATTACTTTCAACTTCTGAACGTGATATTGCGACGCATAAATATGTACGGTATGTTCATTTATCAAAAACAAAATTACAAAGTAGAGAACTACAAGATTTTTAAATATACAAAATATGAAAACCTATATCCATTTACTTATAAATAACACGTTTTTATTTAAAATAACTGCTAAACAAAAATTATGAATCATTCAAAACGAGGAGGAAAGATTTCTTTCTATCCACTGGGTCTTATTTTAAGGGGAGGGCTTATATTAAAATCATTTTTAAATTCAGGCTAGGTCTTATTTCCATGGAAACACGAAATTTTCTGATAAGTTTAAACCAATGGTCCAAACTGATGCAAAATTTATTAAAATTATGCACTTTATACTAAGATGTTGAATATTTTTGTGTCGACTTTTCAGTTATTTATAAGATTGGCCAACGTTCAGTACGCCATTACAGCAACTGGTGTTTGCAGTGAATACTTGAACATTGAATGTCCGTGTATAGAGACTACTGAATCTTAATCGGATATACAGTATATAAAAAAGTATTGTTTTTTTTTTTTCACATTTTAGTGACAGATTTTTTTTTTCACAACATTTTAGTGACAGATTTTCCATTGTTTTTTTCACAACACAACACATATTTTTTTTCACAACATTTTAGTGACAGATTTTTTTTTCACAACATTTTAGTGACAGATTTTTTTTTTCACAACATTTTAGTGACAGATTTTCCATTGTTCAGCACGAAATGCTATTTTGCGAAGTGCTTTTTATTTCACTTTTTAAATAAAAAAAAAAGTATTGTTTTCTTTGATAACTGCAGCCTAAATAGCAATTTTTCCTATTTCTCTTGCACATTTTGTTTTCAAATTTTCTGTAATCCTATATATTTATTATAAATATCATCAATGTATAAAATACATCTTATTATACGAACATATGCTTTTCAATGGATGTGGGGCACCGTATTCTGTCAGTCAGTAACGTCCTAAACTGTTTTACGGTTATTTTAAGAGGCGACAAAACACTCAACAAAAACAATTTTGTACTCCCGTAGTGTGTGTACCAAGTTAAGGTTAGGCCATAATTTTATTCCGATTTTCCTTATTTTAGTTCCATTACGAGTTCGGGGACTATCTGTGTTAGCCAAATTTTCTGCTCATAGGCTTCAGTCCCTTTACACAACTTGATGTAAAGTGGTCGAACAAAATTAGTTACTTCCATATTGGTATACAAACTTCTGGAGCGCCAACAATTCGGTCTTATTTTAGTATAAAATCCTATTCCAATCTTTGTTGCGTTTAACACGTAATACTCTGTCCACCTAAATTCAACAAACAACATTTTGTCAACTCAAGAATTTAATTCATCCAAACTCAATTGTAAGTGAAGTCAACACAGACAAATCAAAGAACAGGCGAGTTAAAATTATTCAACTGACTAACACTTTCTCAACTTTTCGTAAAATTTTGTTAACTGATGTAATTTTTTGTTTTGAACTTAAACGATATAAACTTTCTCAGAATTCATGACTTTTGTCTAATTTTAAAAATAATCAGAAATGCCTAAAATTGATATTAAATACAACTTGACCAAAACTGTAAATTCAAAGATTATTAACCACTAACGACAGAGGAAAACCATGCGTTTTGTGTTGTTCTAGCATTGAATGGATTTCTTTACTCAAAGCTGCATATGTGATCTAGTAAGAGAAGCAATGACCGATGTCGGTGTATAATGTGCTTTTCCACCATTGAAGACCTATAATTATAAGATTATCATGAAATATAACTGCAAGAGTTATATTGGTAGATCCACATAACATTTATTGGAAAAAACATCAAAAATTAATGCCTCGTATCGTTGTGTACTATATTAACGTTGGGTAAACCGCCCGCACATAGTATGAAGGGGGGGGGGGGGTAGATATTTTGCAGCACTATCATGTATACGCGCCACTTCCTGGATATTCAGATACTATTCTATTTAAGTTAGAAATTTTAAGTGTGGTGACACGCTCTAAATTTATGGAGCAAGGTGTGTTCACCCCTATAGAAACTTCGGTTATGTGGTTTCCATAGGATAAATCGCGCCATCTCTCACAGACCCTGAGCAAAATGTATAGATACATAAATTATTATTACTGTTTTATTTCATATTGAAATGCTTAACCGCATCGGTTTTAGTAAGCCACATTTGGGGGTTTAATATTGCCTCTTTGCGAGCCCGATTTTACCATTAGGCAAGGTAGGCTGACGCCCAGGAGCCTCAAGCCTTATCGGACTGGACATCAAATTTTTAACTATTTTTAAAATTTGAATCATTTTTTTTTTAATTTAAAGGCTTGTTACAGAATATAACCAGTTTAAAATTTTATAAAACTGATATTTGCCTAATTTTTTAATCGATAGGTTTGTGTTTCTTGTCTCCAATGTTTCTCGTTTGAAAGGTCAAAAAGCTAAAAAGGTCGAATAAATAAATTTGTTTTAATTGTAAAACTCCATACCTTAAAATTAAACAAATAGACACTAGTTTAGGTTTATGAACACTTTTTACTGTAATAATGCATTTAGGGCTTGTTGAAGTTTAATACTGAAAACTCGAATTATATTGCGCGAACAAAATCATTGACCTAGCTGTATCTTATTAAAAATTTCTGCTGATTGTTCTTCATTTTGCAACATTATTATTATTACTTTCAACTTCTGAACGTGATATTGCGACGCATAAATATGTAAGGTATGTTGATTTATCAAAAACAAAATTACAAAGTAGAGAACTACAAGATTTTTAAATATACAAAATATGAAAACCTATATCCATTTACTTACAAATAACACGTTTTTATTTAAAATAACTGCTAAACAAAAATTATGAATCAGTCAAAACGAGGAGGAAAGATTTCTTTCTATCCACTGGGTCTTATTTTAAGGGGAGGGCTTATATTAAAATCATTTTTAAATTCAGGCTAGGTCTTATTTCCATGGAAACACGAAATTTTCTGATAAGTTTAAACCAATGATCCAAACTGATGCAAAATTTATTAAAATTATCCACTTTATACTAAGATGTTGAATATTTTTGTGTCGACTTTTCAGTTATTTTCAAGATTGGCCAACGTTCAGTACGCCATTACCGCAACTGGTGTTTGCAGTGAATACTTGATCATTGAATGTCCGTGTATAGAGACTACTGAATCTTAATCGGATATACAGTATATAAAAAAGTATTGTTTTTTTTTTTTTCACAACATTTTAGTGACAGATTTTTTTTTTCACAACATTTTAGTGACAGATTTTCCATTGTTTTTTTCACAACACAACACAACACATATTTTTTTTCACAACATTTTAGTGACAGATTTTTTTTTTCACAACATTTTAGTGACAGATTTTTTTTTTCACAACATTTTAGTGACAGATTTTCCATTGTTCAGCACGAAATGCTATTTTGCGAAGTGCTTTTTATTTCACTTTTTAAATAAAATAAAAAAAGTATTGTTTTCTTTGATAACTGCAGCCTAAATAGCAATTTTTTCTATTTCTCTTGCACATTTTGTTTTCAAATTTTCTGTAATCCTATATATTTATTATAAATATCATCAATGTATAAAATACATCTTATTATACGAACATATGCTTTTCAATGGATGTGGGGCACCGTATTCTGTCAGTCAGTAACGTCCTAAACGGTTTTTCGGGTATTTTAAGAGGCGACAAAACACTCAACAAAAACAATTCGGTACTCCCGTAGTGTGTGTACCAAGTTAAGGTTAGGCCATAATTTTATTCCGATTTTCCTTTTTTTAGTTCCATTACGAGTTCGGGGACTATCTGTGTTAGCCAAATTTTCTGCTCATAGGCTTCAGTCCCTTTACACAACTTGATGTAAAGTGGTCGAACAAAATTAGTTACTTCCATATTGGTATACAAACTTCTGGAGCGCCAACAATTCGGTCTTATTTTAGTATAAAATCTCATTCCAATCTTTGTTTCGTTTAACACGTAATACTCTGTCCACCTAAATTCAACAAACAACATTTTGTCAACTCAAGAATTTAATTCATCCAAACTCAATTGTAAGTGAAGTCAACACAGACAAAATCAAAAAACAGGCGAGTTAAAATTATTCAACACTTTCTCCCAACTTTTCGTAAAATTTTGTTAAATGATGTAATTTTTTGTTTTGAACTTAAACGATATATACTTTCTGAGAATTCATGACTTTTGTCTAATTTTAAAAATTATCAGAAATGCCTAAAATTGATATTAAATACAACTTGACCAAAACTGTAAATTCAAAGATTATTAACCACTAACGACAGAGGAAAACCATGCGTTTTGTGTTGTTCTAGCATTGAATGGATTTCTTTACTCAAAGCTGCATATGTGATCCAGTAAGAGAAGCAATGACCGATGTCGGTGTATAATGTGCTTTTCCGCCATTGAAGACCTAAAATTATAAGATTATCATGAAATATAACTGTAAGAGTTATATAGGTAGATCCACATAACATTTATTGGAAAAAACATCAAAAATTAATGCCTCGTATCGTTGTGTACTATATTAACGTTGAGTAAACCGCCCGCACATAGTATGTATTAGATATTTTGCAGCACTATCATGCACACGCGCCACTTCCTGGATATTCGGATACTATTCTATTTAAGTTAGAAATTTTAAGTGTGGGGACAAGCTCTAAATTTATGGAGCAAGGTGTGTTCACCCCTATAGCAGTGGTTCCCAACTTGTTATATCCGGGGGCCCCCTTGCGGAGGCATTTAGCACTCATGGCCCCCTGTTTATCATTCCAGTGGTATTTATAGTGCTACTCTAATTGGTGGATTTCAAATCTCATTATGTTCAAACAATCGATGCTCAGCAAAGGAAAAACACCCCGAAAAATGGGCTCATGAAGCAATGAAACTAGGAAGAAGGGTAGTTTCCTCTCAAGCGGGAAAAAGAAAAATCAGTCAGCCTGGCATGGTGGCTCCCCTCCAACTGCTCTATGGCCCCCTTGGTGGGCAACGTGCCCTCGCCTAGGAACACTTGCCCTATAGGAAAAGGCGTAGGGAAATCTCACTCACGTTTATTCCGGACATATTCATTTGCTTTTCAATCACACATTGTCGCTCAAACGATGCCAGAATTTTATTCATGTCCAAAATAGTCATGGGCGCACGTTGAAAACTTGCTGACACTGTAATAAAAATATGAGATGAAACATTAACACTTCGGTCGATGCTCCAGAAGTATGTGTAGTACCAGTATATTTATATCAACAGATTGGAATAGTCAACTTAGGAAGAATTCCGCTTCGGCCTGGACTCGTTTATTCTCAAAAAAACATAGAACAGAATTATAGAATTCATTTAATAACCCCCAATTGACATTACTTAGATCAGCGGTGGACAATTTTTGAGAGGCCGCGAAGCTAATTAAAAATAATCGTTAGATTTGATCTTACTCGCCTTATTTTGGATATTTACATTTCTAAACTTTTTACAAATTCTAAAAAAGGGACAAGTCTTAAAAAGTTTGAGAACCACTGACTTAGTCTTAGACCATACAACCGCTTAGATCGCTAAGTAGCCCCCAAAATTGTTTTGAATTTGTACCATTGATTACAAAGTAACTCACAGGCAATTTCATCGAAATTTTTTGATCTCAAGTAGGCTTTCCTGATCCGAAGTTTTCGTCCTCGAATGAAGAAGCTATACTGTGAATAACAAAACTTGTTCTCAAATTTTATATTATATATTTATGGCAATGTATATTTGTCAGCCTATTTTTGACTAAAGTCAAAGATGTGACACCATACTTAACGTAAATAAAATTATATCTGAATATGCAAAAAGTGGCTCATATTCTGATATGAGTTAGTCAAATACATTACACATTTTTATAAGTTACAAATAGTTTTATCACTAATAACGAAATATCCACCACTCCCAAAATTTGGAAACACCCCCCTAGACTCTAAAATAAAAAGCCGGGGAACATACTTCTGAAAACAAAAACTAGCTAAAGGATCCCGAACCCGACATGGAGTTGTAACCGGACGAGAGGCCGTGTTTCGTCATATCAGCTTCCTTTCTCCCGGAATATATATATATATATATATATAAATCCATCCAGGTATTTTTTGTAGACTGTACATTTGTATTTGTATGTAATCCAGTGTTACCTTTCCACTTAAGACATCTTCCGCTGTAATAGAATCCATGAATGTGACGAATCCGTAATAATCAGTCAGGCTTTTACGGACAATGTTTACGTTAACGATCCTTCCGCATGCCTGAAAAAGTGTGTAATATCGCATGTTTGTAACAATATTTCACAGAACAAGGAAGTATGTGAACCAAGATTGCGGACACCGGAACGTAGTATGTAGGCTATATACCAGGTTAGGGTTGGGCCATCACTTTATTTCAATTTCCTTATTTCAGTTCTGTTACGAGTTCGGGTACTAGCCAAGTATCTTTTGTAGTATTTGTACCTGAAATTATAGCCTATCTCTAACTCTAGTCCAGACCCTCACTCAAACAGGTGTGGTATGCGGATATATAAAATAAGGCGACAGTATATACAGGTATACACACATTAGTAGCCAAATATCTGGAGGACACCAGGTACCACGTACCATTCAGTAATAAAGCATTTTTGTCAATTAGACTACTTCTTTCATGCGGGGAAACTAACCGAAATAAAATAGTCTTACTTCTCATCTGAATGAAATCTTCCAACACTGTAACACATGCAATATCTACTAGTCTACGGTATACCTACGTTTTTACAGAAGTACACAAGCAAAATATTGTAGACTATTTCGGCGTTACATGCCCAATTCCTGAATTCCCCTAAAAACTTCGTTTTATATCGTGGTGCCACTTACATACGGAGGAACTTCCACATCTTATACTATATATTACATACTAACCTCGAACGTTGAGAGGAGCTCAGCTTCGGTAGTTTGAAAATCAAAGTTCCCCACAAATACTCGTCTCGGAATTGGATCTTCCATTGATTATGTCGAAGCTAAAAGTTCAGAGATGAAGTTATCCTGATCCTTCCGATATCGTTTACGTTCACAGCCACAGTCCCGCAATTAATTAATTTGGCGGGAAATTTATGCAACGTAAGCTTTTCATCAGCTGTGCGTTAGATGCGCATCGCGCGTTCTCTCGAAGCCAAGGCAATTTCAAAGATATTCAAAACTACGAGGTTTACAATTGAGCTCTATAGTAAGCTTGGGTATAGTAGGAGCCTTCAAATGGGAAGCGATTCTGTGACATTCGCAGAGAGACACAAACTCGTACTTTTCCAACACTATTTAGCCTCAATTTGTGAACGATTCCTGGCAATAACCCGACGTTTTTTAGCTTACTTTCAATCATTTCACCAAACGAACTAACCGACATAGATGAAATTGCTCGCTTGTTCACCGTCGGCAGCACAGTAAGCGCGCCTCTCCAAGATCTTATTCTGAGCAAAAGGCGCGAGTGAGCGTCTTATTAAAAAAGTCCCTCTTGCCTGGAAATGAGTACATTTTAACTGCAATCCAGAAATATGTGTACCAATATGAAAGTAACAAATTTTGTTCGCTAATTTTTTAGTCAAGTTTGGGGGGGGGGGGGGTTACTGAAGTCTATGGGGAGAGAAAATATTCACTTGGCTAACACAGACAGTCCCCGAACTCGTAATAGAACTAAAATATGAAAAATTGGAATAAGATTAGGGCCTAACCCTAACTTGGTACACATACTACGGGAATAGCCATTTAACTTCTCCGGCTCGCCCAGTCAACTGAAAAATCGGGTGGTCATTTTTTTTTGCCTTACATGGCAAGATAACGAAACGAGAATATCGGTCGGAGACTGAAGACTTATCGATCGAAACTGCGGTTTCGATTCATGACTCTATAGTGACACCGCGTGTCCCATCACTAATTGGACACGAAATGGACATAACGATCGTTTCAAAATTTTGTTGTTATTGTTATTGTACACGTTTAGTGGCCATAACGATCGTTTCAATATTATGTTGTTGTTGTTCTTGTTCTTTGACACGTTTTTAAAAAATCGCTTTTCTCTCCGAATACTGGACCAATTGCTTTGAAATTTTCAGTGGTTAAAGATTAATTTATTCGCTAGAATGCTATTACTTTGATTTATTTCAAAATTTTGCGTGAATTCTATGAAATTTGATATTTCGTCTAAAATTTTGCTGTATTATTTTTTATCCATGGGAACACGGATTTTAGTCAGTGTCATGACTGGCTGTACGTTTTGATTCTGCAAAATTCTTGCTACTGGAAATTCAGAACTTTTTAGAGGGTACCGGTAGCGTCAAAGGTACCGGTAAAGACTGATTCGCTCTGGTCTAACGTGTCCATATATTTGTGCGTAACTCTCTTGTTGTTATTTGTCTCCGTCTCCATTTTTAAAAAATCGCTTTTCTCTTCGAATACTAGACCAATTGCTTTGAAATTTTCAGTGGTTGAAGATTTTTCTCCAGAGGGCTATTACTTTTTTTTTCGCTATGACGTCATCAAAATTATTGCCATTGGGTGGCGCTACGTGTCCATATATTTGAGCATAGCTCTCTTGTTATAATAATAATTATTCATGCAAAATTTGGAGCAGAGTCAACCTTGCTTTCGTGTGATATCGCGTGCATCTAACAGACAGACAGACAAATACCTATCAACATACTTACCGATCAAGATCGATAAGTAACAACTCTTACATTGTTCATTTTGAAATTTCCGTATCTTCAGCAAGATACAAATTTAAATGCTGGCATTCGTGACTGCATTTTATTTTTATCAAATAGTCGTGGCTTTGAACCTAGCCGACACGCAGATTTTTTTGTGATTTATTTCTACCCGTCATCTCCCTTACAAATATCTAACAAGTAACGATATACACAAGCTATGAATTTTCATACCAGAAAGCTCACACTGCCTAGACAAGAGGTCAGAACTGAGTCCTAGACAAACAAGCGAGCTTACCGTATTATCAATACCGATATTTTATATTAATGAAAACAAACGATTGTTACTCAAATATTTTATTTGCTTACGTCCATGTCCCAAAAACATAGCCTGAACGAAGTTGGAACTGTGGAACAGGTGCTGTAACTTACCGGCCCCTGTAACAAGGCGGTTAAAGAATAGTAGGCGAAAAATGCAGTCTGAAACTTAAAATTAAACCCAAACTGATTGGAGTCACATGTACCAAATAAAGGAGATAAACGAGAATATCGGTCAGAGACCGAAGACCTATCGATCGAAAGTTAGGGGATACCCCAAAACAGCGCTCTTACTCCATAGTGACACCTTGTGTCCTATCACTAATTAATTAATAACTCGCTAATTATACGACATAATTCGCCCAAAATCAATAGGCTTCTGGTCCGAGATATGATAAACGATCATGTGAAATCTGGAGCAGATTCGTGAGATATCGCGTGCATCTAACAGACAGACAGACAGACAGACAGACAAATACCTATCAACTTACTTACCAATTAAAATCGAACAGTAATGATAGCTATGGCGACGCCGTCTGGTCCGGTAAAAATATAAATATCTGTTGGAAGGTGAGACTCCATTGATTTGATTAATAGGAAAAAATCTTGCGAGGTATTAATTTAAAATTTTAAATTCACAAATCGTACTCGCGTGTTTTATTCAGTTTTATTTCTCTCTCTTTTTCTATATCCGGGAACTAAATTCAATTGAAAGTTTCATGCATTAAATTATTTATTCTGAATAATAAGGTTTGACAAGAAAAAATTTTCAAATTAAAATTCGTTGGCTGAATCCGTCATTATCAAATCGTCATCTGTATTGTCAGGAAGAAGATCGAACCTGGAAACAAAAAATAATGAATACACTGTGAAGTCGCAAAGCATGATGAATTAATTTATGAATACAAATCAAATGTCGAAATGATACGGAAACTAATGCATGTTTTAATATTAATGCAGATTCAATAAGGAAAAGTTGCAAACTAATAAACGCTATCTCTTTTGTATGGAAATTGAGTAAATATTAAACTGTTTTAATTGATTATCGCGGGACCATGAACGTAGTTAGATTTGGTCTGGATTTAGTGTTGAAAATAATACCATAAGCTTTTATATTCCAGAAACTTTTTGTTTGCTTTGAATGCGTTTTTGTACATTGCAAAGCATCGAGTCAACATTTCCTAATAAAATACCTTACACATTTAAACAATTGAACAATTTTAGAATTACCTACCCGCTCAACAACTTCACCACCAAAAATGAAAAATTTCTTGATCTTCGTTGTCGAATCAATATGATAATTCTTCAGATTGATCTCTTGTTGGAATAATAAGATGTCTCTTCAGATTGGTCATCTTTTCCTATCACAACAATTGATACAAAGATTGAAAATCAGAATAATTGTTATATGTTGTTTCAAATTTATTCAGGAATTGCAAAGCGTATCGAAATAACAGATAAAATTTGCTGAATGCATAATTAATGCAATCTGATTATTCAACCAATAGAATACGACTGCTTTGATATAATTGAACAATAAATGCAATTACTTATGAGCTTAGCGACTTCAGTCAGGCGATGCAATTCGAAAAATTTTCCATGATCTTCGTTATCTGTGATCAGATTGTCGGGCGAACGCAGTACCTTCTTAGACTGGTCACCTTTTAATATTAGGAAAATATCGTTAAGAACAGATATTGAAACACTTTGACTGGGATGTTATTTGAACTAGAAAATATTGGACAGGACAATGTCGGCATAACAGACTCAACCTCAAAAAATATATCTCTAGAATGGAGGTAAACCGACTTTATAAAAGTAGGACAACTGAAATATTTTTATAAAGCACGAGGAAGCTAATGATTTGCCAGTTTTACCACGTACTCGTGAAGAATGAAAAGGTACAGACTGAAAAAAATAAAATACAGACTGAAATCAGACAAAACTAAATATCTATTAAGTGTTGAGTTGCGTTACTTATGGTTTTACAAAATGTTTGTGAACAAATAAAACTGCATTTTTTTAATGCGTTTTCGTTAATATTCCGTAAATAGGAATCTTGAAACATCGCACATAATTGAAAGTATCGGTCAAAGTAAGTCACATGTTCGATCAAACTCAAACAATTTGAAAAGTTTCTGAGAGAAAGGCTAATCTGAAAATAGGTGCTTATGTATATAAGTATTCATACCAAGATGAGGCACAACCTGAAACATCAGCTGGTACACATACTGTGTTCAAGTTGTTCGACATACTGGTAGGCAGTGGCGTAGCAAGACTCTCGTGGGCCCCCCACGCAAAATATTTAGTGGAAATGACCCTAAAACCCTCGGACATAAGCTAAAACAACGTTTTTTATTTCGTCAAAAAGCATAACATGTCGCTATATAAAGGCTATGGTAACCTAAAATTTGCGCTTTCGTGCTTTCGCGTTAGCAAACTCATCCAACATCTTTGTCATATTAATTTTTTCAATTTGCTTCAAAAATCAGTAGCTTGCCTGTGATAATTGTCGTGTAAGTTTTGGAAGAAAAATCATTCGCGCCGCCGCCATCAGTTTTGGAGATTGAACACGTATCTGGTTTTCTACCGATACTACCGGTGCTAGGCCTAATTCCTCCTCAGTTACGTTCGGTATTCCCAAGTCTACTTGTTTCAATTTTGGTTTAAATATTTCGCTTATCTCGGTTTCCTTTATTTTTTTTTTATACGTTCTTCCTCTTCTGCCCTTTTTCTTCGTTTCTGTGCGCCACTGAGAGGTTTTGCTTTCGACATCATTCTGACAACTTTCGTAATTGTGCCGGTACGATCAAACTAGAGATGTAACAATACCACTTTTGTCGCCGATACCGATCCGATACTAGCTAAAAACGCTGATACTACAATAAGGCCGATATTACCGATATTCCGATACCGATACTATGTAATTATTACTTAATTAGTTGTGCTGTGTAAGGCAGGCGGGTTAAAACAATGGTTTTTGAGCGTTGTTCATAGTACACATTATTTCAGATCGAAAAAAAGATATATCACATAATATGAAATTAATGTTTGGTATACATATGCTTTAACTGATTAAGATACATTGTACAGTAACGATAGTAATCTCGGTGTTCAATAAGAAAACTCATAAGCCGGGATGTCCAATTTGAATTTAATGTTAATATCGCGACCTTCGAATATCGTTATTCGTGTTTAAAAGAATATCGAATATCATCCAGACATCCTAGCGCCGCCGTCCTACGTTCGAATTAAAAGCATTTTACAAATATTATATTTCGGCTAATCGAAATCGTCGACGCGATAAGGCAAAGCCAACATGAAAGAATATCAATCAGCACCTACCGAAAAAAGGCCTACCTATAACCGTCGAGGATGTTTTTTTACTTTACTATTTTATATTGTTATACAATTGCCAATTGCCATCATATATTTTGAGACAGTCTAGGGCTAAGCGGTCATGTCAATATATCTATAAAGATATTGTGTAGTTAAACAAAATTCAGCGTAGAGGGATAGTTGTGTCGGAATTTAGTTTATCGATGTTGAAGGACTAAATGACACTCGTACTTGACGACAAACAGTCAGAATTTGTATCCGTGCCAAAAGTCCATGTGCCGTTAATAAGGACCCCAAATCCACTGTTTGATTTAAAACTGGGCGCCAGTTGCTTTTTGTTATATGCTGTGTTGATATATTTCTTCATAATTACTATATAATATTATAAATGTCAATATAAAAAGTTGACAGCAAAAATAGCCAAATTAGTTGGGCTAGTTTGGCTGATAAATAGCTTAAAACACGTGCATCCTATTCTCTCGCAGGGGTGGGGACATGTATGGCTCATAGCTCACGATCTCTCCAGACAAAAAAATAAATTCAAAAGTAGTATTCCAACTTATCTTTTAAAAATATTCTGGATCATATCAAAAAGATAAATATATCGGAAATATTGGCCTTGATCTAACCGATACCGATACTTGGCCGATACCGAAAAAATGGCCGATATTACCGATACCCGATACCGATACATCTCTATATCAAACCACATGACGCCGAAAATCGACGACTCCAGCATTATTACGTAACAATACGATTTGAGCAGAACTAAAATTAACATTATAATTAGATGTGCATTACTGGTTTTGCAATGCAGCTTTTGATTTTGCGGCTTAAATTTCTAAATTCTAACCGCTTGGGGCCCCTTTGCGCTGTGGGCCCCCCGCGACCGCGGGGGTTGCGGGGGTGGATGCTACGCCACTGCTGGTAGGAATACTTCGGGAGCATCGAATGCAAATCTGAAAATTTCACATGATTGGTACACGACTTTGAAAAATTATTCGGCAGAATTTGAATCTTTGGAATTAAAGGAAGTTGAAAATTTAACAACTTACGTGGCTCAAGAGACTTGGCGCTGTAAATACAGAATGAAAATTATATGTATATGTAAATCCGGGAAAAAAGATAATGGTTAAATTGTATCTGGTAGTTTATTTTATTTCAAAATTAAAATAAATCAGGATATTTGAAAAGTGACGGCATTCGATGATGCAATGAAGCAATCAATTTCAACCAACCTGATCCTGTGTGTGAGCAGATGTTTCGTTGATGATGATTACAGATTGTTTTTATTATTTCATGAAATATTTTCCTGATGACATCCGGATGAATAAATACTTATTACTTTTTACTAGTCATAGTTACCATGAATTAGATCCAGCTGTAGCTAGGATTAGATATTCGATTTATAATATTCTAATACAAAAATAAATGACAAATTAAATTTGGCCCCCACATCGAAACATCGAGACAACCATATAAGTAACAATCATTTAATGAAACAAACATAGATAAGTTATTCTGATTGGCATAATAAATCTAATGCAATCTAAAAACGTTATGTGGAAACATTTTCCGGAATTTTTATGAAGCTAACAAACTTATTCAATGGATACAAAGATTTAATGAGTAGCTTATTCATATTTTTTGCAAAAATTTCGCTTGTGTAATAATATGCAGCAGATGTATTTATCGTGTCACCTAATTGAATAATTTGAAATATTTCGACGAAAACTCACGCCAACAATATGTTGGTAACATCTGGTCCATTCCTAAAACATGCTAGAGTTTAAAACAACTTCATTATGATTTTACTGTAATGAAACAACTAAATGATATTACTCAGCTTAAAACATTCGTCTGTTATAGAAAAACAGTTTAATAAAAAAAAATTCCCATAATTTGCTCAGAAATTTTGCAACACCATATTGGGCTTTTCAATTTGAGTCACTGATATATCTTGGTATAAATAAAACTAGCAATTCATAATAATTTCCGATTTTTATTCGTTAGTTATATCTTTCATGAAAAATTGAGTTTGGTAGCAGTCAGTCTGAAATTTTATTGCGTAATAATTGATGGATGGATGATGAATAATTGATGATGAGTTTTCGTCGAAATATTTCAAGTTATTCAATTAGGTGACACGATAAATACATCTGCTGCTGGTTATTACATTAATAAAATTTGCACAGAAATATGGATAAGTTACTCATTAAATCTTTGTATCCATTGAAATTGTTTGTTAGCTTTCTGAAAAATGTTTATACAGTTTATTGAAAAACTTCCCCCCCCCTATTTGCTTAGAAATTTTGCAATAACATGTTGGGGTTATCAATTGGATTTACTGATATATCTTAGTATGAATATAACTGGCAATTCATAATATTTTTCGCCTTGATTCGTTAGTTATATCTTTTATGAAAAACTGAGTTTGTTAGCAGTTAATCTGAAATTTTATTTCATAAAATTAACTTCATCTTTAATCAAAAATAGTTTTTACTCAATTTATTTTCAATGGAAATTACTTGGGTCACGAAATTTTTAATTCACGAAAAGCAATAGTGGCAATCATTTGACACACGAATTCTCTGACATGTTAATGCTTGATACACAGAATGTTTCTAAGTTATACAACTGATATCTACCTATGCTAATAATACTTGTAATGTGTCACGGTTTTCTACATATTGTCAAACAATGGGTTAAGTTTGGTCCGTAAGAGGGTTAATGTACAAGATTGCATTTCATAAAACATACAGTACTTTCTGAAAAAAAAAAACATCTTCAAATCGTTTGTCTCTAGAACAGTAGTTCCCAGCCTTGTCCCCTTGGATGGCCGGTGAAATTGAATAAAATGTACTAGCGGACCGGCAAAATATTTAGTGAAATGAACATAAAATAATAACATATACATGTGCGCAATAAATGCAATTCTGGGCGCTTATTGTGCGTCTATGAGAAAAAAGGCACACATAAAACATTTTACATAAAGAAAACAGGTCCATGCCAAATAATATTCAGACACAATTAGCGCTAGTGGGAATTTGGGCCAGGTTCAAATCACGACGTAAGTACTTCTAGTTGGCGTAGCACAACCATTTTTGCATATGTTATTCCTAGACCTCACCCGACTACGTCATTTTAAAATTACGAAACTACGACGCCACATGTCCTAACTATTCTAACTGCCACCCAAGACGCGCGGAAGATCACCCAAAATCGAGCAAGCTATTTCTCTCGTTTTCTGGTCGTAACGATCCCGATTGGAAAAAGATCGCTGGCGTTAGTGAGTTTGTTATCGTTGGAGAAGATGCCATTTCTAGTAATCGTAGCTATACTTTGGCAAGCTCTTTTGGCGTGATTGTGAATTCGTAGTCATGTATTCTTTGGATGGTGCTATATTATGATTATACTGTGATCAAACAACTGAATAATATTAGATTTTCAGTCATAACATACGTTTATCATAGACATATGGTTTACTGAAAAATTATCCTACAATTTGCCCAGAAATTTTGCAACACCATATTGGGGTTTACAATTGGATTCACTTATATATGTTAGTATAAATAAAATTAGCAATTCATAATAATTTCCGCTTTGATTCATTAGTCATATCTTTCATGAAAAAATGATTTTAGTAGAAGGTAATCTGAAATTTTATTGCATAATAATTAATTTATTATTAATCAAAAATTGTTTTTACTTTATTTATTTTAAATGGAAATTACTTGGGTCACGGAATGTTTATTTTATGAAAAGCAATGTTAGCAATCATTTGACGTATTCTCTGACATGTTGATATTTGTTACACAGAATGTTTCTATGCTAACAACTAATAAATACCTATGTTAATAAAACTTGTTATGTGTTATGATTTGCTACATATTGTCAAACAATTGGTAGAGTTTGGTCCGTGAAAGGGTAAATGTACAGGATTGCATTCCAGAAAACATACAGTAATTTTTGAAAAAGCGCCTTCAAATCGGTTGTCTCTAGAACAGTGGTTCCCAACCTTTTCACCCCGACGGGCCGGTGAAATTGATTAAAATGTACTCGAGGATCGGCAAAATATTTGATAGTTAAACATAAAATAATAACGTATATATGTGCACTAAATACAATGCCGAGCACTCACTGTTCGTCTATGGGTAAAAAAAAAAACAGAAAACATTTTATATAAAGAATGCAAGTCCATGCCAAACCATACTCAGACACAATTAACACGAGTGATAATTTCGCTTCTGTTTCGTTTCCAATATAAAAGGCAAACGACGCATCGCAAAGTTTCTGCAGTACGTATGTCCGCAGTGAGTATTGAAAAGGACTTAGGAACAATCTAAACACATCATTGATTTGGAACCAGGCACGAAATCCCGCTGTTTACGTTTCTGCGGCCCGTGCGCTCGTTGCGTGTATCGTGACCTCCTGTAGGCTCACATCACGTTCAAATCTTACTGGATGCCAAGGAAAGCCGTGCAATATTATACTGTTCTTGACTGTTTTCAGCAATTTGTTTTATTTTACTGTATGGTATTATCTTATTTAATACAGAAAAAACTTCGCTTACCATTCAATTTATTTCAAAACTTTAACATACACCAATGACTGTTAAAAAGAAACCAAAATATTAAGACAAGATAATTCATCCTTTCCTCGAAATCTAGAGACCACAGATAAATAAAATTTCATTTCATGAAACAAACGTAAACAAGTTATTCAGTTTGACATAATGCATATAATGCAATCTAGAAAAGTTTCATGGGAACATTTTTTAGAATTTTCTGAATGCTAACAAACAATTTCAATGGTTACAAAGATTTAATGAGTAACTTATTCATATTTCTGTGCAAATTTTATTAATGTAATAATATGCAGAAGATGTATTTATCGTGTCACCTAATTGAATAACTTGAAATATTTCGACGAAAACTCATGCCAACAATATATTGGTAGCACCTGGTCCATCCATCAATTATTACGCAATAAAATTTCAGACTGACTGCTACCAAACTCAATTTTTCCTGCTAGATATAACTAATGAATAAGAAGCGGAAATTATTATGAATTGCCAGTTTCATTCATACTGAGATAAATCAGTGACTCAAATTGAAAACCCGCCATATGGTGTTGCAAAATTTCTGAGCAAATTGTAGGATAATTTTCCAGTAAACCATATTTCCATGATAAACGTATGTTTCAACAGAAAACTAAGTAATATCACTCAGTTGTTTGATCACAGTATAATCATAATATAGCACCATCCAAAGAATACGTGTCTACGACCTCACAATCACGCTAAAGAGCTTGCAGAAGTTTAGCTACGATTACTCGAAATGGCTTTTTCTCCAACGATAACGAACTCACTAACGCCAGTGATCTCTCTCATATCGGGATCGTTTGACCAGAAAACGAGAGAAATAGCTTGCTCGATTTTGAGTGATCGTCCGCGCGTCTTGGGTGGCAGTTAGAATAGTTAGGGCCTCATTACGTTAATGTGACGTCTAGTGACGTAATTTTTGAATGATGTAGTCAGGTGGGGTTAGGAATAACATATGCAAAAATGGATGTGCCACGCCAACTAGAGGTACTTACGTCGTGTTGTGAACATGGCCCAAATTCCCACTAGCGTTAATTGTGTCTGTGTATGGTTTGGCATTGATCTGTTTTTCTTTTTGTGAAATGTTTGCTGTGTGTCTTTTTACCCATAGACGCACAGTGAGTGCCGGGTATTGCATTTATTGCGCATATCATATATGTTATTTTATATGTTTAATTCACTAAATATTTTGCCGGTCCGCGAGTACATTTTATTCAGTTACACCGGCCCGTCAGGGTGAAAAGGTTGTTCACCACTGTTCTAGAGACATCCAATTTAAAGACGCTTTTTTTTTACTTACGGTATGTTTTCTGGAACGCAATCCTGTACATTAACCCTTTTACGGACCAAACTCAACCCATTGTTTGACAATATGTAGCAAATCATGACACAAGATTATTAGCATAGGTAGATATCAGTTGTATAACTTAGAAACATTCTGTGTATCAAATATTAACATGTCAGAAAATTCGTATGGCAAATGATTGCCACCATTGCTTTTTGTAGATTAAAAATTTCGTGACCCAAGTTATTTCCAATAAACATGAATAAAGTAAAAAATATTTTTGAATAATGATAAATTTAATTATTATGCAATAAAATTTCAGATTAGCTGCTACCAAAACTCAATTTTTCATGGAAGATATAACTAATGAATCAAAGCGGAAATAATTATGAATTGCCAGTTTTATTCATACTGAGATACATCAGTGAATCCAATTGAAACCCCCAATATGTTGTTGCAACATTTCTGAGAAAATTGTTGGAAAATTTTCCATAAACGGTTTCTATAACAGACGTATGATATAACAGAAAACTAAGTGATATCAGTTATTGTTTTAACACAATAAAATCATAATTAAGTTGGTTTGAACTCAAGCATGTTTTACGAATGGACCAGGTGTTACCAGTATATTATTATCAGTTTTCGTCAAAATATTTCAAATTATTCATTTAGGTAACACGATAAATACATCTGCTTCATATTATTACATCAATAGAAATTGCACAGAAATGTGAATTAGCTACTCATTAAATCTTTGTATTCATTGAAAATGTTTGTTAGTTTAATACAAATTCTTTCGCTTCTCCGGTTCCGATTCGTCGCGAAAGTGCTTCGTTAAATCTCTCAAGTGTCAGAAACCTAGAATCGACACCGGTATTTTTCTGTTCTTCGTACTTTTTATGTTCTGCGATTATTAATATTTCTCTGTTCATACCCGAGGCCGTAAGAAAACAGTCAAGAACAGGAACAAGAAACTTCTCTGAAGCCTCGTTTGCCTATTATATTGGGAACGAAAGAGAAGTCAAATTGTCACTAGCGTTAATTGTGTCTGTATATGATTTGGCATGGACCTGTTTTCTTTATGTAAAATGTTTTCTGTGTGTCTTTTTACTCATAGACGCACAGTGAGAGCCCGGCATTGCATTTATATATATATATGATATTATTTTATGTTTAATTCATCAAATATTTTGCCTGTTGAAGACATGTAGCAAATCATGATACATTTGCCTTTCCTGTGTGTAAGCAGATGTTTCATTGATGATGATTACAGATGTTTTTATTATTCCATGAATATTTATTATTAATATTTTTCTAATGACATTCGCATAAATAAATACTTTGTACTTTTTACAAGTTACCATAAATTGGATCCAGCTGCAGCAATTTGTTTCATTGTATCGTATGGTATTATTATCTTATTTGAGACAGAAAAAACATCGCTTACCATTCAATTCATTTCAAAACTATAACATTCACCAATGACTGTTATAAAGAAACAAAATCATTAGACAAGATAATTCGGCCTTTTCTCGAAATCTATAGACAACAGATAAATAAAATTCATTTCATAAAACAAACGTATACAAGTTATTCAGTTTGACTTGACGCATCTAATGCAATCTAAAAACGTTATATGGAAACATTTTTTCAGAATTTTCAGAAGGCTAACAAAAAATTTCAATGGATACAAAGATTTAATGAGTAACTTATTCCTATTTCTGTGCACATTTTATTAATGTAATAATCTGCAGCAGATGTATTTATCGTGTTGCTTATTGAATAACTTGAAATATTTCGACGAAAACTCATGCCATCAATATATTGGTAGCACCTGGTCCATCCAATAATTATTATGCAATAAAACAGATTAACTGCTACAGACTCAATTTTTCATGGAATATATAACTAATGAATCAAAGCGGAAATTAATATAAATTGCCAGTTTTATTTATACAAAAATATATCAGTAACTCAAATTAAAAATCCCAATATGGTGTTGCAAAATTTCTGAACAAATTGGGGAAATTTTTTTAATAAACTTTATTTCTATAACAGACGTATGTTTCAAGCTAAGTCATATCATTTAGTTGTTTTATTACAGTAAAATCATAATTAAGATGTTCTAAACTCTAGCATGTTTTATGAATGGACCAGATATTACCAACATATTGTTAGCATGAGTTTTCGTCGAATTATTTCAAATTATATTCCTGCAATAGTTTTATCACGCCAACCAGAATAACTTATCTATGTTTGTTTCGTTAAATGATTTTTATTTATATTTTTTATCTACGTTTCGATGAAAGGGGCAAATTATTTTTTTATTCATTTTTATTTATTAGAATATTATAAATCGAATATCTAATCCTAGCTACAGCTGGATCCAATTCGTGGTAACTAGAGAAAATTATTTATTTATCCGGATGTCATCAGAAAAATATTTCATAAAATAATAAAAACATCTGTAATCATCATCAATGAAACATATGCTTACACACAGGAAAGGGAAATGTATAAAATGCGACGGGTGTGGACAGCCCATACAGTCGATTTCAGTCTACAAAACAAGACAACTTCCAACCGGAGAAAAATGTCGGCAAAGATTGCAGTATTTATCCTGGCCTTGATGGTCTGCAGTTTCGGATTGATCAGGTTGGTTGGCATTGATTGCTTCATTGCATCATCGAATGCCGGTATTGTATTTTCACGGCATTTTATAACTAATATAATTCTTTATTCTAATTTTCACAGCGCAAAGTCTCTTGAGCCACGTAAGTTGATGAATATTCCTATTTCCTTTAATTTTTAAAGAGTTAAACTCTGTCGAATAAGTTCTCAAACTCTGTTTACAAATAATGTGAAATGTTCAGAATATATTTACTCTCATGAACTAATTAAATTGTTTAAATTTGATTGAACACGTGACTTATTTTTCCAGATACTTTCAATTTGTGCGATGTTTCAAGATTCCTAATTCTCGAATTTTATTTAAAAACAATGGATAGAAATACTTATTACTTACTTAAAAGAAAGATTTATAGATATTTAAATTTGTCTGATTTCAGTCGGGTATCTTATTTATAACTTTTTTCTACTTTATGGGTACGTGGTAAGAGTGGCAAATCATTAGCTTTCTTAAAATTGCTTTATCGAAACATTTTAGTTGTCATAAGCGATTGATTACTTGTGCTCACTTTTATAATGTTGGTATACCTTCTTTCCAGAGATATATTTCTTGATTTTGAGTGTGTTATGCCGACCTTGCTCTGTCTAATATTTTCCAATAGAAAGGACATCACAGTCAAATTGTTGAAATTTCTTGTTCTTTGCGATATTTCTGTAATTTAAACAGGTGATCAGTCTGAGAAGGCATTGCGTTCGTCCGACAACGAAGATAATGAGAGAACATGGTTCCTTTGGGTAATGGGAGACAAGGACACAGGTAATTATAAATAGTATCTTAATTTTATTGATTTAATAATCAGATTGCATTATTTATGTATTCAGCACATTATGTCGAATAAGTTCTAAACTTCAACTACAATTTCTCTATTCCCTGCCGCCAAATGTTCAAAAATTCATTTCAGTTTTATTTCCAAAACTCCCAAAATTGTTGAAGTTTGATGGAACATGTGACTAATTTGCCTGATACTTTCAATTTTGTAAAAAGTTTTTGGACTCATATTTCTCATATTACCCTTGTTCGGTGTTCTCAGGCTCAAAAATAGTATGTAATTCAAGCGACACCGCAAGTCAAATGTTGAAATATCGTTTCTTGACGATATTTTTGTAATATTAACAGGTGATCAGTCTGAGAAGGTATGGCGTTCGTCCGACAACGAAGATAATGAGAGAACATGGTTCCTTTGGGTAATGGGAGACAAGGACACAGGTAATTATAAATAGTATCTTAATTTTATTGATTTAATAATCAGATTGCATTATTTATGTATTCAGCACATTATGTCGAATAAGTTCTAAACTTCAACTACAATTTCTCTATTCCCTGCCGCCAAATGTTCAAAAATTCATTTCAGTTTTATTTCCAAAACTCCCAAAATTGTTGAAGTTTGATGGAACATGTGACTAATTTGCCTGATACTTTCAATTTTGTAAAAAGTTTTTGGACTCATATTTCTCATATTACCCTTGTTCGGTGTTCTCAGGCTCAAAAATAGTATGTAATTCAAGTGACACCGCAAGTCAAAATGTTGAAATATCGTTTCTTGACGATATTTTTGTAATATTAACAGGTGATCAGTCTAAGAAGGCATTGCGTTCGCCTGACAACAAAGATACTGAGAAATTTCTTAGGGCTGTGTAGGTTCTGTCGAAAGTGTTCAAGGGAATAAACAATTGTGAAATAATTAAATACATCATGACGAAACAAAAAATAAAATTTGGTTCAGCATGCAACAATATTATTGAAGTCTTCTAAAAATTATTCCAATTTCAAATGAGCAATTATTTTTGTAATTCTAACCAATCTGAAAAGCATCATATTCAGTTGATGACAAAAATCATGTTAAATTATGGGGGCGTGGTTTTTTCTGTGATGAAAGAAATTGTTTATCACATAGATAATTGCAATTATTGTTCAATTACATAAAAGCAGCCGTATTAACAACAGCACTAACAAAGTCTTGAATTATCAAAAATAATCGAAATTGTCCAATTCTCCAAATTTGATTAGTTGAATAATCAGACCTATAACTTATGTATTCTGCAAATTTTTATTTATTTTTTCGATATGCTTTGCAATTTCTGAATAAATTTGAAAAAAAACAGATAAGAATTATTCTGGATTTCAACCTTTGTAACAATTATTGCGATTGTAACAGGTGACCAATCTGAAGAAGCATCTCATTCATTTGATGACAACGATCTCGAAAAGGGAACATTTTGAACCTAGTGGATGCGCTGAAATCGTTGATCCTATAGGTAATTGTAATTATGATTTGTATTATATTGTTTGTTTGCGACCTTCCGTTTGTCTTATTGTATTTGTTTTAATATTAAAACATGCATTAGCTTTCGTATCATTTCGACATTTGATATATATATATAACTTCATTTGTCATGCTTTACTACCTCGATACTTCACAGTGTATAACAGTGTATTTATTAATTTTTTTTCCATGTTAGCTCTTCTTCCTGACAATACAGATGACGACTCGATAATGACGGATTCAGACAACGAATTTTGATTTGAATATTTTTCTTGCCAAACCTTATTATTCAGAATAAAAGATTTTAATGCATAAAACTTTTGGTTCAATTGTTTCACGGATAAAGAGAAAAAAAGCGTAGAAATAGAATTAACAGTGTCTTAGTTACATTGCGCATATAATTATATGTACCGTTTTGTACTGATTAAAACACGCGAGTACGATCTGGGAATCTCAAATTTTGAACCAATACCTCGCGAGAGATTTTTTAAATATATAAATCAATGGAGTCTCACGTCCCAACAGAAATTTATATTTTTTCTTTGCGCTTACCAGCGTACCTCTGCTAACCCTGCGTGGGTTCGCAAGTTCGGATCCCATGCGGAGTTGATTACATGATATAGCATTGCTGGACTCCTCGCCGCCGTAGGGTGGTTCGCGTAACCGCTGGTCGGTTATGGCTTCCTCCACCATCAAGTCTATGCATCTGAAAACTGGCTTACTAATCCCTTGGTAACCGGACGACGTAATAAGTAAATTTATCGTTATTCAAAAATATTTTTTACTTTATTCATGTTTATTGGAAATTAATTGGGTCACGAAATTTTTAATTCACAAAAAGCAATGGTGGCAATCATTTGACGTACGAATTTTCTGACATGTTAATATTCGATACACAGATGATATCTACCTATGCTAATAAAACTTGTAATATGTCATGGTTTGCTACATATTGTCAAACAATCGGTTAAGTTTGGTCCGTAAAAAAGGGTTAATGTACCGGATTGATTTCCAGAAAACATACCGTAATTTAAAAAAAGCGCCTTCAAATCGGATGTCTCTGGAACAGTGGTTCCCAACCTTTTCACCCTGACGGGCCGGTGAAATTGAATAAAATGTACTCGCGGACCGGCAAAATATTTAGTGAATTAAACATAAAAAATAACATATATAATATGCGCAAAAAATGCAATACCCGGCACTCACTGTGCGTCTATGGGTAAAAAGACACACAGCAAACATTTTACATAAAGAAAACAGGTCCATGCCAAATCATACACAGACACAATTAACGCTAGTGGGAATTTGGGCCATGTTCACAACACGACGTAAGTACTTCTAGTTGGTGTGGCACATCCATTTTTGCATATGTTATTCCTAACCCCACCTGACTACATCATTCAAAAATTACGTCACTACGACGTCACATTAACGTAATAAGGCCCTAACTATTCTAACTGCCACCCAAGACGCGCGGACGATCACCCAAAATCGAGCAAGCTATTTCTCTCGTTTTCTGGTCGTGAAGATCCCGATATGAGAGAGATCACTGGCGTTAGTGAGTTCGTTATCGTTGGAGAAAAAGCCATTTCGAGTAATCGTAGCTAAACTTCTGCAAGCTCTTTAGCGTGATTGTGAGGTCGTAGTCACGTATTCTTTGAATGGTGCTATATTATAATTAAACTGGGATCAAACAACTGAGTGATATTACTTAGTTTTCTGTTGAAACGTTCACGTAGAAATATGGTTTACTGGAAAATTATCCTACAATTTGCTCAGGAATTTTGCAACACCATATGGCGGGTTTTCAATTTGAGTCACTGATTTATCTCAGTATGAATGAAACTGGCAATTCATAATAATTCCGCTTTGATTCATTAGTTATATCTTCCATGAAAAATTGAGTTTGGTAGCAGCTAATCTGAAATTTTATTGCGTAATAATAATGGATGGACCAGGAGTTACCAATATATAATTGACATGAGTTTATGTCGAATTATATTTTAAATTATTCAATTAGGTAACACGATAAATACATCTGCTTTATAATACTACATTAACAAAATTCGAACAGAAATATGAATAAGCTACTCATCAAATCTTGTATCCATTGAAAATGTTTGTCAGCTTCCTGAAAATCCTGAAAAATGTTTCCACATAAAGTTCTTAGATTGGAATAGTTTTATCATGCCAATCAGTATAACTTATGTACATTTGTTTCAAAAAATGATTTTTTTGTATATTTTTTATGTAACTTCGATCAAAGAGTCAAATTATTTTGTAGTATTCATGGACACGTTAGTGAACAAAACCATCGTTTTGTATTTTATGCTGGCACTATTCTTCTTCTTGTTGTTCTTTGTCACAGAAAAAATCGCCTTTCTCTTTGATTACGGGAACAATCGCTTCGAAATTTTCAGTGCTCAAAGATTAAATTTTTCTCTAGAAGGCTATTACTTTTGTTTATTTCAAATTTTCCGGTGAGCTTTATAGGATTCTTTTTTTTTGTGTGCCATGACGTCATCGACATCTGCCACTAGGTGGTGTCCATATATTTGAGCACAGCCCTCTTGTCTATTAGATTATTATAAATCGAATATCTAATACTAGCTACAAACCGCGTCCAATTCATGGTAACTAGTAAAAAGTACTCAATATTTATTTATACGAATGTAATCAGAAAAAATATTTCATGGAATAATACAAACATATGTAATCATTAACAAGAGAGCTATGCTCAAATATATGGACACGTAGCGCCCCCCAATGGCAATAACTTTGATGACGTCTTAGCGGAAAAAAAGCCTTCTGGAGAAATATTTTATCTTCAATCACTGAAAATTTCAAAGCAATTGGTCCAGTATTCGAAGAGAAAAGCGATTTTTTAAAAATGATGGAGACAAATAATAACAATAACAACATAATATTGAAACGATCGTTTTGTCCACTAAACGTGTCCAATAATGAAACATCTGTTTACACACAGGAAAGCGAGATTATGAAAATGCGAATGTTGTGGACAGCCCACACAGTCGATTTCAGTCTACAAAACAAGACAACTTCAAACCGGAGAAAATGTCGGCAAAGATTGCAGTATTTATCCTGGCCATGATGGTCTGCAGTTTTGGATTGATCAGGTTAGTTGACATTGATTGCTTCATTGCGTCATCAAATGTCGTCACTTTTCAAACATTCTAATTTATTTTAATTTTGAATTGAAATGAACCATTAAATCCTACCAATGTATTTCAACCGGATTTTTATATTTAACAATGCTTTATCAAAACATTTTAGTTGTCATATGCGATTTATTACTTTGGCTCACTTGTATAATGTCGGTATACCTTCCCTTCAGAGATATATTTCTTGATTTTGAGTGAGTTAGGCCGACATTGCGCTGTCCAATATTTTTTAAAAGTTATTTCTAATTTCAAGTTTGCAATAATTGAGTAATTGTCCAACAGGTGACCAATCTGAAGGAGCATCATGTTCATCTGATAACAAAGATCATGGAAAATATATTGCCTGGCTAAAGAAATCGCTGAGCGCATAAGTAATTGCAATTATTGTTCAATTATATGAAAGCAGACGTATTCCTTTGGTTGAATAATCAGATTGCGATATTTATGCATTAGGCAAATTTTATCTGTTATTTCGATACGCTTTGCAAATTTTTAATTAACCTAGAACAGTGTTTCCCAACCCGAGTCCGCGGTCTCAAATGAGTCCGCGGAGCGTTTGAATGAGTCCGCAACGAGACAGAAATTCACTGCGGGTCGCAAAGGTTTTGCGAAACTTAACTATCAGCCGAGTTACGATTTACGTTAGAATTTATATAAAAGATAAAAAGTAAGTTTATTCACATAACATTAATCGAGTCAATAATTACTGGTTACTGAGTAGGGCTGGGCATATATTTGAATATTCAACTATTAGTATATCAAATTACTATTCGAAAATTTGATAACAGATTGGATCAAACGATTGGATTTCACAACTTGCGGATTTCCGGCAAAATCACGAGTCTGTATATCTCCGATAGATACCTAAGTGGTGTTTCTCGTGAGTTCGAACAACGAGGAATAATTTTATTTTCTGGTAGGTATCAATGATGGCCACCCAAATTTTCCAAATTTGAAAGCGGCAATACAAAATACTAAAAATAAAACGGAGAACACCATAAGTTTTGTTTTATGATAGTCCGCGACCGAATAAAAACGCTTTTTTGGACATTGCATATCGCAAAATTTCGGGTGCTACCGTAGTATACGTACCGGGGCATTTCTCCTCAGGATTCGTTGTTTTCCTGCCTACACATTGGTTTGTAAAGTACTGCCATATGTGTTGCACGAACAGATCAGATTTGTTGAATTCACAGAAATACGAATCAAAACAAAATATAATCGGGCACTTCACCACGCATTTTTGTGTCCACGGATTGTCATGGGATTTTCTGAGTAGTGTTTCTTTTATTTCGTCAACACAACCGCAGATTAAAACAATTACAAATAAATTAATGATAAAGCAACCCATCTAAAAAATACCTGTATCGGTCATGGATTGAATACTTTATGTAATCGAAAAAATCATTGAAAAGTCGGCTCTTTTAACAAGTTACGTATAAGCGGCGATTACTTTTGAAAAAGTATTCTTGTCGTAAGTCGAAGCAACCGCCTATCCCTAGCCTGGTATACGATTCGTGTGTTTGGTTTCATGGCTCTTCACACAGAGTACGGTTGCAATAAACGCACCTTGAGTCCGCAAAGGTTTTCGCCGATGAGAAAATAGACCGCGACCAAAAAAGGTTGGGAAACGCTGACCTAGAACAACAGATAAAATTATTCTGGATTTCAATCTTTGTAATATTTGTTGCGATAGGAAATGGTGACCAATCTGAAGAAGCATCTCGTTCATTTGATAGCAAAGATCATGGAAAATTTTTGCCTCTAGAATTGTATAGGCGTCTGGCTGAAGAAATCGCTAGAGGTTTAGGCTTAGGTAATTGCATTTATTGTTTATTTATGTCTACGAAAGCAGGCGTATTCTATTGATTGAATAATCAGATTGGATTATTTATGCATAAGTCAAATTTTATCTGGTAATTCGATATGCTTTGCAATTTTTATTTAACCTAGAACAACACATAAAATTTATTCTGGATTTCAATCTTTGTAATATTTGTTGCGATTTCAACAGGTGATCAATCTGAAGAATAATCACATTAATTCGACAATGAATATCAAGAAAAATTTTATTTTTGGTGGTGAAATTGTTGAGCGAATAGGTAACTGTAGAATTGTTCAATTGTTTAAAAGGGGATGAAGGTATAAATTATTTCAATATTCATTGTCAACTTGCCACGTCATGATGTACAAAAACGCATTTAAAGCAAACAAAAAGTTTCTGGAATTTAAAAGCTTATGGTATTATTTTCAACAAGAAATCCAGACCAAATCTAACTACGTTCATGGTCCCGCGAAAATCAATTAAAACAGTTCAATATTTACTCAATTTCCGTACGAGAGAGATAGCGTTTATTAGTTTGCAAATTTTTCTTATTGAATCTGTTTTAATATTAAAACATGCATTAGCTTCCGTATCAGGTCGACATTTTATATGTATTCATAAATTAATTCATCGTGATTTGCTACTTTACAATGTATAGCAGTGCATTTATTAATTTTTTTTTCCAGTTTAGCTCTTTTTCCCGACAGTACAGATGACGATTCGATAATGACGGATTCAGACAACGAATTTTGATTTGAATATTTTTTCTTGTCAAAACTTATTATTCAGAACAAGAGAATTTATTGCATGAATCTTTTAATCGAATTAACTCACAGATAAGCTTCGTTCAATCTATGATTTTTTGGAAAATGGGCTTAGACAAATGAGTTTAGGTCTTCGTGTTTACATATTTGAGTAACGATCGCTTGTTTTTATTGTTATAAAATATTGGTATTGATAATACGTGGCAAGCTCGCTGTTTTGTCTAGGGCTCAGTTCTGTTGCAATGCCAAGGAAATATGAGCCTTCTAGTAAAAAATGGCACTTCAGAAGTGTGTGTACCAATATGGAGGCAACTAATTTTGTTCGCCTACTTTATATCAAATTGTGTAAAGGGAAACCTAAGGGCATGGGGTATATTCCCTTTGAAACACAGACAGTGCAGGAACTCGTAATAGAACTAAAATATAAAAAAATCGGAATAAAATTACGGCCTAACCCCGACCCGGTACACAAACTACGGGAGTACCAAGAAAATTCAAAGCTTGTGCGTATCGTTACTTGTTAGATATTCGTAAGGAAGATAACGTGTAGATATAAAACAAATACTCCACATGTCAGACAGGGTTAAAGCCACGAATATTTATTAAAAATGCAGCTACAAATGTCAGCATTTAAATTAGTATCTTGCTGAAGATACGTCATTACAAACTCATCAATGTAAGAGTTGTTCCTTTATCTTGCAATGGGAGGCAAATAAAATGGCCACACGATTGTTTAGTTGACTGGGCGGCCCGGATAAGTTAAATGTGCACTTCCGCAGTATGTGTACCAGGTTGGGATTAAACCATCATTTTATTCTGATTTTCCTTATTTTAGTTCTATTACGAGTTCGAGGCCTGTCTGTGTCAGCCAGGTGAATATCCCCTCTTCCCATAGACTTGATTCCCCCCACAAAACTACAAAAATTAGCGAACAAAAATATTTACCTTCATATTGGTACACATATTTTCGGAGCGCTGTTAAATGTATTCATTTCCAGGCAAGGGCCACTTTTCAATAAGACGCTCACTCGCCCCTTCCGTTCAGAACAAGACCAGGTACAAGCAGCCACCTGTGTTTTAAAGAAGCGCCCTTACCTACGCTGTCGAAGATATTCAAGCAAGCAATTTCATCTATCTCGGTTAGTTCGTTTGGAGACAGACTTTATTAACATACTTTAATAGCTGTTATAAACAAACAAAATTAATATTGCAATGAGACTGAATATTTAAACTATCATATTCTAACAGAAAAAATAACAAGATAATTGGCCCTTTCATTGAAATATAGAGGCAACAGATTAATAAAAATTATGTTATTAAACAAAATTAAACAAGTTATCCAGTTTGACATGAGGTATTTACCTGAATCTGAAAACGTTATGTGGAAACATTTTTCAGGATTCTCAGGAAGCTAAACAGAACTTTCAATGGATACAAAGATTTAAGTAACTTTTTCATATTTTGTGCAAATTTTGTTAACGTAATATAATGCAGCAGATGTATTTATCGTGTCAGGTAATATTACAATTCGAAATATTTCGACGGAAACTCATGTCAATAATATATTGGTAACACCTGGTTCTTTCATAAAACATGATAGAGTTTGAAACAACTTAATTATGATTTTACTGTAATAAAACAACTGAATGATATTACTTAGTTTTCTGTTAATACATACGTTTATTATAGAATAGAGTTTACTGAAAAATTTATCCCCAATTTGCTCAGAAATTTTGCAACACCATATTGGGGTTATCAATTGGATTCACTGATATATCTTAGTATGAATATAACTGGCAATTCATAACAATTTCCGATTTGATTCATTAGTTATTTCTTTCATGAAATATTGGGTTTTGTAGCAGTTAATCTGAAATTTTAGTGCATAATAAAGATTTATCGTTGATCAAAAATAGTTTTTACTTTATTTATTTTCAATGGAAATTACTTGGGTCAAAAATATTTATTTCACGAAAAGAAATGGTGGCAATTATTTGACGTACCAATTCTCTGACATAATAATATTTGATACACAGAATGCTTCTATTTCATACAACTGATATCTACTTATGCTAATAAAACTTATAATTTATCTTGATTTGCTACATATTGTCAAACAACGGGTTAAGTTCGGCATGTAGAAGGCTTAAAGTACAGGATTGCCATCCGGAAAACATAAAATAATTTCAAAAAAGCGTCCCCAAATCGGTTGTCTCTAGAACAGTGGTTCCCAACCATTTCACCCTGACGAGCCGATGAAATTGAATAAAATGTACTCGCGGACCGGCAAAATATTTAATGAATTAAACATAAAATAACGACATATATATGCGCAATAAATGCATTTCCGGGCGCTCACTGGGATAACAGTTACAAATCTGACGACGGCGCTCGTGAAAGCAGAAGATCTAGGCACGATATGCATGCTAACTAGCATTAGAAACGCTCAATATGCTAAGGGTTGCGTAACCGAGAAATATAAATTCAAAGTACATAAGCGTTTTGGTGTTTTGACTGGTTTCGACTCAATGTCCGTAAACTAAAGTTGAAAGCCACAATTGAAAGGTTTCTTGGTGTTTACCAGTGATCATTCCCCAACTGCTGACTTTAAGATAGAATTCTGTCAGTTTCTTGCGGGTTTAAGGAACAGTCGGCGAAATTGCAGCAGAGAAATATTGACCGGTAGTGCGAAGAGTTTGGAAGAATGATGATTTGAATTCAGAATTTCACAGTAATTTAAAATTTGATTCAAACTCAAAGTGATTGGAGTCACATGAACAAAATAACGGAGCTATATCGGAGCTAAGGTCGTTTCTGAGGCAGGATAGGAAAGGATTTAGATATTTATCTCGGGAGAAAGGGAAGCCGACAAGACGGCTTAATCAGATGGCGGACCACGGCCTCTCGTCCGGTTACCAGTTCATGTCGGGTATGGGATTAGTTGGCCAGTTTTCAGATGCATGGACTTGATTAGGGAGGAAGCCATAACCGACCAGTGGTTACGTGGACCACCCTATGGCGGCAAGGAGTCCATCAATCCTCTCGCACGTAATCAACTCCGCATGGGATTCGAACCTGCGAACCCACGCAGGAGAGCATAGGTACGCTGGCAAGCGCAAAGAAAAAATATAATAACTGTTGGAACGTGAGACTCCATTGATTTGATTATTAAAAAAAACTCTCGTGAGACTAACTTAGACACTGTTAATTCTATTTCTACGCTTTTCTTCTCTTCATCCGTGATACAATTTAACCAAACGTTTTATGCATTAGAATCTTTCATTCTGAATAATAAGGTTTGGCAAGAAAAAATATTCAAATCAAAATTCGTTGTCTGAATCCGTCATTATCGAGTCGTCGTCTGTATTGTCAGGAAGAAGAGCTAACATGGAAAAAAAATTAATAAATACACTGTTATACACTGTGAAGTATCAAGGTAGCAAAGCATAATCAATTAAGTTATATATACATATCAAATGTCGAAATGATACGAAAGCTAATGCATGTTTAAATATTAAAGACAAACGGAAAATCGCAAACAAACAATATCATACAAATCATAATTACAATTACCTGTCCTATAGGATCAACGTTTTCAGCGCATCCACCAGGTCCAATATGTACCCTTTTCATGATCGTTATCATCAAATGAACGCGATGCTTCTTCGGATTGGTCACCTGTTACAATCACAACAATTGTTACAAAGCTTAAAATTCAGAATAATTCATATCTGTTATTTAAAATTTATTCAGAAATTGCAAAGCATTTCGGGAAAATAAATAAATTTGCCGCATACATAAGTAATGCAATCTGATTATTCAACCAAGAAAATTAAGATACTATTTATAATTACCTGTGTCCTTGTTTTCCAGTACACCCCAACCAAACTTGCCAGCAGGCCACATTCTCTCATTATCTTCATTGTGGCTCGAACGCAATGCCTTCCTAGACTGATCACCTAATATTATTATATTAATATCGTAAAGAACTGAAATTTCAACATTTTGATTGAAATGTCACTTGTATTAGATACTATTCAGAATTACCTATTTCCTCGATAGCTTTTTTCACCAAAGGAACGAACAAACCCCAAAATCTCTCATTATCTTTATTTCCGGGCGAACGCAATATCTTCTTAGACTGATCACCTGTTATTATTATAATAAGATCGTAAAGAACTGAAATTTCAACATTTTGATTGAAATGTCACTTGTATTAAATACTATTCAGAATTACCTATTTCCTCGATGGCTTTTTTTACCAAAGGAACGAACAAACCCCAAAATCTCTCATTATCTTCGTTATCGGGCGAACGCAATGTCTTCTTAGACTGATCACCTGTTATTGTTACAAAAATATCGTAAAGAACTGAAATTTCAATATTTTGATTGAAATGTCACTTGTATTAGATACTATTTAGAATTACCTATTTCCTCGATGGCTTTTTTCACCAAAGGAACGAACAAACCCCAAAATCTCTCATTATCTTCGTTATCGGGCGAACGCAATGTCTTCTTAGACTGATCACCTGTTAATGTTACAAAAATATCGTAAAGAACTGAAATTTCAATATTTTGATTGAAATGTCACTTGTATTAGATACTATTCAGAATTACCTATTTCCTGGATGGCTTTTTTCACCAAAGGAACGAACAAACCCCAAAATCTCTCATTATCTTCGTTATCGGGCGAACGGAATGTCTTCTTAGACTGATCACCTGTTAATGTTACAAAAATATCGTAAAGAACTGTAATTTCAATATTTTGATTGAAATGTCACTTGTATTAGATACTATTTAGAATTACCTATTTCCTCGATGGCTTTTTTCACCAAAGGAACGAACAAACCCCAAAATCTCTCATTATCTTCGTTATCGGGCGAACGCAATGTCTTCTTAGACTGATCACCTGTTAATGTTACAAAAATATCGTAAAGAATTGAAATGTCAATATTTTGATTGAAATGTCACTTGTATTAGATACTATTCAGAATTACCTATTTCCTCGATAGCTTTTTTTACCAAAGGAACGAACAAACCCCAAAATCTCTCATTATCTTCGTTATCGGGCGAACGCAATGTCTTCTTAGACTGATCACCTGTTAATGTTACAAAAATATCGTAAAGAACTGAAATTTCAATATTTTGATTGAAATGTCACTTGTATTAGATACTATTTAGAATTACCTATTTCCTCGATGGCTTTTTTTACCAAAGGAACGAACAAACCCCAAAATCTCTCATTATCTTCGTTATCGGGCGAACGCAATGTCTTCTTAGACTGATCACCTGTTAATGTTACAAAAATATCGTAAAGAACTGAAATTTCAATATTTTGATTGAAATGTCACTTGTATTAGATACTATTCAGAATTACCTATTTCCTCGATGGCTTTTTTCACCAAAGGAATGAACAAACCCCAAAATCTCTCATTATCTTCGTTATCGGGCGAACGCAATGTCTTCTTAGACTGATCACCTGTTAATGTTACAAAAATATCGTAAAGAACTGAAATTTCAATATTTTGATTGAAATGTCACTTGTATTAGATACTATTTAGAATTACCTATTTCCTCGATGGCTTTTTTCACCAAAGGAACGAACAAACCCCAAAATCTCTCATTATCTTTAATTCCGGGCGAACGCAATATCTTCTTAGACTGATCACCTGTTATTGTTACAAAAATATCGTAAAGAACTGAAATTTCAATATTTTGATTGAAATGTCACTTGTATTAGATACTATTTAGAATTACCTATTTCCTCGATGGCTTTTTTCACCAAAGGAACGAACAAACCCCAAAATCTCTCATTATCTTCGTTATCGGGCGAACGCAATGTCTTCTTAGACTGATCACCTGTTAATGTTACAAAAATATCGTAAAGAATTGAAATGTCAATATTTTGATTGAAATGTCACTTGTATTAGATACTATTCAGAATTACCTATTTCCTCGATAGCTTTTTTCACCAAAGGAACGAACAAACCCCAAAATCTCTCATTATCTTTAATTCCGGGCGAACGCAATATCTTCTTAGACTGATCACCTGTTATTGTTATAATAATATCGTAAAGAACTGAAATTTCAATATTTTGATTGAAATGTCACTTGTATTAGATACTATTCAGAATTACCTATTTCCTCGATAGCTTTTTTTACCAAAGGAACGAACAAACCCCAAAATCTCTCATTATCTTCGTTATCGGGCGAACGCAATGTCTTCTTAGACTGATCACCTGTTATTGTTACAAAAATATCGTAAAGAACTGAAATTTCAATATTTTGATTGAAATGTCACTTGTATTAGATACTATTTAGAATTACCTATTTCCTGGATGGCTTTTTTCACCAAAGGAACGAACAAACCCCAAAATCTCTCATTATCTTCGTTATCGGGCGAACGCAATGTCTTCTTAGACTGATCACCTGTTAATGTTACAAAAATATCGTAAAGAACTGAAATTTCAATATTTTGATTGAAATGTCACTTGTATTAGATACTATTCAGAATTACCCATTTCCTCGATGGCTTTTTTCACCAAAGGAACGGACAAACCCCAAAATCTCTCATTATCTTCGTTATCGGGCGAACGCAATGTCTTCTTAGACTGATCACCTGTTAATGTAACAAAAATATCGTAAAGAACTGTAATTTCAATATTTTGATTGAAATGTCACTTGTATTAGATACTATTTAGAATTACCTATTTCCTCGATGGCTTTTTTCACCAAAGGAACGAACAAACCCCAAAATCTCTCATTATCTTCGTTATCGGGCGAACGCAATGTCTTCTTAGACTGATCACCTGTTAATGTTACAAAAATATCGTAAAGAATTGGAATTTCAATATTTTGATTGAAATGTCACTTGTATTAGATACTATTCAGAATTACCTATTTCCTCGATAGCTTTTTTTACCAAAGGAACGAACAAACCCCAAAATCTCTCATTTTCTTCGTTATCGGGCGAACGCAATGTCTTCTTAGACTGATCACCTGTTAATGTTACAAAAATATCGTGAAGAACTGAAATTTCAATATTTTGATTGAAATGTCACTTGTATTAGATACTATTTAGAATTACCTATTTCCTCGATGGCTTTTTTTACCAAAGGAACGAACAACCCCCAAAATCTCTCATTATCTTCGTTATCGGGCGAACGCAATGTCTTCTTAGACTGATCACCTGTTAATGTTACAAAAATATCGTAAAGAACTGAAATTTCAATATTTTGATTGAAATGTCACTTGTATTAGATACTATTCAGAATTACCTATTTCCTCGATGGCTTTTTTCACCAAAGGAACGAACAAACCCCAAAATCTCTCATTATCTTCGTTATCGGGCGAACGCAATGTCTTCTTAGACTGATCACCTGTTAATGTTACAAAAATATCGTAAAGAACTGAAATTTCAATATTTTGATTGAAATGTCACTTGTATTAGATACTATTTAGAATTACCTATTTCCTCGATGGCTTTTTTCACCAAAGGAACGAACAAACCCCAAAATCTCTCATTATCTTCGTTATCGGGCGAACGCAATGTCTTCTTAGACTGATCACCTGTTAATGTTACAAAAATATCGTAAAGAACTGAAATTTCAATATTTTGATTGAAATGTCACTTGTATTAGATACTATTCAGAATTACCTATTTCCTCGATAGCTTTTTTTACCAAAGGAACGAACAAACCCCAAAATCTCTCATTATCTTCGTTATCGGGCGAATGCAATGTCTTCTTAGACTGATCACCTGTTAATGTTACAAAAATATCGTAAAGAACTGAAATTTCAATATTTTGATTGAAATGTCACTTGTTTTAGATACTATTCAGAATTACCTATTTCCTCGATGGCTTTTTTCACCAAAGGAACGAACAAACCCCAAAATCTCTCATTATCTTCGTTATCGGGCGAACGCAATGTCTTCTTAGACTGATCACCTGTTAATGTTACAAAAATATCGTAAAGAACTGAAATTTCAACATTTTGATTGAAATGTCACTTGTATTAGATACTATTTAGAATTACCTATTCCCTCGATGGCTTTTTTCACCAAAGGAACGAACAAACCCCAAAATCTCTCACGATCATTGTTGTCCCACGACATATGAGGTTGAATAATTGGTGGATCTGGCATCCACAAAATGCCGGACTTCTCATCCCCTGGGAGAAAAAATTGGCGTTTTGTTATTTGGTAATTCAAGGGTGTAGAACACGAGTCCAGACCTGTTTTCGTGATCAAAACCAACATACCGGTATAAGAGAAAATGAAGGATTTATTTTTGTCTTGCGATAGAGACAAATTAAAATGTAGAAAAATCATACCGCGTATTCATTGCATAGAAAAAAGTTTCAAATAACATGCCGACCAAAATCAGACAAACTATCAAATATCAAAATATTGAGTTACGCTAATTTTGGTGTTTCATATTTTAAAAAATTAGAGAAAAAAACTGTATTTTGATCGATGCTTTTTCGGTAAAATTTGGGAAACATGAATCCAAAAACTTTCTACAAAATTGAAAGTATCAGGCAAAGTGAGTCACATGTTCAATCAAACTCCAACAATTCAAAGAGTTTCTAAAAGTAAACTAAACTCAATTTTGAAACAATTCGCACGAAATAAAGAAATTGTAGTGGAAGTTTAGAACTTATTCGACACAATTATTTACAGTTAGACAATGAAAAGTCATCAACTTACGATTCCCGAGAGTCTTTGCGCTGTGGAAAATGAATGAATATTGATTAGTTAGTAATTATAAAAAATCCGGTTGAAAGACATTGGTAGGATTTAATGGTTCATTTCAATTCAAAATTAAAATAAATTAGAATGTTTGAAAAGTGACAACATTTGATGACGCAATGAAGCAATCAATGTCAACTAACCTGATCAATCCAAAACTGCAGACCATCATAGCCAGTATAAATACTGCAATCTTTGCCGACATTTTTCTTCGATTTGAAGTTGTCTTGTTTGGTAGACTGAAATCGACTGTATGGGCTCTCCACAACATTCGCATTTTTATACTTTTCTCTTTCCTGTGTGTAAGCAGCAGATGTTTCATTAATAATGATTACAAATGTTTGTATTATTCCAGGGAATATTTTTTCTGATTACATTCGATTCTGATTACATTACTAGTTACCATGAATTGGATGCGGTTTGTAGCTAGTATTAGATATTCGATTTATAATAATCTAATAAACAAGAGAGCTATGCTCAAATATATGAACACCGCCTAGTGGCAGATGTCGATGACGTCATGGCACACAAAAAAAAATCCCATATAGCTCACCGGAATATTTGAAATAAATAAAAGTAATAGCCTTCTAGAGAAAAATTTAATCTTTGAGCACTGAAAATTTAAAGCGATGGTTCCAGTAATCAAAGAGAAAGGCGATTTTTTCTGTGACAAAGAACAACTAGAAGAAGAATAGTGCCAGCATAAAATGCAAAACGATGGTTTTGTTCACTAACGTGTACATGAATACAACAAAAAAATGTGACTCTTTGATCGAACTTACATACAAAATATACATAAAAATCATGTGATGAAACGAACGTACATAAGTTATACTGATTGGCATGATAAAACTATTGCAATCTAAGAACTTTGTGGGGAAACAAAGAAGCTGACAAACATTTTCAATGGATAAAAAGATTTAATGAGTAACTTATTCATATTTCTGTGCACATTTTATTAATGTAATAATCTGCAGCAGATGTATTTATCGTGTTACATAATTGAATAACTTGAAATATTTCGACGAAAACTCATGTCATTAATATATTGGCAGCTCCTGGTCTATCCAATAATTATTATGCAATAAAACAGATTAACTGATACCAGGCTCAATTTTTCATGGAATATATAACTAATGAATCAAAGCGGAAATTATTATAAATTGTCAGTTTTATTTATACAAAGATATATCATTAACTCAATTTAAAAAACGCAATATGGTGTTGCAAAATTTCTGAGCAAATTGGGGGAAATTTTTTAATAAACTGTATTTCTATAACAGACGTATGTTTCAAGCTAAGTAATATCATTCAGTTGTTTTATTACAGTAAAATCATAATTAAGTTGTTTTAAACTTTATCATGTTTTATGAATGGACCATGAGTTTTTCGTCGAAATATTTCAAATTATTCAATTAGGTGACACGATAAATACATCCGCTGCATATTATTACTTTAATAAAATTTGCACAGAAATATGAATAAACCACTCATTAAATCTTTGTATCTATTGAAATCGCTCATTAGCTTCCTGAAAATTCTGAAAAATTTTTCCACATAACGTCTTTAAACTGCAATAGTTTTATCACGCCAATCAGAATAACTTATCTACGTTTGTTTCGTTAAATGATTTTTATTTATATTTTTTTATCTACGTTTCGATGGAAGGGGCAAATTAATTTTTTATTCATTTTTTTTATTAGATTATTATAAATCGAATATCTAATCCTAGCTACAGCTGGATCCAATTTGTGATAACTAGTGAAAAGTATTTATTTATTTATTTATCCGGATGTCATCAGAAAAATATTTCATGGAATAATAAAAACATCTGTAATCACCATCAACGAAACTTCTGCTTACACACAAAAAAGAGAAATGTATAAAATGCGACGGATGTGGACAGCCCATACAGTCGATTTCAGTCTACAAATCAAGACAACTTCCAACCGAAGAAAAATGTCGGCAAAGATTGCAGTATTTATCCTGGCCATGATGGTCTGCAGTTTTGGATTGATCAGGTTAGTTGACATTGATTGCTTCATTGCGCCATCGATTGTCGTCACTTTTCAAACATTCTAATTTATTTTAATTTTCAATTGAAATGAACCATTAAATCCTACCAATGTATTTCAACCGGATTTTTATAATTAACAATGCTTTATCAAAACATTTTAGTTGTCATATGCGATTTATTACTTTGGCTCACTTGTATAATGTCGGTATACCTTCCTTTCAGAGATATATTTCTTGATTTTGAGTGAGTTAGGCCGACATTGCGCTGTACAATATTTTCATAAGTTATTTCTAATTTCAAGTTTGCAATAATTGAGTAATTGTCCAACAGGTGACCAATCTGAAGGAGCATCATGTTCATCTGATAACAAAGATCATGGAAAATATATGCCACTGCTAGATTTGGTTGATCGCCTGGCTAAAGAAATCGCTGAGCGCATAAGTAATTGCGATTATTGTTCAATTATATGAAAGCAGACGTATTCCATTGGTTGAATAATCAGATTACATTATTTATGCATTAGGCAAATTTTATCTGCTATTTCGATAAGCTTTGCAAATTTTTAATCAACCTAGAACAACAGATAAAATTATTCTGGATTTCAATCTTTGTAATATTTGTTGCGATGGGAAATGGTGACCAATCTGAAGGAGCATCACGTTCATTTGACAGCAAAGATCATGGAAAGTTTTTGCCTCTAGAATTGTATAGGTGTCTGGCTGAAGAAATCGCTAGAGGTTTAGGCTTAGGTAATTGCATTTATTGTTTATTTATGTCTACGAAAGCAGGCGTATTCTATTGATTGAATAATCAGATTAGATTATTTATGCATAAGTCAAATTTTATCTGGTATTTCGATATGCTTTGCAATTTTTAATTAACCTAGAACAACAGAGAAAATTTATTCTGGATTTCAATCTTTGTAATATTTGTTGCGATTTCAACAGGAGATCAATCTGAAGAATAATCACATTAATTCGAGAACGAATATCAAGAAAAATTTATTTCTGGTGGTGAAATTGTTGAGCCAATAGGTAATTGTAGAATTGTTCAATTGTTTAAAAGGGGATAAAGGTATAAATTATTTCAATATTCATTGTCAACTTGCCACGTCATAATGTACAAAAACGCATTTAAAGAAAACAAAAAGTTTCTGGAATATAAAAGCATATGGTATTATTTTCAGCAAAAATCAATGAAAACAGTTCAATATTTACTCAATTTCCGTACAAGAGAGATAGCGTTTATTAGTTTGCAAATTTCTCTTATTGAATCTGTTTTAATATTAAAACATGCATTAGCTTCCGTATCAGGTCGACATTTTATTTGTATTCATAAATTAATTCATCATGATTTGCTACTTTACAATGTATAGCAGTGCATTTAATAATTTTTTGTTTCCAGGTTAGCTCTTTTTCCCGACAATACAGATGACGATTTGATAATGACGGATTCAGACAACGAATTTTGATTTGAATTTTTTTTTTTTTGTCAAAACTTATTATTCAGAATAAAGAATTTATTGAATGAAACTTTTAATGGAATTAACTCATAGATAAGTTTCGTTCAATCTATGATTTTTTGGAAAATGGGCTTAGGCAAATGAGTTTAGGTCTTCGTGTTCACATATTTGAGTAACGATCGCTTGTTTTTATTGTTATAAAATATTGGTATTGATAATACGTGGCAAGCTTGCTGTTTTGTCTAGGGCTCAGTTCTGTTGCAATGTCAAGGAAATATGAGCCTTCTGGTAAAAATGGCACTTTAGAAGTGTGTGTACCAATATGGAGGCAACTAATTTTGTTCGCCTACTTTACATCAAGTTGTGTAAAGGGAAACTTAAGGACATGGGGTATATTTACTTGGCTAACACAGACAGTCCAGGAACTCGTAATAGAACTAAAATAATAAAAATCGGAATAAAATTATGGCCTAATCCTGAGCTGGTACACACACTACGGGAGTTTGGGGAGTACTAAGAAAATTCATAGCTTGTACTTTATGCGACTGGTTATTAGGATTGGTGGCGACTCGAATACGTAAATCTTCTAAAAAAACAAAAGAAATTAAATTAAAATTCTAATCTGTGAAAATTTCCTTTTTACGATCTTTTCAAAGGAACAAAAATTTGCTACACAAAGAATGACCATGTGGCTTTTTCAAGCATAGCAGTTTTGTACGCTATACAGCACTTCTTATCGTGTTTCCCCGAAATTTAGACAGGATTTAGATTTATTTTCTTTTGAAGAATAACACTATTTTTTTTTGGAAGAGCTCTTTTGTGTTCATTTATCAAAAATAAAATTTAAATTGTAGAAAATCACAAGATTTTCACTAAACATTATATAAAAACCGACATCTATTGTTTTTATTTGTATTTCCTATACAAAAATCAAGTGAAAAATATCATAATTGTGATATCACACAATCTTGAACAGTGGTGTGATCTTTATCTTACCTCGAGCCAATGAACCTTTCCTCTTCCACACATTTTAAATTTATTTTAAGGGTAGGGTTTAATTAAAATCATTTTGAAAATTAAAATTATTATCTTATTTTCAGACTAGGTCTTCATTTCGAGGAAACACGTTAGTTTTGCGATGATTAGCCATTGCTGTGTTCTGTGTTATGTCATAAAAAAAATCAAATTAAAGTTAAGTGGGTCGCCATAAGCTGTGGTAATAAATAGTCTGTCCCAACTTCATCTAGAGCAGGTTCCCAATCTTTTCACCCTGACGGGCCGGTGAAATTGATTAAAATGTCCTCGCGGATTGGCAAAATATTTCATGAATTGAACATAAAATAATAACATATATATGCGCAATAAATACTACGTCGGGCACTCACTGTTCGTCTATGGGTAAAAAAGCACACAGAAAACATTTAATATAAAGAAAGCAGGTCCATGCCAAATCATACTCAGACACAATTAACACGAGTGAGAATTTTGCTTCTGTTTCGTTTCCAATATAAAAGGCAAACGAGGCATCACGAAGTTTCTGCAGTACGTATGTCCGCAGTGAGTATTGAAAAGAACTTGGGAACAAACTAAACACATCTTTGATTTGGAATCAGGCACGAAATCCCGCTGGGTATACTGTAATCGAGAAAAGATCTCTGCGACCCGTGCTTTTGTTGCGGGTATCGTGACCTCCTGTAGGCTCACATCAGGTTCATATCTTACTGGATGCCAAGGAAAGCCGTGGAATATTATACTGTTCTTGACTGTTTTCTTACGGCCTCGGGTATAAACAGAGAAATATTAATAACCACTGAACATAAAAAGTACGAAGAACAGAAAAATACCGGTGTCGATTTTAGGCTTCTGACACGTGAGAGATTTAACAAAGCGCTTTCATGACGAACCGGAAAGGCGAATTTTAAATGAAGCTAACAAACATAATCAATGGATACAAGATTTAACGAGTAACTTATTCATATTTCTGTGCAAATTTTATTAATGGAATAATCTACAGCAGATGTATTTATCGTGTTACATAATTGAATAACTTCAACGTTTTGTCGCATGAACTTTCGATGACAATTTGGTCAATGAAGACAGCCGGGGGGGGGGGGGGGGATGTAAATGTAGGCCCCTAATGTAAAATTTGAAGCTAAAAAAATAGAAGCTATGGTCTTTGGATTGATTGATGTCTATTGCTTTGATGTCACGAAAATATGGTAACCCTAACTTAATCCCATATCCGACAGGTCACAAACATCCAGCCAGGCTCAACCAAAGTACAGGGAGAATATTTCAGGGGTCAAGGACCGGGGAAAAGTCTATCTTATCTAGATTTCGTGTCCAAAAATGACCAAAAAACTCAGTGATGACTGTCTTTCATGTGATTCTACTTGTCGAGCAGACCGTGATCAATTTTTGTGAATTTATGACGTGTTGTTGATCACATGCCTGCGACCGCTCGCTTTCATTCTGTTCATATCTAAGAATCTGTAAGATTGTTAACTGTGTTTGAAGGTTCAGATTGTGTGTCGATGATTCGTATAATATTTCAGTAGGATATTTGGCTAATCCCAAGCGTGGTTTTGGTCATGTCAGCATTTACAGATTTATGGTACCGGTACTACCGGTAACGGCAATCCTTACCGGTACAAGATTAGGTCCGGTACCGGTATTAATACTGTCAGACTGTACCGGTGGGCCCTACTAAAAAGGTAGGTATCATAGATATCACTCACTAAAAAGGTAGGTATCAGTAGTAAATGACTAAAAAGGTAGGTATCAGTAGTAGATGACTAAAAAGGTACCGGTAGGTATCAGTGTCTAAAAAGGTAGGTATCAGTAGTAAATGACTAAGCGGACATCGGAACGTAACATGGGTAACAGGTTAGGGTTAGGCGATAATTTTTTTCCAATTTTCCTAATTTTAGTCCTATTATCAGTTCTAAGACTAGCCAAGGGCCTCCCGTCTGCCCGTAGTATTTATACCAAAAATTATGGCCTAACCCTAACCTAGTACACATATTACATTCCGATGTCCGCCATCTTGGTTCGCATACTCCGGGAGCCCCCTTTTTAGTCATCTACTACTGATACCTACCTTTTTAGTTATTTACTACCGTACCGGTACTGATACCTACCTTTTTGCTTTTTAGTCATCTACTACTGATACCTACCTTTTTAGTTATTTACTACTGATACCTACCTTTTTAGTCATCTACTACTGATACCTACCTTTTTAGTCATTTACTACTGATACCTACGGTATCTTTTTATGGAGTGATACCTATGATACCTACCTTTTTAGTAGGGTCCGTACCGGTACCGTACTGTATTACGGTACCGTACCTGAATACCGGCATCCTGCCGAATACTGGAATATGGTGTGACCCAATTTGTATTTTCTTTCTTTGTTTTGTTTCGTTTGTCTATTTCTCTTTTTCCAAGTACCGGTACTAAAGTGCAGAAGTAATACAGTAAGAGGTCTATACCGGTACCGGTAACCCAGTCTGGATTTCATGGCCTTTTTGAACGAGAAATCGGGCGTGCAATCAGAAATTCCCGCGTGCAAATAAGAATTCCTGGCGTGCAATCATAGCTCACGACGTGCAAAACAACTGCACTCGCGTGCAACTGACTTTGATATCAGATACCTCTCAATACATCCGCGTAAAATTACCGGTATCGGATAAAAAATACGTTGAATCAGAGAAAAAATGGACGTTTGACCTCTGACCCCAAACATTATTTCTACAGTTTGTCGCTAATTTTGAGAGTGTTTGTGCGACTTTGGATACCGGTACTGTTCAGTACATCCGCGTAAAATTATTGGATAAAAAATACGTTGAACCAGAGCAAAATGGACATACTTTGTCATTAATTTTGGTAGTGTTTTTACGTAGAATTAATGGATAAAAAATACGTCAAATTAGAGCAAAAATGGACGTTTGACCTTTGACCCCAAACATTATTTTCATACTTTGTCACTAATTTTGGGAGTGTTTGAGCAACTTTAGATACCGGTACTGTTCAGTACATTCGTGTAAAATTATTGTATGAAAAATACGCTGAATCAGAGCCGTACTTGGCCATTGGTGCGGAGGCGATCTTTTCGTCCATAACTATTCTCACGGGATTCCTATTTCCTATCATTCAACACGATATGGACCTTTCCCCGAGCATCGACTTCCTTGTTTACTTCGTGATATTGGCCAATCAGCAAGATGCAAAAAAGGACGTAACAATGAGAGGAATTTTTCGCGGGTCAAAGGTTGGGGAAAGGTCCATGGTCTTTTTGCTTCGCAATATTTCGATCAGACCAAATCTTGCAAGCTGGTATTTGTCGACAATTGTGGAGGTATAATATTTTGGCATCTTTATATTACTGGATTATTGATGTTAAAACCATTTAAACCGATTTACATTGGTGAGCAATTGCAAATTTTCGGCGTGCAAAATTGATTTCGCTCGCGTGCATTTTTGCGGAGCGCTAGCGCCCTCGGGCGTGCACCTGCCATGGAATCCAGTCTGGCCGGTAACTTAATATACGGTACGGTACAATTTTACTTCGACGTTGTGGCACATCGTGCTAAGTGTTAGGAATACGCTCGCCACCACATCTCTGATTTACGGTACCGGTACCGTACCCTGCGTGGGTTCGCAGGTTTGAATCCCATGCGGATGCGGGGATGATCATGTGCGAGAGGATTGCTGGACTCCTCACCGCCATAGGGTGGTTCACGTAACCGCTGGTCGGTTACGGCTTCCTGGCTTCCTCCATCATCAAATCCATGCTTCGAAAACAAAATAACTGGCTAACTAATCCCATACCTACCCGACCTGGACTGGTAACCGGACGAGATGCCGTGGTTCGCCATATGATTAGCCGTCTTATTGGCTTTCCTCTCTCCCGAGATAAATAGGTGAATCCTATCCTTATTTCGATCTTTCGTCTACAACACAAATAAAAATAACAAAACACAGACAAGGGCAACTGGAAGATCGGGAAAATGGGCAAAACAGGAAAATGAAAACACATCATGACAATCATACTAGAATAAATTAATGAACGAAGTACATGATCACCAGAAAATGAATTTCACGGGCGAAGCTTACTAATTTTGATGAGTGAAAGCTGTGTAGAATATAAAAACAAATAGTTATGTGACGGTGCCTGTGCCGAAATGTGAATACCAATAATAACAATTAATTGATTAGCTGCTGTTTTTTGTAAACAAATAAAGCTAAACAACAAACATGAAAACTAGTTTTGGGCGTTGCTTCGTATGTCTGTATGTTACAAAATTGGTTCGAATTCCGGAGCTTGCTGTCAACAAATGATCAACGCAAATCTTTTTAAAGCAGCTCCAATGTATAAATGATACACAAGCTAGTCTGTATTCAATCCTGTTTGTCCGGTTTTCCAAGTTTTAGTCTTGAAATTTCTTACTCCGGTACTCCACTGTTTAATACCACATTCGCAGTTCGCACCCGATGGCGGTCTGATGTTTTTCTTTTTTTTCCCTTCTGATTTTATTTTGTCTGCGTGATTGTATGTCTGTATGTATAGATGTATGTATGTGCGCGCATGTTTCAATTAATTTATTACCTTTGAGTGAGCAAACATGACCACTTCCATTAACAACACCATTTTAATCTAAAATGTGTACGTTTCAAATCAGGCAAGAGAAGAGAATGCGGCTATGCCCATTAAAATGAGCGAAATGGCCAAAGATTAAACACAGCGACCAGAGCAAAAAACTTTATGTATTTTCATCTATATGAGTGTCGTTTTTCTTGACTTTACTTAGGAGTAAATTTTTGCAAATGATTAGGTTTACTTTTTTTTTACTGTGAACAAATATTATTAAAAACGAATGCTTAGGTTACGACATTTCATAATCATCTTAATATTTTCGACAGAATCAAACTAATTACTTAGAACTTTCTGAACATTACATATCAATGGCCGAGTCTACACCAAAATCCGAAGAGGTAAATGGAGAAAATCCATCGAGTGAACCATCTAATGCTTCTGCGAATAAAAACAGCCAATTTGAATGCAATATATGTTTAGATGAAGCTAATGATGCTGTCATTAGTTTATGTGGACACTTATTCTGTTGGCCATGTCTTCTTCAATGGTTGGAAACAAGACCACATCGACAGGAATGCCCAGTATGCAAAGCTGGAATCGATAGAGACAAAGTTATTCCTCTTTACGGGACGAGGGTAGCACCAAGCAGGAAGATCCACGGAATAAGATTCCTAAAAGGCCACAAGCTCAGAGACCAGAGCCAGAAAATAGGAATGGATTTCACGGATTTAATTTTGGTGATGGCGGATTTCAGATGTCATTCGGTATTGGTGCTTTTCCCTTTGGACTTTTCGGAACGTTTTTTAACATAAATGACGGCCGACCTCCCCTCCGAGGCCAGATAACCCTAATTATCAAGATGAACAAATGCTGTCGAGAATCTTCCTTGGAATTGCTTGTATATTAATGTTCTGGTTATTATATGCATGAGATTGTGATTGTCAGTTTAATCGTAATTAATTTATAACGATAAGTCTGGGAAAAAACGACCGCACTTTTTTAAATATTTTGAAGAATTTTATGTGAAACTAGAATAATTGTAAAGGACATTCATTTATTAAAATCTGAGAACTTTATAATTATTTACGTAATAATAATAGCTATGCATTATGTGAAATAAAAAATGAAAATAGAAGTCGAGTAATTGAAAATATTGACATATTGATAAGAGTTGCTTCATACAATGATAACATACACTAGGGTTAACTAGCTCCAACTGAGAATCTGATATTAAAAGTAGGCAGTGTCTTGCATGGTGTATAGCGCTTCATAGTCGTCACTTGGCGTAAATTATTTTTTAACTACCGTAGTTACAGTGGGGTTCGATTTTTATTAATGTACATAGCTGATACGAAATATGTTGTTTATTACCTTGTGCTTTTTTGTTATTGATTGTTAATTAAGTCAAACACATTTTTCGATCAACTTTGCATTGAACAGCAAATCTTTATTTTTGGATTTGTGTTTGATAAAAAAAACCTACAAATCAAATTTTTCAATTAGCTAACGGTTTCATATTATTCATACTTCATAGTGCTTAAGAAAAACTACTACTACTATCGCAATTCGACACAAAGTGTACATGTACATCGATTTGCTGAACTTTTGTTTTCTCTGTTGAGTCTTTTGGAACCCCTTTTTTTGGTATTTGACCCATGTAATCATATAAATAGGAATTATAGATAAATTCATGATATTGAAAAAAGTCATGAATTTGTAGAGTGATTGTCACATTATCAATTTGTTCACTTTCTCTGTTTACGATTAATTTTTCGTTTTCACAAAAACCATATAAGATTCATGTGTATATTTCACTAGAATTCCAGATTGTGCTATTTTTATTCATTGTATGTCTCTGTCCTAATGAATAGGAAATGTTCGGTGTGTATTGATTATATACCGCTAGCTCATCATAATTGCTTTGTATTAGTTCAATTTTATTGTTCATCTGATTTGGCATAAGGGAGGTTGAAAACGATTCGAATATCGTCAGACCAATATCACTTTAATAAAAGACAGAACTGAGATAATTTTTCACGTCAGGACTGGGCTCCAGCTTCCTACCCACTGGTGTTTTTTGTTTTGATCTCTACCATAAAATATCAACGCAAATTAATCTCAAGTTCAACTCGGAACTTTGAATTATTATTAGAAATTGAATTTTAAAAATATTGTTATTTGTAAGAGTAAGAAGTATAAATGTGATAAATAATTAGGAGCTGAAGCCACTAAAATTTTGGGTAGCCAATTATGGTAAGCTTAGCTTTAGGCTCTAACATAATGTTACGGCTCCTCTGCCCTGGCCCACACAAAGTATCTTCAAGTGTTATAGTAAACGGAAGGGTGTTCAAGTATATTTTGATGTTTCTATTATTTCGCATAAGGACTATTTCATGCTTGCTGTGCTGTTATATATGTGACTGAATAACATAATAATACTGTTCATGTTTTTATTATTTTTTTTTGATAAATGTTGTTATGAAAGTACAGAATTATATGTTCATAAGGTAATACTGGGTTTGCTACCATGCAATTCATTTTCATATTACATTAAGAGTAGATTTGTTGTGCAATGTTTTATTTAACTAATGCTCATTGAATTTGTGCGAACTTGCTTATTACAGATTGTAGTGTATGTCAGGGAGAATCTAGTGGGAGGTGGTTACGTGGGTCATAACCCCCAACCTCCCCGTTTGAAGATTTTTTTGATGCAATGTAATTTTTAATTTCTGCGAGGCGAGTTACAAGCAATACTGGAATATATTCAATGGCGTTCCGCCGGTAACGACACACAATTCTCAGTTTGAGCCGTGCATTGTACCTTTGTTGCATTTTTAATGCCAATGTGACCCCCCCGGTAAAAAATCCTGGCTGCACCCCCTGGTGTATGTATAGAAATTAGAATTGTTGCATTCAAATAATGAAGTGTCGATTTTATAATAAATGTCTATCATTGCAGGATTGATACTCTTTCAGTCCATAAAATTTCGTTTTTGCTTTCTCCCAGATTGTCCAATTGTCACTCTTTTGTTTTGTGTATAGGTTCATAATTATTACTTTTTAAATTTGATCGATAAAATACAAAAATGCAAGAGCCTGTCGACCATACCACACATAATCCAGACTTGGTGACTGTTATGGCCGAATGGAGAAACCGTACCAGGAGGAGGAATTGTTACACACCATGTTGCAGACAAATTTTTTGCGACAAGGGTAGGTTGTTACCTACCGGTATATTGGCTTCAGCATACTTTTTCATTATTATAGTTATTAACATTTTTTAAATTCAGATATGAAAATTACTGTTTCAAATGTAAAATTTACCAATTTTATGCTAAAATTTTGCTTTTCCTTTCATGCACCATGATTTTTATTTACCGTAACATATCTTATTTAGGATCAAAATTATTTGCGAGTTAAAATTTCGAAATATTAAACTCTGTGATAGCAAGTTAGCAACATCCTTAATCTTGACCATGTCTCAATTTTGTGTGAGAGACTTGCTTTGATTTAATCATAAGACTTGTTATTAACAAATCAAAAGCAATGTAGGCCTGAATCATAAATGTTCTATTAATAGTGAATTTTCATTTCTTGTTACTTCAGTATTCAGGAAGAATCCAAAAAAAAAATGACCAAATTGTATAAATTTTTGAATATATTATGATGCATAAAAGAACCATCATTATTCTAAGCCCACATTTACTATTTTAATAATTAACTAAAACATTTATCTTGTCCATAGGGCAATAATCTGGACATGGCAGTGGAAGATGTGAAGAACCAACAGTTGAATCAAGAAATTGATGGATTGGTCCTTGGAAGATGGCTTCTAACAGAGTAAATATGTTAAATAATTAACTGTATATTACCAAATTGCTTATCAATACTTACATTGTATGATTATTATTATCAATAGTGCATGGGTATTATACTTAGTTTTGTTAGTTTATTTCAAGTTCAATGATGGGTACTCCCGTCGTGAGTGTACCACGTTAGGGTTAGGGGCAGGGCATAATTTTATTCTGATTTTCCCTACTTTTGTTCTATTACGAGTTCGAGAACTGTCTGTGTTAGCCAAGTAAATATACCCCCTACCCATAGGCTACCGTCCCGTTACGCAATTTGATGTAAAGTAGGCGAACAAAATTAGTTACCTCCATATTGGTATGCACACTTCTGGAGCGCCAAATGATGTAACACATGACAATAATTTGTGTAGCCTATTATACAGTTGAGTTTGGTGAAGGGTTTCACTCTAATTGATTAGAAAATCAATTCATTATTTGCATGGTAATACTTTATAGATTAAGGATGGGGATATGCCATTAGTATTCCAGTTTGCTTCTGGCAGTACTTTCAAGATCATTTTTGTGTTTAGAATTTCACTAATAGTCACGTTGCAAATACATATATACTAGTGATGAAACCCACCCTTATTCCAAGTGGTATTTTCTTGTGATTCTTCGGTTTTGATTGCCATAATTCCTATTATTCGGCACATAGTGCGAACAGAAATTTTCCACCCAACCAAACAGAAATTTATGCATGATTCAACTGTATGTTTCTATACTTTAGAACAGTGGCTTCCAGCCGTGGTTACGAAGATCGCTAGCTATATATTTATAGTTTATTTTTTGAACACGTTAGTGTACATAACGATCGTTTCAATATTATGTTGTTGTTCTTGTTAGTATTATTATTATTCTCTTTCGTCATGATGAAATCGCTTTTTTCTTCGAATACTGGACGAATTGCTTTGAAATTTTCTGGCTTAAAGATTTATTTTTTTGCCAGAAGGCTATTACTTTTACTTATTTCAAAAATTTCTGTGGACTTCAAGAGATTGGTTTTTTATATGTCAGAATAAAAATTAGCGACACTTTGTGACTTGTCCATATATTTGAGCACAGCTCTCTTGGCTCCATTGGTTCAGAGCAACCAGCTCCACTGGTTCAGAGCAACCAATTAGTTTTCACTGCTCACATGTCAGAACGAAACAAAATTAAAACAGCATAAGCTAATAATGCTTTTACCTTTTCCATTGTGAAAGTATATCTTATAGTATTAAAAAGCTGTTTAGTATCATTTTATTATGAAAGTTTGTAGTCGTAATATGATTCATATGAATGCCTTATTTCATAAGGCTTATAGTCAATTGTAATCAATAATCGCATAGTGCGTCACCGTTTGGATGTCAGCACCTCATATCCCTGATTGACTTTTATTCATTATTCAGCAAATATCCAGGCACCATGATCAATGTCAGGCGTGTTTAAGAACTATACAATTATACAATGCCTGTTTTTGCATGATCATGGACATGGTTATATTAAATATCTTATTTGAAGCTACCAATCTTACTATTGTTTTATATTTTCACCTTCTCATTTATCTTCACGGTTAGTATGGTGAGTGATTGCTCTTAAATGAATGAAATTATAAGTAGTTCATCATGTATGGTAGCCGGCCCGCTATGGGTTTTCTAATGGAATACCACAATTCTTGGCACCTACGCACAACGAAGTGTCTGCTTCAATTTGCTGAGACTCAATTTTGCACACATACAAAGTTAAAATGCATTTTACGAAGCAAATTGAGTATTTTATCTAATTATTAGTAGTGCATCTAGCAAAACATCATTTATGCATTTGAATCACAAATTCTGATTTGAAGTTGGGCGATCTCTTTTTCTTGAATATCTGTTCCTCTAGTCCAGGGGTTCCCAAACCAGGGGACATCCTGGAAAAGCTTGGGAACCCCTGCTCTAGTCGAAACAATGTTCACTTTGAATACTGCTCGAAAACAAATATTTTCTCCTGTCTGTTCCGTACATTCATGAACGATGTTAATTACATATTATTGGGATATTACCATATCGGAACAATAATAGTAACAATTTTAAAACTTGGCGCCTTTTTGTTGCTATCAGATCGGTATCAGAAAAAAATTGATATCAGTACTACAGTACATCTCTATTACTTTTACTCTTGACTCTCAATGTATATTCGGAAAGCATCTTTTTTATTTTTCAGAATATCGTCTTGGAATCGGGACAAAGAACGACTGGTTATACTTTGCGAGAACAACATAATAATTTGCAAATATGATTATGTGGCGATGAAGCTGGCCTCTATCCAGAGAATTGCGCTGAAACAGCTGAAAGAAGTTCATAACGGCAATTTCGATTATCCACCCAATTCTGTTTCTGTGTAAGTAATAATTAAGAGTGGTTTTTTGAGATTTATTCAGCTTTTGAATTTTTAATTACAGGGTGACACAGAAAATAGAACTTGTAAATTTTTAAATCTACAAAAATGGAGAAAATTCATTTAATAATAAAATAACATTTCAACTTCTGATTGTGTATGATTGTACCCTGTTTCTGTCTGGTTATCCTCCAAATTTTGGGGCTCTAGTATTTACAACTGTGACATGCGTTTGAAGCGACAGTTGTCTTCTGATGGTAATGATCTACGCAATGCATTTCCCTTGTTTGTCTGAATTTATATGTCATGTATTTGCAGAACCATTTCTACATTGTCAATATTGACTGTGTTTGCCTTTGAAATTCTTGGTATGCATTCAAAGTTCAGCAAATATAATTCTGAATGGATACAATAAAATGTTGAATGCAAATTACTTTATATATAAATTTGGGTACTTTCAAAGTGTGTGTCCCAGCTTAGGGTTAGGCCATAATTTTATTTGGATTTTTCTTAATATAGTTCTATTACAAGTTCGGGGACTGTCTGTGTTAGCCAAGTGAATATACCCCTGCCCATAGGTTTCAGTCTCTTTACACAACTTGATGTGACGTAGGCGAACAAAATTAGTTACCGCCATACTGGTACACACACTTCTGGAGCACCAAAATTTAGTTGTAAATGCTAAAACTTTTTGTTATTTAGTCCTCGCCTGTATAAAGGGGTTCGAATAACATGGGGAACGATGGATAACCAACCGTGGTATCAGAAATGGAACCCACTCAACACAGACATACCATTTTCAACTTTTACTTCTCATCCTGTGTTGGCCTTACCAGACCTCGAGACAAAAGAAGCGTATGACGTAAGTTTTAGCAAAAAGATTCATTTTGGTCAACTTTGCTATCCTTTGGGGCTGAGTAAAGTTATTTAACAAGGGTCGCATTCTGAAAATTTTTTTGTATGGTTAGCATTCAGAAATTGACTGTGTCTGTGAGTTTACTGATCCCATTTAATGGTGGCTGACATTGTTAAGCTGGAGATGAAGAGATGAAAAAACATTACTGTTATTTTAACAATTCATAGTTTAGATATTTTAAATAATATTTTTAATAATCTGTTGGGAAGTCTGATGAGCAGGTTCTGTACATATCACCAACTTGGATTGTTTTTGTATAAATCTAATGTTCTCAAATGAAGCATAACACATTCAACCTAATTTATTTGATGACTCGTATGTATTTGCTGCTTTGTATTTAAAAAATATTCTGTGTTTTAATAAGTAAAGAAATAGCTCGCGGAGCTGCTAGGCCTGTTCTCAACTTTTTGTTTTCTTCGTGGCCCGTTTTTGTTGCCCAAAAATTCTTGTGGCCCGTTAACTTTTTATTGCAAGGGGAAAACTTCAAGAAAAATCAAGATGTTTCTGCGGATAGCGTTTAGAATTAGAATGAAAATTACCACTCAGTAGCAGAAAACAGCATCGTCATTAGTAGCTACTAAACCTACTACAATCAAAACTAACTATTGTGATATAAATAAATTAATAGTCCTGTGGCCCACCTCAAAATTCTTCTGTGGCCCAGCAGTGGGCCATGGACAACTGGTTGAGAACCAGTGCTCTAGGGCCTAGATTACTCTCACAGAGCCTCTAGGGCTCTGTATGGAACACTTTGGGAACCTATGGCCTAATTGATAAAGTGTTATGCTTCAATATGATGGCATGGCAGGTTAAAATCTCAGGTCCTGAGTGTAATTAACTAGGTTCAATTTCAAACCCAAAAGATTCTGATCCTTGCAAACCATAGTAGTTCCTTAAATAACACTGGATGCTTGTCCAGGATCTAGTTTGCAACATAAGGTGTATAAATACATTGTATAGAAAAACAAATACCTACTGCTTTTCTCTTTGCATTTGTGTTAGTGCAGTAAATCCCATTTTTTTTTGTTAAATTCCTTCTCTCGTCTACTTGGGAAATCCTTATTCTTTCCCCACTATGCTTGAAAAGTACCTAATTTATTTAATCTTCAAATGGACCCTCTTTTGTACAGTTTAATATTTTATGTGTTCATGAATTCGATTCCTATAGTAATGATATAAAACTAAATAATATCAGTAATACTACAGCAAATACAAAGCAAGTTATTACCTTGGGCGGAACTCCTCACTGGCGGAGAAATGTGTGAACTCCTGTAGTATGTGTACTAGGTTAGGCTTAGGCCATAATTTTATTCCGATTTTCCTTATTTTAGTTCTATCACGAGTTCGGGGACTGTCTGTGTTAGCCAAGTGAATAAACCCGGCTACCCGCTGACCATATAGGCTTCAGTCCCTTTACACAACTTGGTGTAAAGTAGGCAAACAAAATTTGTTACCTCCATACTGTTGCACACAACACACTTTTGAAGTGCCGAAATGTGTGTTAGTGGATCATTTGACTTAGCCCTTGACGAACAAGAATTAAAACGCTTCACTGAGATTTTTTTTTCAATATTTCCAGGTGCAATCATTCCTCTCTGGCTTGAAACAAGCATTGGAGAAAGTCCCGAATATCAAATACATTGACAACCAGCCCATCATTATTGAATCTTACGCTGGATTCGCATCTTACGTTCACAACCAAAGCAGGCTTGGGTTCTCCAGAGAGCGTGGTGGTGTTAGCTTTTGAAACAAGAACATATTCTTCAGTCATTTCTTGATTTTGATCATTGTCATGCGTGATCGAATCTTGGTTGGGAAATATAGCCGACTAATATATTCTAGGTTATGATTTGACATAATGTATATATACCTGTGTAATATGGTTATTATTATTAATTAATATTGTTCATGACTTTGCACTTTTCTTTTCTCTTTTCACTATATTTGTATAGCTTAAATTGCTATGAGCATCGAAAGAAACAAAAACCATCAATACTCTCCTCATCTTATTATTTTGTCGCGATTTACGCGACTCCTCCACGTACTAATCAATGCCAAGTCCATGTGATGGTATGTTCTACGTCTCCCATAAGAATAAAACATAGTTAGCTTATCAATTTTCAGACTCATTGATCCCCATTACAAATTTTTTGTCAAGTTTAAAATTGATTGCCGGTTTGCAAGTCATTTTAAATAGCTCCCCTCATTCTATAGTACCTGTAGTTGAAAAAATAATGTCTCTCCCAAATGAGTACATACTGGTAAAATAGTAATTATCTAATAGTGATTGATAACTTAACAACTGTTACTGGCTTCTGCCATTTTGATGCTCGTTTCTGATGAATTTGTGGTACTTTATTTCTTTAAACAAATGTTAACTTCAAATTTGAATTTTGAGGAAATCTTATACCTTATTATAAGCATGCTATTCTGTACACAGATTTCATTTTTCTTAAAATATTATATTTTCTAAGTAAAAGATTACTAGCGCTCGAGGCAGTAAAAATTTATTCAGAAATTAAACTTCAAATGGCTACTGGGGTACTTTGGGCCTGCAGTAAACACCAACTCGATATGATTTCCCAATACAGACTCGATTGAATACTTTTTGTTTTTGCTGAATGTTCCATATTCCTGACATTGATTTTTTGTTAAATTCTCGATCGATCTATCATATTTTGATTATGTCGTTTTCAAACTTGCAAAATTTAATTAAAACGATTCTTTATACTCCAAAGCTGATAAAAATCTTATGCGATAGATGTTTTTGAATTTTTCATCAGGTCGGGCAGGCAGTTTTTGATTTCTTTTCCAATATATTCGCGGTACATCTCTCTGTATATTACCATTACCACTTACAATTTATGATTGTGATGTTGAGCGAAATTTGGACAACTGTGTGACAACAATTAGATCCTGGCTCCCACACAAAGTACATTCTCTTGACAGACTTTGGATATATATGTTAACTGTTCTTAGCTTATTGGAAAGAAATTGTACTTCTGCATGCCATAGCAATAACAGAGTAGAATCAAACAAACTGTACTTCATTTATTGCTAGCTTGTTATGTGCTGTTACAAGTTTACTTACATATTTATTCCAGATCATACTTCAATGTTATATATACATGCAGTATCTTGTACTTTTCTGGAGCAATATTTTCATTTAAGTTTCATTAATAGTTACCTGGATTTTGTTTGGCACAAAAAGTTTCAAAGCTGATAGAATTATTGCATGTATTTGGTGTTTGGTTTGAATTTAAATATATTTGAAGTTCCGTAAAATCGATTTGTTATTTGAAAATTGTAGCTTTGATAGTGAGGGTTCGAAATCAATGCAGTGGAATAAGCAGGCTTAACTCTGTTAAGTGAATTGGTGTTGTTTCCGGCAATGCGTCATGAGAATTGAATAGTCGGTCCTGAATCGTTTCGTTTCTGTGCCAGCCGGTTTACCGATTTCCCGTCAATTGCTTATGCTGTGATTTATAAATTTTTGTAAGACACAAATTAATTACTATATATATAAGGTTGATAGGAATCCTTGTGTAAATTTGAGTCGCAGTTTCTGTAGCTTGCGCCCATGAACCCTTGAAGGAATAAAATCTGTTGAACGCTTTTCCTATCTGGCACTAGTAATCAGACAGCATGTGATAAACTCCCTCTTCGGATTTCCTCAGAGGCTTAATATGAAATCCCTATCGGATAGCGAGGTCTTAGATTATTGTTCGTTGGCAGGCAGATTTGATATAACCGAAGTTTTTGTAGAAGCGCGGTGTTCATAAGGCTTCGTGATTCATGCAACCGATGAATTGGATGATTTGGATTGCTTCGTCCTTGGCTGTCTGTGTGTGCGTGACATTTTCAAAGTCTGTCTGTACGGCTCTCATACTTCGGTACTTATCATATATATATATATACGTACGTCAAGTTTAATATTCGAGATCTAAATAATTAACGAAGTCTGTGGGAGTCGCGAAGCGGGCCTATTCAAGTATATATAATAGTGCTTCCAAATACCGATGGGAAATTGATATGTTGATGGGCGAAGGTTCATCGTTAATCGTGAAGGTCATCGCAAATTCACGATTCAGATATTAGTATTGTGTCATTAAACTCGCTTTGTGACTTCGGCAATCTATTTTTGGTTGATGCGAAAGTCGCTATCCGTAACATTCGTGATTGTTGGGTTACGTGAATGAATCCCGGGATAAGCAAATTTTGTCACGAAGAACTAGTGGGCATAGTATATTATCACAAGTACTTCTTGCAGACGTCGAGACGCGGCTCAACAATTTTGGAATTTTGCTGTCCCAACCCCCATTTGCTACGTCATCCAAAAACTATGTCACAGTGACGTGTATTATTACCATTGAAAACACAAATGTCCTTTACGTATAATTGATTTTAACTCACTTCAAAATTGGTTCTCGATTCGGTGCTCCCGAAGTATTCGTACCAAGATGGCGCACAACCTGAACATAGTATTGTACCAGGTTAGGGTTGTTCAGGTTGTGCGTCATCTTCGTACGAATACTTCCGAAGCGCCCTCGATTCGATGTCTTCGTATAATGATTCAAATACGGTATATGATCTCAAAGTAATAAATAGTATAAATCGTGCTGTTAATCAATTCTGCTAGTGCGGAAGCGTGACACAGGCGACAAATTTCTTGTGAAAGAAATTTTATAAAATGTCGCGCATTTTGTGTTCTGCGGTACGACGTTGCCGGAAAGATAAACGTGGCACGTCTGGTTGATTCCCAAAGCGGTAATTCTAGTCTGGTCAGGCGGGCAGTGTAACAATTGCGTGTCGCTGATATAAAGGGTAATGGTTTGATAGCTGATATTGGTTAATAATTACAAATATCGCGACTAAAGAAAGTTTGCTACCGGCATGTGAAGCATTGTGCAACGCCATTTCGCCATGGCTACACAAATATCGACTTCACCTTTTGGTATAACACTGGATGGATCTAAAAAAGCTACGAAGTATATATTGAAGTCTTCTACAGTAGAATTGAGCTTGACGGATTATGGAGCAACAATAACCTCTATTAAATTTGCCGATAAAAATGGAGTCGTAGATGATGTTGTGACTGGGTATGACGATGTGCAAGGTGAGTGTCTGGTAGAATTATTATATACTAGGTATTAGGCAGACGCTTATATTGTAATTTGCCACAAATCAGTAATAAAACTGAAATAATTGCCCAATTCGTGTAAAGTGCTAAAAAAATTAATAGCAATGATATTGAAATAGGCGCGAAACTTCATTGTATCCTGATTCTTTTAATGGATACACACACCCACGAAGATAGCAAATGAGAGAGAGGGTCGAATAACATTTATCTAAACCACGAAAAACTTAGCTTTTGACTTAGCAAATCACATGAAAAATTATTTTGCAGGGTACGAAATACAGCAGATAATGGTATTCCATAAAAATATTATAAACCAGGGCTTATATTACAACAAATAAGTACTGTACCTTTCGTGGCAAACAAAATGTTGTCCTAATTCGCTAAAATGTTACAGTAAAAATCTAGAGTTTATTACATTCTGACATTGAAATGGGCGCGAGAGTTTAAAATGTTTTTCTGGTTCTTTGAATATTCACAGTGACAAAAATAAATAAAAAAAAGAAGAGTCTAATAACATTTAGGCACATACAAGAACCACAGCACTAAATTCATGAAAAATTGTTTTACAGGGTACGAAAAATATAGCAGATACTTCGGCTGCTCGGTTGGTCGCGTCTGCAATCGAATTGCGAACGGAAAGTTTACCCTGAATGGAACGGACTACAGTTTACCAATCAACAATCCACCAAACAGCTTACATGGCGGAATAGTTGGATTTGATAAGGTTTGTTGAACCACTGTTAACTAAATTATTTTCCGATTAACAATCCATATATATATATATTAGAAATTGTTCCCAGTTTGATGTCTTATTCGGGCATTCAGTCCTTATATTACGCAGAATGATCTGATACGTTTGATCCTTTTAGCTACATGTTTTTTGTGTGTCTCGAAAAATGACAAATTGGGACAAGCGGAACACGACATTTTCGAGACACCATGTTTTTTTTCCTGCTAGACAGTATGGAATAATATCTTTTCAAATGTCGTCCGGCTGCCCGGCGTCAAATAGTTACCAATGTTGCCTTTCATATAGTATATGCATTGATTCGCTGGTCGTGCGAACATCAGGTGATTAAAGATAGTAAATCGATCTTTCGCACAAGCTAATTTCGGTTACTCCCGTAGTATACGTACCAGGTTAGGGTCAGGCCATAATTCTATTCCTATTTTCTTTATTTTAGTTCTATTACGAGTTCGGGGACTGTCTGTGTTAGCCAAGTGAATATATGTTTCAGTCCCTTTACACAACTTGATGTAAATTAGGGAAACAAAATTAGTTGCCTCCATATTGGTACACACACTTCTGGAGCGCCGTTATTTTTATTCATAATTTTATTCTAGAGTTGATAAAATAAGACTGATTATGCTAAGGTAATTTGTTTATCGCAGAAAATCTGGGAAGCAGAAATACAGAAGTCTGCCGTAGTGTTCAAGTGAGAAATTATAAATTATTTTGGTGCAAATGACTTTAACAAACCGATGTAAATTTGTGAAACTGTCACTTTTTTTACAGTGTAGTCTGCATGTTTGTTCAAGTATAAATATAAAGCTTTTTCCGAGATAAGGAGTAAAATAACTGTTGAATAAGGTATAATCTTGCTGTGTGACCTTCAAATCTATTTTTTCAATGATACAATGTTGACTATTTTTTTTTTCTCCCGATTACTGTTAAACTTTAATCACGAGAGTCGCTGCTTGATAATCAGTGAAATGCCACTTTTACGTTTTTTTCTATATTGTTTGTACAAAATGTATTTACATGATGGTGAAAAAATAAAACACTGATTTCACTGAGTTACGAGGTCATCATTTGTCAGTTATTTCCACATTTTCTTACCTATTTAGATTGATGAGCAAAGATGGAGAGGAAGGTTTTCCTGGCACAGTACATGCAACTGCAAGATATGAATTGAACGAATCAGAGTTACTGCTTCAATATACTGCAACGACAGATAAATTTACGATTGTTAATATGACAAATCATAGTTACTTCAACCTTGCTGGCCATGTGAGTGAAATTATGGAGTGAATCCGTTTTCTTTGGCAACCTAAGTCTTAGGACAGATCTTAAACAGATTAAAAACGGTATCGGATATTACCGATTTCCAGGCTGCTAACTTTGTATATAGTTATATAATACTATTCTAAAAAGTTCTTTCACACATTGCACATGTTTCCGAAGATTCTATTCCGGCATACCCCACGTGCCTTAATACACCTCTGGTTGCCAATGCTTTTACAAAATAGCGAAATTTCATTTTGGTATGGTATGTGACCAATTTCGACGAATCGTGGCAAACATCCCTGAAATTTATTGTTTGTTAATTTTCACGTTTCAATTATTATCCTTATTATTTTTTTAATGGTGCTTATAGCTGACTTAGTTTTGTCCACCAGGTCTATGATATTACGCGTTGGGTGGGTGTTCAAATGCTTCGATTTGTTATGAGGACGTGTTCTATAACAAAATACATGTGGAATTTGTTAGTAAATTGATAATATTTCTATTCAGTACTTTGCAATGATTAATTAAAAATGATCTTGGGACTTCATAGCGTGGACAATGTAATATGAAATGTTCGACGATTTCGTTTTCCAAACAAGTGTCGCAAAGTCCATTGTCGTGGAGTCACGTTTCAATTAATGGCCAACTATTCCGTCACAAATGATTGGACAACAGACCTCGGTTATCCACTCGACGTAATATTTAACCGTCTTGTAGGATTTCCCTGCTACCCGCGGAATAACCATGAAAATTCTGTCTTGGCCTCTATGCCAATCTATGGTACATTTGCTGTGCATAATCATCATATCGGGCGAGTGGTCCGGACGCAATTTACTACATCCCTCCACATTTCTCTATTGTCCATACTATAGCATTAGGGAGATCTGCAAGATGTAAACCAGTGTCTTCTGTAAGTAACTTTGCGTATGTCTTGACAGGTCTTCCAACTTTTGTCGTTCCGCGCTTAGGGTTCCAAAGTAATACGTCGCTGTCCATATTCTGATACTCATGAAGTATGTGAACCAAGATGGCGGACACCCGGTTGTCACTTGGCTAGTCCCCGAACTCGTAATAAAACTAATATAAAGAAAATTGGAGTAAAATTATGTCCTATCCTAACCTGGTACACATACTACGTGCCGGTGTCCGCCATCTTGGTACGCATACTTCAGGCGCATCATTATTCTTACGTAAATTTATGTTCGATTTGAACAATACCTTTGTGAAAGATTATTTTCTATTTTCGCAGGAGAAATGGAACAAAATTTACGATCACAAAGTAATGATCAATGCAGATCAGATGACTCCATTTACTGAAAGTTCGATCCCAACAGGTAGAATATTGTCATTTTTACACTATTGATGTTTCCCCGAGCATCGATTCCTTGTTTACTACCGTAAAATTAAATAATCAGCGAGATGCAAAATGTGACGTAACAATTGACGTGATAGCAGCCGCTCTAAAACTTTTGTAACTCAGACAGATTTTTAGGCTGCTTGGTTGTAAATATTGGCTCGTTTTGGAATTTTTAATAAAAATCATGCATTGAAACATATAAACTAGTTTATAGGCGCCAACTCGCCAACGCACTCTTAAAATAAGCATGAAAATTTTACAATGGTAAAGTAAAGGAGGAATTTTTTGGAGGTCCAATTTGTGGCAACATCAATAGTATTATTTGCGTTTATGTCTTTTGTTGGGCCAATCACTAAAAGTCAAACACTATCGATACTGATTTTTATACAGCGGGTGAAACCACCGAATGAGAGTAAAAATCCATGAATTGAACCAGCGATCTAAACTTTTTTTAAAGAAAATCAGCACGTAGAACGAACAAATTTATGTGAAATACTCAGTACCTCATCTCTTTCTTTTAATCAAAATTTACATTCGGTTTTTAACGTACTCCGGCAAATGTGGGATGAATTTAAATTCGATTAGAATTCAACCAAAAATGTATTTTCATGTAGAGAAAATTTTTACTGGTAGTATACCTATTGAAGACGGCGGTGTTTTTGTGTCACAATTCAAACACGCACGGCCCGTCATTTTTACTTTTTAATCCAACTTTGCTTATGACACTTGATAAAGTTTGTTACATTGAGCGAATTGTCGAATTTAACATAACTCTCCACCAAAATGGCATGTTTGACGGACGGACTCAAACGGTGGGGTGCGCTCCACAAGGTTGGCGTAGACAATTTTTTGAGCGCGTGTGAAGCTAATTAAAAACAAAAATATTTGTCAGATTTGATCTTGTCCGACTTATTTTGGATATTTACATTTCTTTATTGGACACGTATAGTGGACATAGCGATCGTTTCAATATTATGTTGTTGTTGTTCTTGTTCTTGTTCTTTGACACGTTTTTAAAAAGTCCCTTTTCTCTTTGATTACTGGACCAATTGCTTTGAAATTTTCAGTGGTTGAAGATAAAAATTTTCTTCAGAAGGCTATTACTTTTTTTTTCTGCAATGACGTCATCAGAATTATTGCCCTTAGGGGCGCTACGTGTCCATATATTTGAGCATAGCTCTCTTGTTGGTATTTGTCTCCGTCATTTTTAAAAAATCGCTTTTCTCTTCGAATACTGGACCAATTGCTTTGAAATTTTCAGTGGTTAAAGAAAAGAAATTTCTCCAGAAGGCTATTACTTTTTTTTTTCGCTATGACGTCATCAAAATTATTGCCATTGGATGGCGCTACGTGTCCATATATTTGAGCATAGCTCACTTGTTTCAGATATATACGTACCATCTACTTTCGCTTTATTATTTGTTATTTCTAGATTATTGTTAGCTAGGTATTTTAGAGGTTGGGCACGAGACTTGACGAATTCTAAAAAGTGGGTGCGGTTTTAAAAGTTTGAGAACCACTGCACTATATATAGTATACCTTTATTCAAGGTGAGATTAAAGATGTGGAAGGAACTATATTTGATCTTCGAAAGCCTGAACTCATGACGCAAGAAAGACTGGATAAAGTTCCAAATGGATATGACAATAACTTCTGTTTATCACGGAATGGAGAACGAAGACTTGCAGCTAGGTAATTTGGCTCATTTAACCAAATTTATTTCATCGTTCAGATATTAAATATTTTGTTTTAAAATTAATTTACTATATTTGTGGTCAATGCACCGTATTACTATTACACTATGCTTGACTGTTATTCCGTCGCAATTTCATATCTCAAGATTGAGATTCGTATTTGTAATTTTTAACTGAAATTGAAAAATGCTTGCTTATGAGACTTTTGCAGTTAAGATTAACTTCCTGGCGCCGGCTTGTTTTTTTAGGCCAGAGCGGACGGTTTTTTGAATAGTTTACAGCTGAGAGTAACTTGTTAGACTTTATATCCGATGGGATAGAATGCTGTGCCTTTTCAATTGTTTTCTGGTCCTATTGACTCTAGCCAACTGAAATCCGGCGTCGTCCTGATTTTTAATTTTCGATTTAGCATCTCAAGAACAAACAACAACTTTGCTTTCAGCCATCAAAACTTGTAAGAAATAGGTGTGTACCTCCTATCGATACCTCACAACATGAATGCGTTATATTTGCCATTCTGTGTAAACTTCATAACATAATTAGTTTATATCTATTGCACAAAATTTTCGATTGCTTCCATTTTCTCAATTTTGCTAATCTCTGCAGAGTGGAGCATGGACCGAGTGGTCGCGTGATGGAGGTAGAGACCACTCAACCTGGGATACAATTTTACACGGCAAACTTTCTCAGCAATGAACCTAAAAGAAACGGCCAAGGAACTTATGGAAAACAAAGCTGTTTGTGTTTGGAAACGCAAAATTATCCGGATGCTATAAATCACGTGAGTAATATAGGTAGGAAGCAAACGAGAAGGCTTGTAATGGTCGTTAATAAATATATATACAGTTTTTCAACCTTGCAAGCTATGTGTGTGCTTGAAACTTTAACAAGTTGTATTTAATGCGCGTAGTTGTCAGTATATAAAGATAACATGGCCAAAGTGTATGCTAGGTTACTTTTTAAACTCAGAATAGACTTCCGTATTCTTTATTATTATAAGCTCTGTTGGAAATAGCCTTGGGGTATAACCTGTAATTATCCAACATTAGGATTTAAAACAAGTCATGGTATTTTTGTTTACTGTTAGTAAACTTGTGTAAGCAAACTTTATTGTTATTATAGTACGAACCACGTTGCGGTGTAAGCAGGACTTCTCATTAAAGAATATTTGTTTACTTCACAGATCGGTAAATTTCCAAACGCAATTTTGAAACCAGGAGAAGTATATGATCAGAAGACCTGGTACACCTTCACTACCGTACAGTGATGGCATGACTACTTCGTCTGTGGAGAAATGTAACAAGCCTTTATTAATGGTCCTGAAGCATAATCACAATTTTGTTTAAAATTTGCAATTGATCTTGTGCAGTATTTTTTGCTAATTTAATCATATAAGACAATGATTACGTGCACACAAAGTATATATCAGAGGTGGCTAATACATCACGTCTCGATTAGTCAATCGTGTCTGATGTTGAGTGAATTTATTATTATACTTCGAAAAATTGACTTGAATCAGTTTCATGCACAGCCTGTTGTGAGTTTTAAAGCTGGACGAATACATTACTGTACATGCGCAAAATACTATATACGCATACATATAAGATTAGTCGGTCTCGTGGTATTGTATACGAAGTAGGGTACTGGGTTGTTTCGTTATCATGTTATTATTACTTATCGATTTTAATCGGTAAGTATGTTGATAGGTATTTGTCTGTTTGTTTGTCTGTCTGTTGGATGCACGCGATATCTCACGAAAGCGAGGTTGAATCTGCTCCAAATTTTGCATGTGCATTCATCATAGCTCGGATCAGAAGCCTATTGATTTTCGATGATTTATGTCGTATAATGTCGCTTTGGCTTTTGTGTCCATATATTTGGGCAGAGATCTCTTTTTAGTTCAAGGATATTTACAGGTTCAAAGGATATTTAATTAAAAAATGTCATGTTTACCATATATAACAAATCATGTAAAGATTAATCGAAATAAATTTTCGGGACTGCCGATCATATATATATTTACTGGTAAAACCCCTGCTTTTGGGCGTCTTTTCCCCTTATTAAATCGAGATTAAGTAATTCTATAAACGGGCTTGTTCGACTTGTTACAATAGCTTCAGAACTATCGATGTTACGTAGACGTTTTTGTTTTCTTTTTTCCTGGTACATACCCTGCCTCTGGCATTATTTTTTCTAATTCGCCCAGTCCGAGGTTATTAACAGAGAATCGTTTATTGCTAATTCGAGTCGACCGTATTGTACTTATAAGAGGGTTTCAATCCACTTGCAACGACCAGCGTATGATTGCCACCAGGTATATTCAACCGACGATAAATAAAGCACAACCAGTGTTAGCAAAACAATGCAATTTGCCGACGTTTTGAATTTCTATTCAGAAAAACTACATCAGGGCATGATATGGAAACTATACTATCGTTTATATAAATAGAGCAAAGAAAGAAAAAAGGAAAAATATCACGGCGTTAAATCTAAAAAAGTGATATGATAATAGATCTCAGTGAATTGGAGGATAGAAGATCGCGTTTTGCTATACACCGACCGTGCTTTATTTATCTTCGCCACTTGCAACGACTGTTGAACAGATTGAACTTCATCTAGTAGCAGAATATATTTAGAAAAGTAATGCAAATGCTGTTCGTCGTGGAACATGACAATTGGACGAGAAAAGGAACCGAGAGGCGTTGTAAATAAATGGTGAACGATATTTTGCAAAAACAAACCGTATTTAGGGGCATCACTCCATGTAAATCTAGATTATTTGAAAATCGCTAATGTAGTATAAAAAGAAACAGCAATTTCAAGTAAAGACAGAAAAAAGAAATGGAAATTTATTTGAGAAACGATATTTCGTAAAGTATACCGTCAGTTCAGAGCATTACGAGCATACGCTGTCGATTTAGAATTTAGATTATTTGACAATCGCGATGCAGCAAAAGTCGTAAGAACAATTTCAAGTAAATACTGCAAAAAGGGACGTCATGAAGAACATTACTCAATTACATTCAATACCCAAAGCCCGTACTTATTATTGATATATACATCATTGTTAATTGATGAATAAGTTAATATCAATTTAAGTTCAGACATTTCCTTGTAAAACCCCTGCCTTCGGCGTCCTTTTCCCTTATTAAATCGATGTCATGAAATTCTATGAACTGGCTCGTTCGACTTGTTTCAATATCTCCACAATTATCGATGTGACGTGGAAATTTTTGTTTTCCATTTGCCTGGTGCATGCCCTGCCTTCGGCATTATTTTTCTAATTTGCCCAGTCCGAGGGTATTAACAGAGAATCGTTTATTGATATTTTGAGTCGACTGTATTGTATTTATCGGATAGTTCCCAACCATTTGCAACGACTCTTACAGATCTAGTGGCAAAACATTTTAGGAAACTAATGCAAATGCAAAATTTAGCTTATTCTACATTCTCGAATGCAGTATAAAAAGTCGGAGCAATTTCAAGTAAATACTGCAAAAGTGAGAAATGGAAATGCAATTGAGAGTCGGTCTAAATGCTGAAATATATTTCGTAAAAGAGTACCGTTAGTTCATAGCTCTCAATTTAGAATTTAGATTATTTGGCAATCGCGAATGCAGCATAAATCGTGAGAGCAATTTCAAGTTAAAACTGCAAAAGAGGAACGTCGCGAGGTATTTAATCACCAATAACAGGTACTGATTTCGTGATACATCATTAGTTAGTCTATGAAGAATAAGTTGACGCCATTGATTTTAGCTCGTATTTGTTACGCATCAATATGCTTTTATCACAAGCATAAATCACTGTCACCCTGCAATCGTTTATTTGTTTACTACGCCCCGAGGTCAAAACAATATATTTCGTGCATTTAATGGAGAGAAAAGGGGTTTATTATTGTCTTGCAGGCGACTGTAGTAACTTGAGCTGTATTACAATCATCTCGTCGATGTGCTAAAGCAAGAGTAATTACGACGTATAGTGTTGATTTAGTAGGCTATTAGGACACTATAGTCAGCTGTTTGTAGAAATTGATCGTATCGAATCTTGATATAACGAGCTTAAAGTTTTCTTCATGTTTGTCAAACTGTTTCGATTCTGTCTGTATACTTACAAGGCACTAGTCAGCCTTTCTGCATGCTACAGTAATGGGATGCATCGCATCATCTTTTTCAAGTACACAAGTTGACCCTTCGCCCCTTTACCATTCTCATATAGACGTCGGAGCAGTCATGATTCACTTGTGAAGAGAACGAGTGTCAACATTTAAAAACAGTTTAGAAATTCTTTACGACGAGTTGGGCTGACGTAGGCCTCAGAAGTTTGTTGTTTTATAAATTGAAGATGGGTATTGTCATACATAGAATATTCAAATAGAAATAGTATTAATTCGGTTGCATCATTCACAGATAGGTGTTGCATCGTGTTGGAGGATGGGCGACAATAACATTGAAATACTTTTGCTGTCCCAATTACACGCCGCATTATTAAATATGAAAATCCACCAAAAGTTGTAGTTTGCTGACAACTGTGTTATGTGTAGAAAAGTGTGTCTATATACAGCAATCGGATTCAGAAATATCTAATATTCAAATTCGAATTTACATCATATGAAATGAAAATTCCGCTGTTGGTTGAGCGCTTTGTACAATAGCTTTAACGGAACCTTTCTCCATTTTGTGAAACAATTCGGAATATGTCTATTGGCTGGTACTCGTTACACTCGGCACAACCTATTTGCACAAGGCTGGGCAGTAAATATTATCGCATGAGTTCAAACATCGTTCCATAATAAGCTCTAAAAAACCTTTGACCAAAACATTTGAGAATTTTAGGCGGAGAAAAGGTATCGGTAACAAGGGAGAAGTATATCTTGCAGAGCCAGAAACATATCTTTCGAATGAAATTTTGATAGGATTTTAGACCATTTCAAGAACCCATTTAAAATTAATTAACAGGAAAATGCCAAGTTAATAAGCTTACTTCGTGTGGGATGTAGAAAAGTAGGCTGGCTATGTTGAAGCGAAACGCTCTGGAACTAAAATACCGGCACCAACTCTTCTATGTCGTGTTTATTTCAAACCGCCAATATTTCTGAACGAAGACTTTCAAGATGCAATTTTTTGCTATACTCATAATTAACACATAATTATTTACATTAGTAAGTACAAATATAAAAATATGCCCATTATGCTTGACAATTTGCCCTTTGGCTTCACAAATGACGGAGAACGAGCTACGTTACATGTTTTAAAGTCGCCTACCGTAGAAGTCGACGTTTCTGATTACGGAGCCACAGTAGTTGGAATAAGATGTTTAGACAAATTTAGTCGAATGGATGACGTCATAAGCGGTTTTTCTGGAGTGCATGGTGAGTAAAAAAAAATAGAAAATCAATCGGGAGATATTTTGGTTTGTTACGTTTAAAATAAACCCGACCCAATTTGGGCTAGCAAATATTATTCCGGCTTTTGTTTGTTATTTCCGGCCTTTTTAGTATTTTATGTTCGACTTTTTTTTTCACAGTATAATTTAATGTTGGACTTCCTCATAGGTGACGCTGCTCGATAACCATTACTTGTTTATTGCGTCTCCCTTCACACTGAAATGTATTTTTCCTTATCTTGTATATACAATGTATTTTCGGCATGTGTAAATATAAACTACTGACAATCTATTAGAGATAAGCTATCGAGAATATCGCGACATCAAGAAATAGATTGTTTAGGCCTAGTAGTCACTTACTAAGCTAATGGTTTCGTAGCTATGATATTTCAATTAGTATGTCCTTCCGCACTGGCCAACCTGCATGTTAAAAAAGACCGGCGAATATAATCGATGGGGCTTTTCCTGAATGACAATCGTTCGTTGTTTGTTATTTTTATTCTACATATCGCAACATAAAGATATAGTTTGTATAGTTACGTACCAAAGTGATTGTATTGTGGCTAGTCTCTTTCATTCATGCTATGTCTACCTACAACGGTCAGCCTGGAGGTTTAATATGACCGCCCTGTGAGAGTCGTCGATTGCGACTTTTCTTTGCTTTTTATATTAAATATTGTCGTTGTTATTTTATTTGTATATGTTAACATCTAGAATACTGTCCGAGCGCTAATCAGCCTAATGAAATGTCGAATTAATGCATTTTGCTTGTTCCAGGTTATGAAAGGCATTCAAAACAGATAGGAAGCGCCGTTGAACATGGATGTTCAGAACAAAACGGACGATCCTCGGATAACAGCATTGGCAAGGTAAGGTTCGTTCAACTGTTAAAAGTTAGAAGTGGGCATGGTCGCATACTACCGTGTTTCCTCAAAAATAGAATTAAAATTGATTATAATATCAGTCTAAAATAAGACCTAGTCGATAGCGCGAATTTATTTTTTTTTGAGCTAGTCGTTAGCAAGAAATCTCTTCTAAATGATTAATCTAATCATGAATCTATATATCTAGTAAATTGATATCGGTCCTCATATTTTGTATATTTGAAAATCTCGAATATTCTCTACTTTGTAACTTTATTTTTGATGAATGAAAATAAAAGACATCCCCCCAAAATAGGCCCTAGTGTTATTTTTCGGAAAATAAATTAAAAGAATACCCTGTCTTATTTTCGGGGAAACACGGTAGATCCGCCCTGTTTTAGGTTTTCGTTTTAATTTTATAAATGTTGTGCATTTTCTTTTGTTTGGGTGTCAATTTCCTTTTATACCTGCCTGTTTCATCATTTCGAACGTCGCTTCTGGAAATATTGTGACACCCATTTTGGGATTTGGCTGTCGATTTCATTTATTTTTTAAATCTGATGTTGCACCCATATCACGTTATAATAAGTTTCGTTTAACACAGAGAATATGGAAATCGGAAACCAATGGGACACGGAGTGTGACATTCAAGTAAGTTTTTAAATGTTCCTTCATTTGCTAGAAACTAACATCCTAATGTTGCCCATGGCTACACCGCACCAAAACGCTTCATCTTCAAAGCGCACTTTGTAATTTAAAGATGAGTTAAACGTTTATTGAATACATACATGGTGTTAATAACAAATACCTGAGTTTTATTTTATTTGAGACGATGTGAGAGCATTTGAATGATTCCTAATCAAACTGGTAGCTATATTTTTATTTTCTTCTCCGGGTTGATAATTTGCTTCTCCATTTTGAAAATGATATCATTGACAATATTTTGAAACAAGGGTACGTGACCTGCGGCCCGCGGGCCAAATACGAATGGCGTGCGGCCCGCAAAACGAGTATTCAATTTAGTTTAATCTGGTACGTGCGAATAATTTCAATTACTTTGCGTTAGAAATCCTATACAATACCTGAGTTTGTGCGAAGCGAGCAACGCATGGGATACGATCGATAACCAAAGTTTGTACATGCAACTACTAGAAAGCCTATTTTAAATAACGGTGCGGCCCGCGGTTTCATTCAGTTATTTGTACCTGGCCCTTCTGTGATGAAGGTTGCACACCTCTGATCTGAAACATAACAAGCGTGTTTACTTTCTTATTTATGAAGATATGTTCGACGCGACGATGAAGATGGTCAAACAGGAAATGTGAACTTGTTCGTAAAATATAAACTTCAGGGTTCTCAACTGCAAGTTCAACACATGGCAACAACAGATAGAGACACAACGATCAACATGACGAACAAACTATATTTCAATCTTTCGGGACATGTAAGTTATCTTTGCGTCAGAATATCTGTAAATGTAGGCAACCCAGCCAAATGCAACTAAGAAGAGCAGAATTATCGTTTGGATCGTTTTTTAATTTTAATAATTCGAACATTTTGCCGACATGTTTTATTTTCGGATTCTTGTTATCGCGCTTCATAACAAGTTATCAGAATTGATCAAGAGCACACTTTGAACAAATGTAAATGAGCCTATGATGAGATCTGCACTGTTATTATTTGCGCAAAATTACTCGATTTATTGGAGCTGCAAAGTTAAATATTTCTATTTTAAATTAATATCATCGAGCGCATATCCAAAAATTCCATTTCTGAGTCGGAAGTAAACATAGTGCCTTGCTTGTATCATCTGACATTCGCCCTTACTCCATGTTCTCTCAGTTGTTCAACAATTATCTGAACTTTTTTATTTACAACCAATAACTTTTTCAGACGCTGTGGGGCGGCGATTTGAAACATCATTTGGTGACATTATATTCAAACTCCTATATCGACTCATACGGTAAGATAAGTCGGGGGGTTTTGGTACTCAGTTATTATACCTGTTGATAAGATAAGCTAGGATATGGTTTCTAGGTGTAACGACAGAGAAAAAATCAGATAGCTTAAAACATGTGCCGTTTACGTCATTCGTTGATTCCTAATCCATGTCGGATATAGAAATTATTATTATTTTTTTTTTTGAGAATCGGTTTAAAGTTCATCAACATCATCATTTTGCACATAATCAATTTGAAACAGTCGACAAGCGCAGAATCGTTAGTGCTGCGAAACCAACTACCAGATTGGGATCGGCGTTAAACAAATGAGGCTTTGTTTTAATAGTTTCGGTTTTTCAGATCTCATTAATAAAATAAGCCAGATATCTTGTCGTTTATGAATCAAACAAGTTCATTCCATATCATAAACTTCATTTTCGAAACTTCAGTTTCAAGTGTACAAGACTCAAGTTTCATACAGTTAATCATTAATATTTATTTATTTATCAAAGGCGAGGCAAGATCCGTCGAAAACACTGTATTTGATTTACGTAAACCAACATTCCTCAGTAAGGATCGAATCGTAGGAATCCAACCCGCACAAGAGAAACCAAATGGGAGAAGTTTCTGTTTGTCATCAAGCGAACATAAAAAGCTTGTAGCAAGGTAGGTGTAGTGGAAATGTGAGTCATACAATGTCAAAGGATAGATCTTTCATAAATGCTTGGAATAAAACAGGCTCTGAATGTCCATCTACATACCGTGTTTTCCCGAAAATAAGGCGATTTTCTTTCGAAAAGTACCAATGGGGCTTATTTTGGGGTGATTTCGTTTATTTTCATTTATCAAAAACAAAATTACAATGTAGAAAACTACGAAATTTTTGAATATACAAATTTTAAAACCCGATATCCATTTACTTTAAAAATTCGCGCTATCGACTAGGGCTTATTTTCAGGGAAATATGATAGCTATTGGGAATAACAACATGCTTCAAACTGATATTTAAGATATATATATATATATATATCCATAATCTCGTAGAAAGGTCATTTGCAAAGGTCAAAATCTGGAGAACATGGAGTCTTGCTCGTGACTTCGAGACGAGAAAAACAGACCACGGCTAAGTTTCTCACATGCAAAAACTTGGGTACTGACAAATCTAAGCATATTTTAGTTATCCGCACGATTTCAAATACCGACTATGATGACTTTACATATCAATTTAAGATCCATACTTTGGGGGTTTCAAAATAAAACTACGGGGCCTCGTTTATTTATATCTGATCAATTCTGAGGGACTTGACCAACATTACAGTATATATAATATGGTCAGGCTAATAACCGAATTGCGTAAGTCATTTTTGGCGGTTTTGATTTTTTATAAAATAGGTATTTATGTAATGGTGCGCACCTTTCTGTTAACTCAGATTTTATTTTAAGAATTTCGAAACCAATAAAAATGGAGATTTTGTATGACATGCAAATTTGTTCAATTGTTTCGTCATAATGAATTATCATTGTTACCGCAGGACTATTGTGACGTCACAAAGGCAAAATAACCTCAGCGAAGGATTTTCGAGTTTTTGCATCTCAGATTCTAGCTTAGCGCTTATAAATTTGAATATATGCTACAATTCAAGGTGGTCCAAGGTTGTCGGCTCCGCGGGCCACAATATTATTTTTGCATTGTTCACGGGCCACAATAGTGCCAAGAATAGGTAAACAGTGCAATACAAAACAAACACCTTTATTGTGCAAACATATAGTTATCCGGCATAGCCATTCTAGGCTAATAGAATCCGCATTCGATTTTTAGTTTTCTATGATGCCTATATTGTTTGCATATATTCCCGACCAAAAAGGTAAAAAGCCAGATAACAATTTAGACCGCCAAGCACATCATTCAACTTCGCTAGTTTCCCCAGCTATCCATAAAATTATTTAATTCAGTGACAATAGTGATGACAATACGTCAAAAGATTTTTCTGATTAATTTTATGACGAAACAACACAAAATGCGATTTTTTGATTACTCTCTGAATGTGACGCGGGCCACAGATAATGAAGCGGCGCCCACATGTGGCCCGCGGGCCTGGGTTTGGACCACCCTGTGCTACATTATAGGAAGGCGTGTACTTGTGATATTCACTGTCTGAGCCCAATTCATCTTGGTTGGCTACTATATAAGGGTACATTGCTGTTTTATTCTTTATATTTAATCTCAGTCTTATTTCGGTGGGTGTGCAGAGCGTGTTATATTGATGAAATATATATTTTTGAACACAAAAAATAATGTAATTGAAACAGATTAGCTATTTTAGGGATTAGACATCGTAGATACTAAGAATAACATTCGTTTTTGAATCGTTTGGTTTTCAGGACTGGTGCATATAGTCGAGTTGCAAAATTGCGTATGTCCCCAAGTCAGACACATTTCTGCCTAAGTCACAGTGCGCCATTATGACGTCACGTAACTGCGTCATACAAATTAACTTAAATCCGGCTACGAACAAAAAATTGAACCATGGCAAATTATTGACTCTCAATGGCATAGCAATATCATTAGGAAGTTTTTTACGTTTTTCTCAAAACGGCTAAAAATGACTTACGCAATTCAGTTATTAGCGTGACGATGTTCAGTTTGGTAATACGGACGCAAAGTAACTTTCAAATGCCTGGCCAAAATATTCACATAGACGTATGAAACACCGACCTATGTAAAACTACAGTTATCTAGTAGATTTTTTGAGTTACACTGTTACCTTTAATCAGTAGGGATCAATTCTCGCATTCGAAAAAATAAACGTTTCTATTTTCGGAGCAAATATGTCTTTGGCGCGTTAAAATCTATTTTTTTTATCCAGAATCAAGCACGTATCAAATGGAAGAATTGTTACCATTGAAACGTCACAACCTTTTGTTTCGCTTGATTGCGCCAGTGACTTTGATCTTGTGGAAGGAAAAAATGAAGTCAAATATAATAGGCATTCATGTGTTGCCGTTACTCCTCAGAATCATCCTCCATGTTCAGAAAAGGTAATTTAAATATTGCAACTTTATGTATTAAAGTATCTATGTTTGTATGAGCTTTAAGTCGACTTCAGATCAAAATCACTAAAGCTTCATTTCTATTTTCGAGTGAGTATCGGTGTGCATAAAATGAATTGTAACCAACTACACATGAATCGTTTGTATATCTATACGATCTACTGTCTGAATATCCCCGTTTTATGACGCGAAATTCTTTACACTTTTAAAGTCCAGACAATACGGGCTCAAACTGATACAAAAACATTGGCTATGTGGTGCAATAATACAAAAATTTCCCTTTTATTCTGAAATGAAATGATCTATTCTATTCTATCGTAACAGCTAAAACAGGATTACCAATTTTGTTATATTTTAGATTGATGCGCCACAACGAGTAAATCTAAAAGCGGGAGATTCTTTCGGTCATTCGACCTGGTATAGTTTTTCTCATACTTTGTGACTTGTCTGAAAAAATACATCTACATTCATTGTCAAGTTGAAAAAAGGTCGAACATGGAACCACGATTAAGTGGAAAAGAATCAAATTTTGGCACTAGGTTACTAAGAGACGAATTTGCAGCTACCGCTTTCCATGTGATGGTCGAATATGTAGTTCGGGGTTTTACTCATTCGTATAGTAATAACATTTGCTATGATTAACGAGAATCGAACACTCGACTGAATGTACAGTTTTTCTTTCTGCCACTTTTTGCTTCACCCTATATTTCTATATCGCACTGGTATTATGTTTTTGTATTTCCATTCATTCTGTATATGCAAATAAATATATGATTTATACACGTACATAAGGCCTGTTTACTTTAAAGTTTAACCGATCTAGCAAACTACAAAAGGACACTATTTCACGCTCCAGTGGTTCGCGCAAGTTTCAAATTGTTTCTTTAGGTCAGTGGTTTCCAACCTGGGGTTCGCGGAGCACTTTTCATGGGGTCACAGAACAAAATAATTTTACGTTCAACTTTTTTCCATAACAGCTATCGTAATCAGTGAGGAAGAAAAAATTCATACGCGAAAAAATTAAATCATGCAGACCAATTTTTAAGGCTTTGGCCAATTCCAGAATCTAACTACGGTCTCCCACTTTAGAACACTCTTACCGCTATGGTATCTTATTATTTTTTACCAATCATTCTTTACCAAGTCTGTGATTCCCAACTTTTCTAAAATTTCCTCCCTTTACCTATATTGTGGTGTTAGTGTTTCTTTACAGTGTAATTATTAGATAAACAATGTACTCTTGATTACCCTAGTTCTGTCGTACTACATACTTTACTGTTTGTGTGTTATTTTATTGTTTACAGTGTTAAGTTGTGGTAGTGGTGTTCTTATGTTTAATAAAGCCTAGAATCGGTTATCTTTCTTAACAATTTATTAAACCTAACTTAACGAACCAACCACAATGGATATAAAGTTTCAGAACCTGAGAAACTAGATACAGCTCCCGATGCCAGTGACGCGGAATGCGAATGGCTTCATTGGCAAGTAACATTTGAAAATTTCTTGGAAGTTTTACCCACTGAAGGACTGGATAAATTGAGAGTATTAATAAACTATGTGTCTCCGATAACTTATGGATATATTATAAATATCACAACTTATGATGAAAGCCATAGATACGTTGAAAGGGATCTTTTTATAGCCAAAGAATGAAATATATGCACGTCATGTGTTGGCCACGCGAACCCAACAAATTGAAGAGTCAGTTGCTAAATATTTGAGAGCATTGACAGAATTGAGCAAAGGTTGTAACTTTCAGAACGTATCGGCTAAAGAATACCAGAATGAATATATATATTCGGGGCTCCTTTATAAGTGGCTTGAATTCCAGTTGGATACGCCAGCGACTGCTGGAGAATAAGAAATTGACACTGGACGAAATGGTTGATCAAGCCAAATCATTGAAAACTGCCCTTCGAAATTCACAAGCTTATGCTATAAAAGAAAACACTTCCGTCGGAGCAGAAACTTCAACAATACAATCTAACAATTTCGATGTCGGATCATTGTCAGATAATGCAGCTAGGAATAGTAGAAGTAAATGCTTTTTCTCCGGTTATAGTAGACATCCACGATCAAAATGCCCAGCTCGAGAATTGAACTATTCGGTTACTCTTTCGATATCGCATATAAATTATTAACCAGGCAAAGACAATGTTGTATCAGACACTATATTGACTTCTTTCTACTAAGATCCTCACTAAATTACATGATGCATTATGCCATCCAGGTTTATCTAGCTTCGCTCATTTTGTTAATGTCCGCAATTTACCTTACTCGATGGAAGACGTTAAGAGAACTGTCTCGAATTATCGTGCATGCAGAGAGCTGAAACCTAAAAATTTTCTTTGCGTAACTGACGAGTTTTCACGATTTCCCTTCACTATTCCAACACCTGATGTTTTATGACACCAGTGTCATAAAAAGTCTTAACTCCAATTTTTGCTTCATATGGAATGCCTGCTTACATACATACTGACCGCGGTTCGGCTTTCATGAGTTGTGAGTTTAAAAAATTTTTGCAAGAAGAGGGTGTTTCTCACAGTATAACAACTCCTTACAATCCGTCGGCGAATGGTCAGGTAGAAAGGTGCAATGGTACAATTTGGAAGAGAATAAAACTTGCTTTAATGTCAAAAAGTTTGCCAATTGAATGTTGGCAAGATGTTCTATTAGATGTTTTGCATTCCATCAGATCACTATTGTGTACCGCAACAAATGCAACACCACATGAGCGGTTGTTTAATTTTGCAAGAACAGGCACAGGATATGCCGTTCCAAACGTGGCTGACAACTTTCAAAATTGTTCTTCTTAAAAGGCAGAATACAAGAAACAAATCTGATCCACACCTCGATGAAGTAGAACTTCTGAATGCGAACAGACATTACGCTCGTATTGACATGGTACGTAGGTTATTAATTAAACACGTTTCGATGAAGTATCTCTATCTGGTACGTTATCATAGTAAAATTTTTTATTAACCCATGGTTGGGTTGCGGTGGTCTAGTAGTCGATAGTAATCATCTGAAATATTTCATTAGGGTCCACTCCATCACAAAGTTTGAAAACCGATGATATTTTCATTACCAAATCTTTTATTAATAACATTCATTTTTCAGATGTGGACCCACATTGGCAAGCCCATGCTAAAGAACATATAACATCTGAGAGAACGAGCAAACATGGAACAACACTTTGAGAGGGTTGCTGCGAATTTTTTGGTTACCCCGGATCTGTATTTTCCGGAGATGATTTCTGCGTACTTGGAACATGGTTGGTAACCATGGATACTACAAATGGCAACTGATTTGTAAAATTTCACCATGCCAGAACTGTCCCCGATTATCTTAGAAACATCGCAGCGAACCGTCTTGCTAAAAATGGAAAACAATGGTGTGAAATATTTTCAAAATATAACAGTGAAACAAAATAACCAATGGATGATTGTGGGTTATAATGAGTTTGAGTAACAATCAAAAACTGCTATTTTATACGTCCTAGAACGACTCCCTGGTGAATGGTCTACGATGACGTCTCAAATGTTCTTTTTAGTGAAACGTACTGAGCAAGTTACAACGACTCCCTGGTGAAACGGTCTACGATAACGTCTCGAAGGTCTTTTTAGTCGAAGCAAGCTACAATATTCCATATTTCCCAAAAATATTTGACGATTCTGGTCAACCAGCGATGGTAGCTAAATATGGAAACTGGTTCACACACGACAAAAATTCTTGTGCAAAAATATTCGCTCGCGACCACAAAAAAGTTGTTGACATGGATAGCTTGATTAAATTGATGAGACACAATGATTATAAAAACAATCCGATATCGAGATGTAATTGTACTCCGCCCTGTAGCATTGAAGCAACAAGACCATGCTGCGACGGACAACTTCGTATTCGTTACAAAAGGTTCTTGGCGTAATGGCGGAATCCACGACCAACAACCAGTTTTTAAGTTTTAAAAAGTCGTCGTATGCAAATGTGTCTTATCTTGGATTGCCTGATAGGTTGATTTCAGTCCTGCACTTTTTGTATGAGATAAATAATGAGTTTAAATATAGCCCTGTCTCAGTTTTAGCTATGTATATTCATCAACTACATTTGGCTTATAAAACTTGCTGTTTTCATTGCGTTTTCAACAATTAGGAAATATTTTAAATGACTATAGGTTTTATTTTTGCTCCGAAATAAATAAAATTGGATTTCTGATCAGAGATTTACTTAAAATACGTATATGTATCTATCTTTGTCATTCCTTCTTTTCAATTCAAATAGGCCCTATTTTAAAGATTATATTGTGTAAGCTAACTTCTTGAGTGATCCCCCTTTTTATATTACGATATCTTTGGAACTGTTATGTGTAATCTATCAAACAATTGTTGTAATTAATTGGGGTAAAATCTATACGCAGCCCTTTTTTTCTGAATCTGACTCCTGAATATTTTTTTTTCGGTCGACATAGTTGTAGTCTTTCCCGCCCCATCCCGATTATATTTCATGATAGTTTTTTCCATTTATTGTAATCTATACATTTTTGATATATTCGGAAAATAAATCGTTACCTCTCTTTCCCGGTGTTGGTATTAAGGTATAAAAAGTCGACTCTATGCTGAAATATTAAACTTTTATTCCATTTTATCATTTTTATATCTCTAATATATCTCACCTGGGAATACCTGATAAGTTTGATTTTAGTCCTATACTGTTTGTATGGAATAAACAATAACTTTATTTAGTCCTGCGTTATTTTTATGTGATACATAAAGTCAAGTCTATGATGAAACTTAAGTTTTTAAACTATTTTAACCATTTTATTATTTTTAATCATAATTATTAAATTGTTACTCGTCTAAACTGTATTCATTACTGGTATATTAATGCTGAATTATCGTTTAAATATTGAAACGTGTCTTTGCTGTAATTGAGTTTCTGATACTTCTCTGATATGTAGCGAAGCCACATTAAATCTTAGACTATTTTATTATTTGTTGCCATGTGCCATGAGTCCTTTTACAACCCCAATATGGTTATGAAGTCCGTTCTCAACATATCTTAACCAGGTTTGTTGTTTTCCCCAATAATCAGTAATTGTTCAAGTATTTTCACTTCATTTAATACATCTGTGAGGGCCAACCCAATGTTCGGTATCTTTTGAGAAAATTTAAGACTTTATGAACACCCTATCTATCTTGTTTTTATTGGTGGCTCCGATATCACTTAATTTTTGCATCATGATCTGTTTTGTGTCTTTCACTAAGCGAGTCTATGTTATTCAACCACTGATAAGCACTGATGTTTTTTGGAAAGACTCAATATTTCCGTTTCAGCCTGGCCAAACCCAAGTGTTTCAACTTGGGGTAGATTTGACCTGCATTGGTGGTAAATTTCCAAATTTGGGGCGGAAAATTTTCAAATTTGCTACAAGAAAAAAAAACCTAAACCAATTTCCTATTTTATCAAGCTAATTAGACTAACACCAATACTATAGTTTTAATTACCAACCAATTCTAGGAGATCATTATTTCAATAATTTTGTTTGAATCCAATACTCACATTTCCTAGGTTTTTTTTTCGAAAGCTAATAATTTGTGCAATTGAAACTTTTTGCCTATGAAAGGCTCTTTCATATGTTATTTCGTTCAAAGCTGGTAGGATAGATTTGAGCTGTCAATAGCAAACTAGACTTCCTCGATTATATAGATAAGTGATTCTCAAACTTTTAGGCCGCTTCCTTTATAGCATTTTCCACTCTCGCACTCTACCTCAAAAATACCTAGCTAACAAACAACAACTAACAGATGGTAAGGCGAAAGTATGTTTTATTCAAAAAACACACCGTAAATATCCAAAAAAGTAAGGCAAAAGTACGTTTTATTCCAAAAACACCCCGTAAATATCCAAAAAAGGCGGGCAAAATCAAATCTAACAATTTTATTTTAAATTAGCTTCTATCCTGGTCATCCTATCTATATCTATCTATTTTATCCTGGTGCTACGCCGTTTGAGAACCACTGATATAAAGGTCTTTTCCTTCTTTGAGACTTGATGAATCCCATGATTATACTGTTAGAGAAGAACGTGAAAGAATTGATTCAAAATTTTGTTTTTGTCAAAATCTAAGTCAAAATTTTTTACAGTCTAGAGTTGGAAGTCTATATTTTTCCTAACCCGTAGTCAATAGTAGTTGTAAATTGGCCCCCATTTACAGTCCCACTTTTAACCCCACTCTGTATCTGGTATTATAGAATAACTTTCATATAACATCCATTTTTAGACATTGTGCTATTTTCCATTTTTAAAATAAATTTTGTAACAGTATTTTATTATGATTCATTTTTAGTGTGAAGATATATTGCAATAAATTCATCATATGCATATATATTAGTGTCTTGTCTGCTATATTCCATTTGTTTCTCAAACTTCTTACGCTACAGAGCTTGTGAAAAGGTCGACTATTATTTACGGAGCTCCAAAATAAATTTATAAAATAAAAACACATTATTCACCGATTAATGTCCCTTTGAAAAAACTAAATTTCTTTATTTAATGTCTCTGATGTATTTGCTGCTTTGTATTTTTAAAAAATATTCCATATTTTAATAAGTAAATGAAAAGTTTGCAAAGCCTCTAGGTTTCTCTCACAAAGCCCTTGGGCGCCTTATGGAACATTTTGAGAACGTTTATGGCATTGCCTTATAAATCTTCGCAAATAAGACGGTATTCACTCTGATATATAAAAGAGCAGAAATGGACTCGAGTCTATAAGATTCAGGAAAAGTTTTTCTAAGTGATTTCATTCTAAGAAAAGCTTGTTACAAGAAGAAGTTGATTCATAGATTCACTAATGCCTAATCTTTAGGGCCTGGGTGAGGTGATTTAACGAAAATCAAAACTATCTTCAGCCCTGAGGCAACACAGCGCCGTCTAATGTATAAACAGATTAAGTACCATAGCAGGTTACAACTCGGTGGTGAAAACTCAATTAAAATTGTTTGCATAACTGTCTTGCAAAGCGCCCAGCAGTTTTAGTTAGCGTTTAGCGCCCAGTTCTTTAGCAGCCAGAGTTCGCCAAAAGTAACTTAGATGGCCTACTAAGTATACAGTAATTGCAATGTTTCAATCTCAGGAGAGAGTATTGCACATGTCACCAAGCTGAGGATTCCTCCAAGTCCAATCGCTAGCAGTTCTCTCAGTATCTGCATAGTAACAAGGGCGGGGTCCTTAAACCCTAATACAATAAAGGAGTATTTCAATTGGACGAAAATCGACCAATCAGAAAATTTTAAAGTCACGTGACCTGCGCAGTACCAAAACGGACATACACTTGCCATGCGCGGATATTCACCGTTTTCGACAGTTGCCAGATTTCAGAATTTCGTTTTTGAACGGCCCGATTCTAAATCAGACCGTTCAAAAAATATCTGGCAACTGTCATTTTTTCAAAAATCTCGCGCATGGCAAGTACATGACCGGTAATCTACTGCGCAGATTGAGAAATGTTGAATCAGCCAATGGGAGTTGAGTATTTTCGTGCGCATGGCAATTAGGAACTTCCGGCAGGGAAGTTGAACTTCCTCTTAAGATGTCCTTCTGCGCATGGCTGTAACGTGGCAAATGGGGTTCTGCGCCGATCACGTGACTTGAAATAAGCGTTATGATTGACTGTTAGTTGGATATTGATAAATATATAGGAAATTCTAACTTGGCCACATGTTTCTAAGTTACTCCTGTTCTGATCTAATAATGGCGGACGGACTTGGGAGTAAAAAGCTTAAACTTACTAATTGTAAAACGAGAATATCGGTCAGAGACCGAAGACTTATCGATCGAAAGTTAGGGGATCCCCAAAACAGCGCTATCACTCCATAGTGACACCTTGTGTCCTTTCACTAATTAATTAATAACTCGCTAATTATAAGACATAATTCATCCAAATCAATAGGCTTCTGCTCCAACATATGATGAATGCACATGCAAAATCTGGAACAGATTCAATCTCGCTTTCGTGAGATATCGCGTGCATCTAACAGACAGACAGACAAACACACAGACAGACAAATACCTATCAACCTATTTACTGATTAAAATCGATAAGTAATAATTCCTGAGTTAGAAAGCTTTGAATTATATTTCAACATGATAGATCATCTAACCACTTTCCTCTCACACAGAATAATCTTTTATCGCTTCCGGGCCTTACATTGGGGTATATAGAGGCTTGAAACCTGATAACATCAGTGTAAAACATCGAGAGTGGCATTCCTGCGGAACTAGCGTTGATGTGACGACGTCATAATGGAGCAAAAACACTTAAAATTTGCCTATTTTCAATTTATTCACAAATTCCTTTACAAACAAGCATCTCGAAAGCACATTTTTCAAATGTAATAAAATACAAGGCACACAAAATAGCAAAAATTCAAATATTTCATCAAATTTTCTCTGTAAATAAATAATATACTTTTGCATTTTTTAGGGAACTCCGTTCCGTGTAAAGTTGAGGTATTGTGTATTTTTGAGTATTAACGTTGAAAACTGTGTAACATTGCTTCAAATTAAAATGGCTTCACTGGCTGTGTGCACCGCTCTCTAAACACGAATTTGGACAAGCAGAGACTGGGCATATAGAACCAAGGGCTAAAATTTTTCCAAGCGAGGGTCATGAAATTTCTTTTTGCCAAACTAGACCGAAACTGGGAGCAGGCAGGTTTCGACAGAAGGCCGGAAAACATGGGTCTTCAGGAGTCTTATGGGTTTAAAAAACGTTTCAAGGTACGAAAAATTATGCATGATACAGAAATATACAAATATTTTTTTACATTCAAAAGTGGGGGGGGGGCGAAAAGAATATAGCACAGCATCGAATAACACATGTTTGGCACGGGTCTCTTGCTAGGCATAAACCAAGGCTGTGAACAAGTCAATATCAAAAAATAAAAAATCAGAATTTGGACGTAATGAAGTTTTTGGTTGGGCTAAGCTTTTGCCCCAAATAAGACCAATCATCTGAACAGGTTTTTTGAGCAATGCTTTAGACTAGTAGATACATCGGCAAAATAAAACCCAAATTTGGGCATGGATTCTTCAGCTTCGTTTCAACTATGTCCAAAGAAGTCTCTGAACGAGCAGATGTGACAGGGCTTCGATTTTCTGCCAAGTCTTACCTATGCTCTTACCAAGGGACTGGGAAAATCGTTTCTCCAGTATAGGGCTTTTCAAAAGAACCACATGGGAAATTTTGCTTCCTTCCAGGGTGAGGTGACGGTTCGTCTTTGGAGATTTGCAAATATTTAGTAAAATTATGACACAAAAAGGTAAATTCAATATATAAGCATGCATAAATGATTATAAATAAAATTGTGTATATGGGTGATTCATTTGAGCGAAACTTATCATTAGAAGCAATAAAATGCAGCATAGCTTCTTAAGAGGTAAGCAAGACGTCAATACGGGACGGTCATAGATTTCCCAACAACTTCAAGTCTTTACTCAAAACTAAAGATGTACAAAGGAGCGATATCTAATTTAAGTGTAAGGTTATGTGCATAGGACGCTAATTGGTTTAAATATATGCTTTGCCAATTGCAATTTAGATCAGTGGTTGAGGGGACTTGAAGCTAATTAAAATTATATGTTGCCTCGCTATCTGTATTTATTTGTTATTTGTAGCAGATGTTTAGCTAGTTATTTTTTTAGATTGGGCAAGATACAAATTCTTGACAAATTTTAAAGACGGGAGTGGCTTAAAAATATGAGAACCACTGCTTCAGATTGAGGTTTAGGGGTTGTGACAAAACTGATTCAGACGACAAATATATAAAAGTAAAACAGACACTACATTTCAATGTGAAACAGAAAAAAAGCTTCAATAGAAAGTAACAATAAAATAAATAACCCTGATTGGAAGGAGAAATTGTCTATATTGGAGGAAGCTCTTCATAAGTTTCACCAAAAAAATTGTGTGTATTGATACTTGTGTGGGTGAGAGTTTTCAGTGCTCCCGAAGTATTCGTATCAAGATGGCGCACAACCTGAACATAGTATATGTACCAGGTTGGGGTTGTTCAGGTGGTACGTCATCTTGGTACGAATACTTCCAAAACGACGAATTTTTATTGAAAGAATGAATTTAAAACTTGATAATAAAAAGCTTATTAAATCTTGACTGAAATAAATTTAAGATTTTTGACTGAATTAGTAGTTTTTCTTAATGATTCTGGATTGTTTTAATGAATTCTAATGAGTATATTTTGAATTATAAACTTGAATTTGTAATTATTTTTGAAATTGAAAGTTTTTTATTTCGGAGTCATAGTAATAGTACCTGATAATTATAGATGAACCCTGGATAATTTTGCAATATGATATTCCTTAAAAAAACGAAATCCTTCAGTCGAAGTCGTGCTTGAGAAATACCCCCAAAAAAATGTACCCTGGAGTAAAATTTTGCGTAATCAAGCTGAATTGAGCATTTGTAATCAAACCCAAAGAATTAACTTGAGGCCAATGTACAATTTTCTGATTGCAAAGAATTCTAGATTATCAAGTTTTGAAAGATTTGGAACAGATTCGAACGGCTTTTGGATCAGTAAAATCTAGCATGAACATCTTGTGCCAATCACAGAAAAAAAATCATTTAAAACAATCAAAACAAGACAAAAACAAAACATTTCAATGTGAACTGGGAAAGAAAAAGCTTCAACAGAAAGCAGACACAGAAGAATAAACAACAAATTCAAACAAGGCAAAACATTGTGTATACGAAACAAATGAACAAGAAGATGGAAAAAAAAATTTCCAAGGCACAGAAGCACAGTATATAAATCAGAGGTGGTGAATCTGTTGGAAGCGGTGTAATTTTGACAGAATTTTGTCATAGGTTGTAAACTCAGAAACTGCTGCTCAATTAAAAATTCATTTTGTGAAAAACTTTGGTTTTCAAAGGCCCATATCAGATTTGCTTATTATACTAGAGTTTTCATAAAAAAAAAATATTAACCCTTTTTCGCTGCCATATTGTTATGTTTTTTCAATATTCTACGATATATCCAACGTTTTAGTGCTTTAGGTACGAGGCCCGGGGTATGTGGTGGCATCTCACAAAAATATACCACCTGGTGGATATTAAATATAGAAAATCAAACTTTGTTCGTCGAATTTAAATTCAATGAGTCGCCGATCCCATAACTCCGATTATCATTCTGTTCGGCTCTTTTATTTCTTGTGTAAGAATATGCACCGATCCATTTTGTGTCGAAAATTCCGAAACGTACAAGATCCGCAAATAACGGGATACCACCGAGTTTAGTATCAATAATACGATGAAAAATACGGTTCGTGGCGGATAATAATTCGTCTTTTGAGCCGGTATCCCTGTTCCGAGCGTAGTAACTCGAGGGTTGAGGAACATGTCCACGAAGCTTGCAATCAGGATAACGACCATACTAACTGGAGAGATATATTTCCATGATATTGTCCAATTTCATTCAAGGTTTTAATTGAATCATTCTCTCTATGTCATTTTCGAAGCTGAAAAATAAACAAAATAAGTGGACTGGTTAATTGTCAAAACAATATTTTTGACATGACGTGAATGTGAGATTTGAATATGTGATGGCAATTCAGTTAAATCCTGCGCAACTAGGCATCCTTGCATCATGAAAAACATAATTGAAAATCAGAAATATTCTGTAGAAATTTGTGTTAAATAAAGGTGTGACCTGCGGTTCCACCCAGTTATTTGTATCTGCTCATCTTGTATTAATAACGGTTGCGCAGCGTCTTGCTCTGAACAAAGTTTAATACAATATTGAAAACAAAGTATAAGCACTCACTTATTTAGTTTGAAGACCCAAGCTACTGCAATTGTTGCGACAGAAACAAATCCAAATGTAGCTGATTATCCGTTGAATATGTCGAGGAACACCCAGATCTCACCTTGAAGATTAAACCGATTACAAACATGCCTTAAAATGAGAAATATGCATAAGTAATTATAACTTGGCTTTTTGATTTGTGAGTTGTTGTCAGAACTTCCCCCAAACCAGGGGTGTGCAACATTTATTACAGAAGGGCCATTTTCAAGTAATTGGATGAAGCCGCGGGCCGCACCTTTATTCAACATAGGCTTTCTAGTAGTTGCAAGCACAAAATAGTTTCTTTTTGTTATTGAACTGTTAATTATTTTCTGTTAATGATATTCTAACATTGATAATTTCAAAAATTATGCGGCTCTCACATATATCTGACTTGCTGCATGTGGCTCTTAAACTAAAAAAAATGACCACCCCTGTCATACACGTTTATTGTAAAACGGTTGACTGTGGGTAAAATGAAATAATCAATAAACAATCACAAGGTAAGGACGGGAAGAAAATGCATAATCAGAAAGTCAATAATAAAATATAAACTTACATATGGTAACGCTCCGAAAGCCTAAATCGACAAGAAACTGTCAGGAAACGTCTACGATGACGTTATTAGAATAAAAATAGTAACTGAATTAAGAAAGCAGTTAATAATACTGAAATGTAAAAATTTATGAACAATTAAGCAATAAATACGATAATGGCCCTATGGACCCACGATACCCTAACAACCGTTCTACCTGAAAATACCAAACGCCACTCCACGCTAAATCAGTAAAGCAGATTTAGCGAAAAATACACCACACCACTAACCCCTTACCATAATTTAAACAAGAACAAAGTCGAGATACAAAAGCCATGCTCAACATGTCAACACGACAGGTGCAATAAACTCCGCGAAATTCGCGTCAAAACAAAAAGCAATTATCGATAAAAATTAGGCATCATTATAGCTCAGTCCTGTCGGAACACAACGAAGAACAGCGTTCAAAATATAATCAACTGGAAAAATTGCCGACAGACGACACACTATTTGGTATAATTTTGAAAGTTTCTCTTCATAAAAATTTCTTTGCTTTTGCTTATATTTAAAAACAGTTTGCTCATAATGCGTCATTTTAGGTTGTTTAAGATGGTTAAAGATTACTGATAAAAGCTCATCATCATATGCAGCCGCGTGAAAAAATTAAATGCTAAATTATTTTAGGTCGCTTATTTAAGTGAGCCGGAGTTAAAACAAAGCTCTACGTCGATAAATAGTCACATGAAAAAGTATCCGATATGTTTAAGAACCGACTGCTTGTTGATAGGTATCATAGATGAAAAGATCGCAATTCTGAACCAAAAATAATTTCCCCCAAAAATATTTTAACTTACATTCAATATTGAAAAACTTTGACATCAACTCCGGAGATTCCAATATATAACACGACTCCAATATCAGCAAAAAATCCCAAACGTATTTATTAATGTATCCAATTTTAAGGTTACTGGAATTAGAATTGGGGTGTCGCTGCTCGATAACCGGCTTCCCTTCCCCAGTAAAAATGTGTGTTAAATTTCATCTATTTTTCAATTTCGTATGTAATTTTTTTACTGGATGGAAAAAATAAAATTGACTATGACTGGAAGTATGTCTGGTCCACTATAAGTTAATCATGTATGGTTATACTATCTATAAACAGTATCTACGTCTGTCGGCGGTGCGCATTAATATGCCGTCAAGCACGATAACGTAATTTGTATTTCAGCTATATGATTTTTCTCAATATTTACAAACAAGCATTCTGGCCCTTGTCTATAACTTTAGTGAGAAGTTTCAGAACTCCGTATTTTACTCATTTGAGACTGATCAAAAGTGTTGTTTTGTATCACGCATATATATATATATATACGAGTAAAACGTAAGGACGCAAGCAAAATGGTTTTCTTTCGAAAGAATTGTCTTTTGTATCATAGTTTGGTACAACGGGATGTAAATGTAATAACTAACATATAAAGACTACAATAATGGGCGCTCCAGGAGTGTGCGCACTAAAATGGAGATAACTAATTTTGTTCGCCTCAAGTTGTGTAGAGGGACTGAACCCTACGGGCAGGTGTATATTGACTTGGCTAACACAGGCAATCCCTGAACTCGTAATAAAACTAAAATTAAATTAAAATTATGGCCTAACCCTAACACACTACGGGAGTACCCGAGAAAGGACGCACTGAAAGTACCGACTTACACGCCGTTTACAAAAAAAAAATAACAGAACAATTTCATTATAAGGAACTGAAATCGACAGAATATGATGTTTCATACACATCCGCCCTACGAGTTCCCAGTTGAGGTCGGGCACAGAACTAGTTAACCGGTTAGTTATTCGAGATGAGCGACTTGGATGTTAGACAAAGCCGACTCCCAACTCTGCAACGTCCACTATTTCTGTAGGATATGTTTACAGTCTCGTAACATTCTATGATCTCTTCACGAATGTCCACCCCCTAACACCTGCCAATGTTAGAAACTGTACTTAAATTTCATCAATCTTGACATATAGCAGTGATTTTTGGATACTCCTGAAGTATGCGCACCAAGATGTCGCACAACCTGAACCCTGACCTTGTACACAACCTGACTTCAGGATGTGCGCCATCTTGGTGCGCATATTTCAGGAGGTCCGATTTTTGTTCCACAAAACACTTATTGTGGTTACTTCCGTGAGTTCGGTGAGAGTTTTCTTCGAATTATATTTCAATTTCCCAAAATCTTTTGTTCAAAACAGTATTTTTTGCTTTCGCAACTATTGAAGGATAAAAAAAAGTCGCTTGAGTAGTGTGAGTATGTGCATATGTCATAGGGCAACAAGTTTGTGCGGGAAATGCAGATTCTAATTGAACTAAAAATTCTTCTACATTTAAGATTGCGGCTTCAAAAATTCCTTCATAACACTTGGCAACTTGAATATCTCCCTAATACCCCTTTTAAATACATCGCAAATGATACATAACATGATTGATTCCCTTACACAATTTTACCTCTGAAATTCTGGATTATGCTTTGGTTTTCGTTCAATTTTGCCACACTGTTGGGCGGTTTATTGGTTGCGTGGTCAAATGAAAAAGATCAATTTTTGGCGATGACTTTGGAGTAACATATTGGATTATCACGGATAGCCGTGAATGTCCGAGTGAAAATGACAGATTGTTGGGATTGGTTAGAATTTGCAATCGGATTTGACTTTAAGTGGGGTTTACCTTCCGCTCTGTTAAGCATCCCATGTTTCAAACAAAATAGGAGCAAATTGAATTCTCAGTTGTTAGAAACGGTCAAATTGTTTTCCAGTGAGTTTATCCGAAGCAAGCTTTTAAGACTCGCACTCCAGTTACATGAATGAATTGCATTATAGAAAAAGTCGAATTTTGCCTTGGATAACGGCTACCCCTTCCACCCTACGACATCGAAGATTCGAGCAATCCCGTCGTACATATACATCTGCCACAGAACCAGTGCACTGGAAAGCAAGTTTCTAACACTTGCCAGCATGCGCAAACCAAACTGTTGATCTTAACAACTTGAGAATGTGGCCAAACCGACGCACGCTGCAGTTGAAAGGAAGGTGTTGCACTCGCCTTGGGACAACGGCCAACCGTGAAAACGTGCGACGTATATCGAACATAATGATCTATCACGCATTTCAAAACCCGAGCAGAGTAATGAGCCCAAAAAGACCATGCACAAGCGCCCGCTAACATCTAAATATTTGAGGAGATGCTACTTCTGGAAAGACCAGAAGCTCTCCGGGTTGGCACTATTTCTTACACCTTGGGTAAGGTGGTGGGTGTGCATGCGATTCGATGTCCGGCTATGTAATCCAACGCTTCAACTTCTACGCCAATGCGACTTGGGTGCTCCTGAAGTGTGCGCACCAAGATGTCGCACAACCTGAACCCTAACCTGGTACACAACCTGAGTTCAGGTTGTGCGCCATCTTGGTGCGCATACTTCAGGAAGTCCGCGACTTGTACATTGCTGCAACTAAAACACAATTCTCTGGCAAAAGTATATATGACATTTTATTTTAAAATCATGCTCATTGTAGATAGAAATGAAGCTTCAACACACAAAGAAAATGAACATTTACGTCAATCGACATACAAAGTATTGTTTCTGACGAGCGTAAGAACCATCAAACAAAATCTTAATTGAAAAATCAGCCATCTATCTAGCTTAACTAAAATACAGTTTAATTTTGAACCGAGGTCACGGCCTCTCATGTATTCAATGGAGTAGTGGTGCAATTAAGCCCAAAATGAGCGATCGAGAGCTACTTGACAAGGTATGACATAAAGAGGTCTGAGGGAGAGTCAAGGACCATTAAAGTCAAAAATTGAAGCTATAAGCCTGAACAGGATGTGTTTGTGTGGCTTTAAACTTTGAAACAGATAGTAATATTAACAAGAGGAAAATAACAAGTTGATGGTTGTTCAGAAAACAACAAACTCGGGTGACTTTTATTTAATTGCTTTGGGAAAACTGGGGAAGTCAAAAATAAAAACCAACTTTTGTTATATTGTGTTTATCAGGGAACCCAAAGTTATATTGTGGTCCTGCAACAGTTAAATAACTTTTTACATTTCTGGTGATTCTGGTCAGATAATTGATGATATCTTTATTGTTCCCAATAGTATTTCGTTATATTAGTTTATGCGAAAGAAATGTGATCGCTAATATAGGGATAAAAAAAGTTTTGACAAAATTGACACAAAAAATAACAAAATCGATGACGACTCATAACTGATAAAACACTGTAGAAAATTCTCCAGATTTGCATGTGCTTCAAAATAATTGTTGAAGTCGAGTTGATAAAGTTAGCAATATGAATGAATGTAGGTCCCAGTCGGCATTTTAATAGCCTGCACCATAAAGATTTTTTAGTCTGCTATTTCAGAATATCAATGATACAACCAAAATTTAGGATAAATTGAATAAACACTGTGGTGTGTAGGTGTCAATTTCCATCAGAATAGAGTGGAGGTAGAACAGATATTTCCAAAAAACTACATTTTAACAAAACTTCAAATTTGCTTTTGAAAATTCAAAATAACGAAATTAATAAAAATGCCTGAATTTTATGAATTAGAAATCGGCAGATGTTTTGATTCTGCTGCAGATTGGAAGCATTAAAATAATCCAAATCAAAAGTCATACAAAGTTGGAATTCAAGAGGTATCTTCCATACCTAGTATAGAAACATCTATTACTTAAAGATGAATGTGAATATACATAAATGCAATGAAAACATGTGATTTGAAGACAGAAAAACAAATGTGTATAAAACTCTTGAGATATCAAAACGGAATGGTTTGAAAATTAAAGAAAAATAAACATGGAACATTCTCACAATTATCCAAAGAAAAATACCGTACAATTTCGCTAATACTTCATATTCGGTACTCCCGTAGTATGTGTACCAAGTTAGGCCCTTATTTTATTTCGATTTCCACTGCCCATAGGTTTCAGTCCCTTTACACATCTTGATGAAAAGTAGGCGAACAAAATTAGTCACCTCTCTATTGGTACACACACTACTGGAGCGCCTCATATTCAACCAAAAACTTAGCACAATGTGGCTAAGACTTTTGTGATAAGATAGGTAATAATGTAAGTGCTCCTAAATATATAAAAAAAGCAAAACAAAACTTCCAAATATGATCAAAACTGCCAATGTATGTGATGCTAGCTTTGTCACGTTAAAGACCCAGCTAATGCAGCTTATCGCCTTGTCCAAGATTTTATAAATTTGGGTGATTATTAATAAAATGATCGGACCTCCTGAAGTATGCGCACCAAGATGGCGCACAACCTGAACCCAGGTTGTGTACAAGGTTAGGGTTCAGGTTGTGCGACATCTTGGTGTGCATACTTCAGGAGTACCAAATGATCTTCATTCCCAACCCAGAAGATAAGCACATTTATGTAGCTGCAAATCTTGTATACACATTACTGCTATATCTTACGTAATAAGTATAGATCCCAAACAATAATCACCCAAGTGACCAATTAATATTGAAAAATAGAGAAAAGACCTTCTAAGAAAGAAAAATTATTTTTGTCTTTTTTTCACAGTTGTTTGACAAACTTTCAAAACATAAACTCTAAATCTGAAGAAGTTTTGACAATAACAAATCTTTATTGATTGGATGTGAGGTTCTAATTTTCACTAAAACCTAGAAAATAAATTTAACAGGTAGATTTCTGGCAATGCCCCTGGAACCAGCTCTGAATTTTATTAGTGGTTTCTGTATAAAATAATTTCTTATCCTATAGCTCGGTAGGAGAGCATTGGAAGCAATTTTCCAATTAGGTAAGTAAATAGAATTCCTATCTGAAACGCTTTTAAAGAAATGTGTGTCTTGACAGGATAACATTTTCACATTTAGGAAAGGAAAGTCGATTACACAGCTTGATCATATGGCGAACCACAGCCTCTAGTCCGTTTACCAGTCCATGTCGAGTTTGGGATTAGTTAGTGAGATATTTGTCTCATATATTAAGACTTGAAACAGCAAGAAAAATATCATCTTCAATAACATCTTTTCTGAGTCACCAAGATTCATGAAGCTGGTGCCCATTTTTAGACGACTCCCAGGATAGTATTGTCTACCCAATCACCATTTCTCCAACTACAAGTTACTGACACTCGCTGTCCTGTGCTGTAGCCCTCGACTCTGAGGTGGTGGTTTTCCTCCACTGTTGCCTCTGTTGTCTCCTAGTTTTCTCCACACCACCTTAAAGGGAAAGGAAAGATAATATAGTTTTATTTTATATATAGTGGCAAATTTAACGATTAAACATCGTGGATTTAATTTATAATATGATTGAAATGTTCAGCAAATCCAGCATAACGGTATTGAAAATTTATATAATGGTATATTGAATATTGTTTCAAAATTTTTGTATATATAAAAATGATTGTATAACAAATTTAAAAATTTTATTTTTCATCGATCTCAAATTAAATCCCTGACAAGACTTGGTAGTTGGTAATAATATTAAGCAAAAACAAAATACTGATCTTTTTGTTAGATGAATAATGGTAAAAAAATAATGAACACAAACACATGCTTTTTTCTGAACCCTGTATCAATCAGTGATAGAATATCACAAAAATTATTGTTTTACAGGAACAATTATAATAATATCATGAATTTAGTTTCAAAATAACTCCCTGGTTCATATAACACATGGTAAAAACTAAATTTGGTGCTCCTGAAGTATGTGCACTAAGATGGCACACAACCTGAACATAGTATGTTTACCAGGGTTATCAGGAGCGCCCTAAATTTTGATTCATATTCTTACAAAAAGATGAAAGATGGCAAGATAGTAATGAAAATAAATTCTTCTGAACTTGTATTAAAAATAACATATTATTGATAGTTATATGATATCACAAAATTATTGTTTCCATAGATCTAATTATTATCCAAATATCAAAGTATACTTGATTCCATACATATGATATTAAAATATACCCCCCCCCCCCCCAAATAAAATATTATCCATGACAAATACTTGGCTGATATCGACCACAATCTATGCATCAGGGTGTCCACAAGCCCCTTTAAAATTTCAATTTTGTTATGAAGTCAGTTCTCAAAAATATAATTGACCAGGTTTGTTGTTTTTTAATCAGCAACTGTTTAAGTGTTTTCACTTCATTTAATACATTTGTGTGGACCAAAACAATATATGTTATCATTATATTCCCTTCGCAAGACTTTACAGACATCCTATACATTTACATAACTTGGATATTTCCTGAACTTGAATAATCCATCTGCTAATCAGTCAATAACGCAAAAAAACTTATTCCAAATATAACTAGAAACAAAGTATTGGGCCAAAATTACATTGCGTTCATCCAAGCAAATAATTATAATCACCGAGGGACACAATTACATGTAGAATGCATTACCATGCAAATAACATAGCAAATGAAAAGCAGTCCAGACAAGGCGCTGTGATGAGATTTGACAACACAGACATACATTGCTCGATATCCAATAGTTATTAGTTTTCATGCTCCGATGATAAGATGCGCATTCGCTCAATACTCTTTACAAAGATAATTATAGGATTTGACAGTTTTGCTACATTCTCTATAAATAGATTACAGTTATTGACGAAAAATATACAATATCTGTATGCAAATTTATCCGTTAGATAATGCAATCTTACATTGCTTCATAAAATAAATTTGATGTAAAATCTTTATTTAACAGATTTCTGAAACATTTGGGTGCAATGATACAAAACAGTATCTATAAGATCTTTTTTAAATCACCCTGTAATAGTGTTTCATTCTTTTGGACACTCTTCTTCATGAAACATGTTTAGGGTGTCGAAATGAAACAACTTTAATCCCGAATGATCAATAAATATTAAATTACTAATTATTGTCATAGATGAAATATCAAATTGTCAGATAAATTATGAAAGAAACCCTGGTTCTGACAGATTAATAAAGAACCCTATAGGTATTCTTAATAATGCCAACAAATGCTTTTAAAATTTCTTGAATTCTAATTTTCAGGTTGAGTTAACTTGATCTAATACAAAATCATGTAATAGTAGAATTTTTACATTATCTCATGAGAGAGGAAAGTTGAGAAAACACGACTATGAAGAACCAGTTACCATGTCGCATATCGTTACCGGTAACCAGTTATTTGTTTCAGAAGCATGTCCTTGATAAAAAAAATTCTTCTTCTATAGAACATATACAGCTAAAAAGTAGATGAAATTCAAAAATATAAAATGAAATCGCTTACGCTATACAATTGTGGTTGGCTCTGATTATTTGATTTTCAATATCATTTCATTATATGGGAGATGAATCGAGACAAATCAAGTTTGACAAATGATTAAATATTCACAAATAAAAACAAGAAATTTGAAATACGATATAACAGTATGTCATGGTCTATAATAGTCAATACTGATTATAATGTATATTGTGTGAATAAGATTCAAAGATCATCATGGATCTGACTGAAAAATTAAGCAGAATTAATTTTGAACAAAGTTTTGCATTTTAATAACCTCAACATTAAGTACACTTCACCTATTGCAAAACTAAAATAATGGAAAAAGACTAATGGTTTTTGCAAATGAATTTCCCCACATTCATTGCAATCACAAACATAGATAGAAGCAGTTCGCACAGCGACCTCATGCATTTTGCACATACAGGACATGACTAAAAACAAGATGACATGCTTCTTAAAAAGTACTTACATCAACATCATACAAATGAATCTCCTTTCTGTGGTGACATAGACATGGGCAAACAAAAAGATAAAATTTTAATCTTGGATAAAATAATTAGACAATTTGTAGGCTTCAATTGAACATAGGGTGTTCATGGGATCATAGCTACCATTCTTTGTGAAATTCATTTTGATTTTATTCATAAGTGTATTTATTTATTCATGATATTTCAATTTAAAAGAATTCAAGATACAAGAAAAATGTAATTGGGGAAATTCCTAATGAAGTAGGTACACAATTTGTTGAGAAAAGTTAGAATTTGTGTATACCGTATAAAGAATTTCTGTTTATCACAAAAAAATTATATTGGAGTACCATAAAAGTAATGAGAGGTATCATTAACAAAACCAACAAAGATCTGAAAATAGCTGCTTTTGGCTATATTGCAATAGGAGTTTGAATATTCAAAAAAAAAATTTAATTTCAGACACATATAAAATTTTGACATGATGAATACAGATAAGTGTCATGATTTGAACTTTGATTCCTGTAACGTTGTAGTAGAAAAGGTCATAGAAGTATTTTGAATAATTAATACCCTGCTTTTATTTATAAATTTGGGCATCAAGACAAACATAAAATGATGAGAAACAACATCAAAATATGCCATGAAATCAGTTTGACAAGACTGAAACAGTGACACAAGGGACAACGAATTTTTTAATTAAGCTCATTGGGATGACGTACAAAATACATCGAGTAACATCTTAAATGGTTTACTATTGATGGGCATTAAAACAAGTACGGTAGTTCAATATTGGCAAGTGGTGAATTTGGCTAAAAAATCAAAAGATTTTTTTTGGTATTTTCCTTTGATTGTTTGATTTCATGGTCGTAATCAAGATAGCACATTTGAATGTTAAATACTAGACTATCGTTTTACTTAATACATGTGCGTAAAAACTTTGTTAGCTATACTTTAATCTTTCAAATGGGCAAAAAGAAATCAGAAAATCATTCAAACAGATTAACAAATTCATAGACTACAAAAATTTGTTTCATAAAATAATGGTATAAAAAAGGATTGTTGACATAAGGTGCTTTTGTATAAAAAATTAACATTTACAGAAAATCCAATCGAAGCAGAACTGAAATTGCAACAAAAAACAGAAACGAGTCTCTGAATTTTGTTTATTGAATAACAACAGTACATAAATCATATGCCAATAAAATGTAACTTGGATATAAAAAAAATAAAACTGATATTCAAATTAAAAATATTTTGCATACAAAACTCTATAATACCAAACCACTACCAATATGATTAATAACTTTAAATAACCAAAACCAAATATGGAGATTCAAGAGGCACTATTAGTATAGGAGTATGGTACTTGATGTCAAAAACAGACAATATAATGTCACATAATATTGATCAGTCTCGTTAATAAAAGCAAATATTGAACACGGATAATATACTCACATTACACATCTCTCTGACAATTTCTTTATGTTGTTCATCGAGATGATTCCCTTCTCCAGGTTTGCTTGGATACATGGAATTGGGTATATTGTTGTCCAGTTGATCGTGAAGTTCTAACACCTAAATCAAAGATTGAAATAATTTAAAGTACATTTAAAAGTGACACGAATAAAGACTGCGATGTGGTTAAAGCGTTGGACAACTATGTTAGCATTGATCGAAGGTTAAAATCTCAAGTTTAAATCCCATGCCCACCACCTTACCAGACTCAGCGTTTGGTACCGGTACATTGTGCTAGGCGTTAGAAATACACTTGCCACCTCTGATTACCCTGCGTTGCTTTGCAGGTTCGAATTCCATGCAAGGTTAATTATGTGAGAGAAGATTGCTGGACTCCTCGCCGCCGTAGGGTGGTTCATGTAACTGCTGGTCGGTCTAGGTGGGCAAAATTTTTGGCCACTGGTCCAATAACTCGCCCACCCCTGATAAAAGTATCAATGAATGTTCAATGTACAGAAATCAGTAAACAAATTCCCAGACCTAATTCATCATACTCAATCTTAGATAAAAGAACAACACAACTAGTGTTCATATTACCTTCATAGCATAGACAAGAGGATCTGATTTTTGTGAAGATGACTGAGCACCATTCAACGTTGTTTCACTCCCAGATAGCCGACCAGCAGTAGCACTCTGAAAACAAAGTTGATTCGTTAGCCACCGTCTACCTTATATTTAAATTTTGTTTGTGATCGTTTTTTTTTTATTCTACTCATTCGCTCCAAACACGGCTCTGCGCAGGCAGTTAATTGCACTGGAGCTACAGTGGGGGTCAGAGTCTTTCATAGAGATGTTAAAAATGCAAATTGTAATTATTGCAAAAAACTGCTTTGACATTAGCTTCGCTCTGCCTGGTGAAATATGACCAAGTATGGTCTCGTTGTAAGTATTACACAGTTTACAGAATAAAAAGTTTTTTTTCTCTAAATATGTTTTTCTAGTGTCATTAATTCGGAACTTAGTGCGAAATAAATTATTTAGAAATCCCTTATGTCAAATGAATATAATCTAGTGTTATAAGAATTATCTCTCGAATTATTGTTTAATTCGTTATCAGATATTCGATGAAAGATTTCAGAATTGGTAATCATTAGGTCATCAAATATCAAAGACCTATTTTGAATGCAGCAGTAGTTCATGTCATAATGGCTAGAAACCTAACATTGAATATAGTCAGCTACAGATTAATGTAATCAATCAGGGACACAGACAGGATTTTAAAAAGGATGGGTTCAGAATCGTAATTTCCCATTGCCGCCATTACGACACTTGACCCCGACCCCCCACCCACCCCTGGCTACGACACTAGATATAAACCCCACTTGAGAATACAGATTATAAAAACACTACTGGATTTCTACAGTGCATATAAATATTAATCCATCTCACAGTAACAGTTAAATAAACAAATAATTATAAAACAATCAATTCCCATATCACAAAGGTTAATTGTGGTGTCACTACTGTGATGTAATAATAAAAAAGAATATAGTAATGTGATATCTCACAATATGACACCCAACGAAACAGTATCCTGGTTCAAGCATATAAACCCAATACTATTACGGTTATATAAACAAAAATCAACGATATAAAGTAACAACAAAAATAATAGGAATAATAATTATCCAACGATAGATAGAAGACGATTAATGGTCATTCCCAAAGGTGGAATTCCATACCGAATCAATGAAAAGTCGCTCTGATTGCTTTGGACGTCTCGTCAATGCAGTCCGCATCATGCTTGATACAGCACAGACGACCGAAAACGCTTCATGACAAATGGCGTTTTAGTAACGGTGATTTAATATTGGGAATTCCGATAGTAAGGAAGGATAACAGTCTGGCATCGATCCAAAGTTGTCGTAAGTCTGGCGTAATTTCCTAGGCTGTCGATATTTTGTAAGCATTTTCGGTTTAATGTTATCCCAATTTCACGATACAGTTTCGGTCGACTTTACATAGAAAAAAAATGCTATTAACCAGTGTTCCCATACGCTTTATGCACCTCACCTCATAAAACATGTGTAAAGTGTTGAAATGTTTTTGTTAAATAAGTATATCAAGTCCAAAACTGGCGAACTAATACCACATCCGACATTGACTGGTAACCGTGGTTCGCCATATGATTAAATCGTCATATAGGCTTTCCTCTCCCCCGGGATAAATAAGTAAATCCTTACCTAAACCGTTATCGCAACTTCAAAGCCTTATAACAAACAACAATGCTGACTCGACGCAAAAACATCGTACACTTAGTTCTAAGTGGATATGGCTTCCAAAATATAGGTGTGTCGCCACGTCAGGGCACGTGGTATTTCAGGAATATAACCCATTCCTATTAATTGTATTTGCTCAGGTTCGTTATCAGAAAATGCGTCACCAAGGTTATGAAGCAAAGAAAAGACAATAATTTGCTTCCAAAACACAAAATCAAGTCTATTTCGTCACGGTTTCTACTTGAAACGCAAAAAATCGACAATATAAATTTGAAAAGGTCGAGCCCACTGGGATCTCGCTTGTAATTTGTGGAAAACATGTCTGTTATAACGTCAGCTTTCCATTATTAGTATAACATACAAACAAAAAAAATTTGTGTTAAGTTTAGTCTGCCGGTTCCATTATTAGGAATGAAAATGGAATGCAACATATTAAGCATGTCGTCATGTAGCTATAAAATATTCGAAACTAATAATTTCGAATGTATTACAAATAATGAATTATTCGGTAATGGCCATCCCTGTCTGCCGGTTCCATTAGTAGCAATGAAAATGGAATACAGCATATTAACCATGTCGTCATATAGCTAGTACATAAAAAATATGGATATTCGGAAGCTGTGATGGGAGCGTAATGGTATTTCCATCATTTCAATTTTTAATATTAAAATCATACATAACCAAACGTTATACACCGTAATAAAAGTAGGGAGAATTGAAATTTAATCTGAGACAAGCAATAGAGAATTAATAACATTAACTTTGTTAAAATCGAAACATTTTGCCGCACAGGACGTTTTACAATTTGCAGTGATATTTCAGGCTTTTTGGGCAGTTTTTCCGATCCGCGTATGATCGGGCACAGACATCGATTATGCAGATTTAGATTAAAACGGTTTTTCAGTCCGGTTGTAAACTCTACTTATCAAGCATGACTCAAAGACTACTCATAGATCTCACTAGTGAGCATTTTTCACTGGCCATCGATGAGTGCCCATAAACGGACAGAAATTTCTCTTTAAAACTGGAATTGCAGTAATAACACGAAGCAATCAATTTATCGACTTCGCGCAGGTAACGCAAACGGGTTCATGGTAATTGAAGCGTAAGGTACTCTCTGTTAGCGTTTGAAAATTCAGCTCTAATATGAATTGATTGTTTCGCTATGATCCCGGTAAGTCCAGTATTCATAGAACTACCGTACTTCTAATTAATAGCGCTTCGAAGAGTAATGAGGACGATGAATATTATCATTTTGCGTAAAATCCCTCATTCGTATTGACCGTGATACACTTTGAAATGTCCTTGATTTATGCCGATGGTGATATATCCGATTATTCGCCACAGTTAAACCCAAGCGGATCACCGGTTTATCACATTTTTAGAAATGGATATTGATCTTCTGTTATTATGGACCAGATTTTTTAAGGTGGTACCTTGTCATGTAATTGATGTATTGTGAGTTGTGACGCTATCAGATCATTTCGAGCACACAGTCTTGCGAGGTGCCAAACCTTATATCATGTCGTGTTAAAGTGTTAGGAATGTTTTTATCCCTACCCAATCCTATAAGGGTTTAAAGAACTCATCAATTACAGATGTCAAAAATACAAAAACGCAATTTTCCTAAAACCTTAAAATTAGACATAGCTAATTTGGTTATAAAACGGCGAAATACAATATCGCTATGGCATATGAGATTATATCCACCTAGCGCATCCAAATCTTCTAGAGCAGAAATGTAACACGATCACTGTTTACCAGAAATGGAGTACATATAATAATACGAATCACACCAAATAAAAGTTGTTGAATCACGAAATGAGCGTTGTTTAGAAGTTATACCAATGGTTCTCAAACTACAAACGAATAGGATACACGCATTACAGCCAAAAAATAAAAAATAATTTATTATTTAACGTAGCCAAGGTGAATATTGCATAATGTTACGAATGTAATAAGCGTGAATGCCATCGTGTGAAGTACTTTGCTCGTGGACTCCAGGGGGCAGGACCCAATCTGGGAAACTCTGAGTTTAGACAATCATGATTGATTTTTGTGAGCTCGATATCGACATGGCAAATATTATGTTTGTGTATCAAAATATAGAATCACTCAAACTGCAAATTTAAAACGCAATTTACTGTAAATACGTTGATTGGAATTATTAATTGTGCATTATTGTTAATGCAATTTAAAATGCAGAAAAAAAAGGTTTTGAGACTACAAAGTCCAGATTAATATAAAAGAAATATATACCATCGGACATATTGTTTTGGTATTCAATATTATCTTCAATTGGCAGGATACATGGCCGGGAATTGTCAAAATGGGACCGAATAGCACCTGGTATGTTGTTCCTGGTCCGGATAAACAGACACTTGCCGTCCGCCGATTAATTAATTTCGCTGTTGCTCATAATATGTCAGTATATGCCGAAGGCTTACAACATTATGAACAGAAAATTGAATTAAAAATCTGACGAGATTGTAGACGCTGACTTGTTTACAAAATACAAAATTACAAAATAAGCCGTCCATGTGAACCACTTCAGAAAATAGGCTAGTTTCAAAAACTCGTTATAAAATAATATAGAAGAAACTTTGATCATGCTGAACAAGGCGAAATAAACATTTAATTGTTTTGTTACGTAATTCGTATTTAAAAATTATTGAACATTAGCAACAAGTAATCCTATTGGTTGATTTTGCGGAACACGTAACACTTCAAAGGAAGTCTCTCGCGTTACCACAAGTGTACTCGCTAACGCTAAGTGAAACAAGCCCCTTTGCTTTCAAGAAACCTTTTCTGGTCGAGTGCGCGTGAAAACACACTTATAGTCTTACCATCCCACGCATGGGAGACGAGATTGTTTCAATGGGCGCTAAAATCACTGCAACTCGCGAAGCGTTTTGATCTTTAGCCAATAAAAGCATTTAAGTGAAGACGGAGTGGATGCTTTTATCGGAAATTTGTGGCGTGACGATTTTTATTTGAAATTGTTGAAACGAGACACCTTGTTTCCGTTGTAGTTTATTTGACTTTGGAAAATTTGGGCAAATTTTAATGGTTTCAAGCTTTTGACAAATTACCCGACTGCTTTTAGATGCACACAATAGCCTAGAACAGTGGTTATCAAACTTTTAAAGCCGCACGCATAAGCTACAAACAACAGATAGTAAGGCAAAAGTAGGTTTTATTCAAAAAAAAAACACGTTTAAAATACGTGGATGGAATGTAAATAAGGCGGGCAATATCAAATCTAACAAATATTTTCATTTCTAATCAGCTTCACGCCCATCAAAATTGTCTACTCCCCGTTGTGAGGCGCGCCCTGCCGTTTGAGAACGACTAGCCTATGGGAATATTCGCCTTTGATCTGGTATACTCGAATATCTTTGAAAAAAAAAAATT